TGTTAACAGTTCTGTCTGGTTTCTCTAGTACAAAGCATTTCACATTACACCATGCTGAATGACATCTTAACCGCTTGATTATACACAAATTTTGAAAAATTGGTGGAATTCCCCTCCACACACGTGGAGACGCTACAGAATAAGGCCATGTTAGCCCTTTGAAGTTTGCCATTGTAAGTGCTTCTTTGTTGCTTTTATCCAGACTCGGCTCAAAATAGATCATGATATTTACTGTCTGTGGGCATAATAGTATGTTGACTGCTTTTATTGAAGCCTTTTTTAATCTGAGTTTGTGGTGTTCACTGCTCTCTATAAGCAGCCAGTGCTTCACTTTTGAGGTTCAGCTGAGCATCCTTGATAGCTCTTGCTGTGTTTGTAAATAGTTGAGTTGTGTTGTATTTCCTGACTGTGCCTCTATACGCCACAGTAGCCTAACAGATGGGTCTGGCTTAAGTGTTTGTCTGTGTGAGGCTTTAAGAGCCTAAAGAAGACTATCACACACTGTAGTCAATCTCCACCTTATCCGTAAAGCCGAAAGCCGCTGCCCTCTGCAGGTAAATAATAACATACCACAGGATAAAAAGGAACTTACAAACATGATATTATGAACAAAAAAGCATTGAAAGCATTGGAGTAGATCAGGTGTGTCCAGTTCTGGTCTTAGCGGACTTTAGTCCAGCAATGCTCTCACACACACCAGATTAACTCAGTGTTTACCAGAGGCCAGGGCTGACACACAAGCAACTTTCTCTGTGAACCCTGGTTTAAAAGCTCAAGCTATGATTAATTCTGGAATGTGCGCACATGAAAGTGTGATATTTAAAAAGGGTCATTTGCTACAAATGTTTCAGGAGATATTTCTGAGAAGATTAGATATAAGATAATACACACATTGAAGGTGAAAATCAAAGGTAAATAAGTGAAAATAAAGAATTTCGAAACTATTAAAAGCCTCCTAACCATTGTGCATGACCTGGTAGACCACCAAAACTGTCACCGTCAGATAAAGAGTACATAAAGCCAGGCATACACTGTGAGATTTCAGCCCGATTTTAAGCCCGATTTGGTCGGAGCCGACTGAATTTCACGATCGGGCCGAATTTCAGCTTCATCAGCCGTCGTTTGTTGTGCAGTGTGAGAGGGGAAACGATGCCCATCGGATGATCAGATGGATTTCTGACATGTCCGAAATTTTGGTCGCTTGTCTCACAATGTGTGCAGCCTCACGAACTGATATCTCAAAGTCACACCCAATACCACACACAATCACAACCACTGCTCTTACACAGAGGCAAAAAAGTCCACATTTGTGGCACCAGCGTCCATATATGACAACTGTGCTCCATTTGACTGAGTTGAATTGCGAGGTATAAATAAGTAGTGTTTTTTTGTCTTCGTAGGGCTGTCTTCGCCTGCTCTTCAGCTTCAGTGCACAGTGTGGCACAAGTTAGCAAAGCTGCTGTAGCAGTTTGTCAATGGCTGAATCTCAAACGGCCCACTACTTCCTATGTAGTGCGCTAAGTTCTGGCTTCTACACCAAAATAGTGCACTGTTTGTTCAGTAAAGAACTGTGCACACATGGATGAATCTCAGAAGGCTATTTATTAGACATGTGATGCACTTTATGGGTACAGGAGCCACTATTTTAATATGTGGTGCACTATGTAGGGAGCAGGGAGCAGTCTGATTCAGCCAGTGTTTTAATTAGGACATCGCAGGCGCAGCGTGTTATTTTGAATGAAACAGCTTTATTGTGGACAAAGCTGACTGTCGCGTCAAGTCAGTCGGACCTGTTTTCATACAGTGTGAGCGCATAAATCGCAGGCTTTGGACATACACGAGGGGTGATTCAAACGTACAGTGTGAGCTGTCACCAAAGAACAAGATTTCTAAAATCACACATTGTATGCCTGAGCTTAAAGCTTTCATCTTTGAGATATCAGAGAAAATCAAGCTCTACTTTTGCTTCAGATCCAAAAAAATTTACAGGTTTCTGTTCATCCTTCCATTGTGACAGGACTATTCAGTGCTATGGGTCTAAAGGATGAGCAGCTGTCAAGGAGTTGCTACTGAGAATAGAAAAAGAATAAAGGAAAAAAAAAGAATAAAATTAAAAAAATAACTAGGTTAACTAATAAACACAAGCAAAGATGACCATTCATGCTTGTATCTGAAAACTGAAAGTTAACAGAAGATGAATTATGGGTGAGGTGTTAATTTTATAAAGTTTCCAGCTTGGCCTCATTCTGCAGGCTTACTTTCATTCCAAATGAATGGAGCTAGCCACAAACTTGATTCAGATATAACTTTGTTTCATCCCAGATGCTTTGGGAAAGAAAATGAACAGTGGCTGGGATTTCAGGGTTGCCATGGTGATGGCTGGCAATGATGCGACACTTCGCTTAGAGAGTGCAGATTCATTTATGCTAATAGCCCTCTATTGGTCTCGTGTATGCGATGGACGCAGCGGCTAGGCAGTGGGCTGATCCTGACCGTCCAATGAGCTCAGACTATATCCCCTGCCTGAACATTCCAGAGATGTTCCAAAATGCCAAATGTGATCAGTGTGCTTGCATGGGATTGTGAGGATGCGTGTGACTCTGTGCCATTCCAGAAAAGGTATGAGTCACGATCATAGATTGTGAAGGGAGCTGGCCTTCTTTTTTGTTTCATTATGCTTGAATATAATGAAATTAAATAGCCCAGCTGAGATGTTCTATACAAACGAGCATCTTTCCCCTTCAGATCCATCATCTTTATATCTCTCCAGCTGCCTTGCCACATCGGCAGCCCAAACAAACAGCGGAAACAAGACATTCATATAACTAGGCAGCACTGTGGCATGAGGTGAGAGATAAAGATAGAGAGCAGGCAGCTCCTGGGTAAAGCCTAATGTAGCCTTGGGTTTTGCAAGGGCGTCTGGTGACAGGAAATGTTAAGTTTGGAATAGACTAGTCCTACTGCTTCCAGGCAGACACTCTGTAGACGCCTATATGTTCGTTCCTCAAAAAAGTCTTACTTTGTGTACAAGTTTATTGATATAAAATGGATAATAACTGAATGAATCTGATGCCCTTTCAGAGATACTCAGATCAGATTCATTCACACCATTTAGCAGATGCCGTTCAAAGTCCTTCATTCCAGTGCAGTGGCTGTTTAAATTCAGGCAAGTAGTTGGCAGTGTGGCCAAAAATTCTATCATGGTATAGTGTATTTATGTTTTTTTTTTTTCAAGTACAACCATTTCGAATCCTTAAGTAAATCTATGTTTGCAGATTAACAGTGGTGTATTACTCTGATGTCCCTTCACTTTTAATAAGAATCATATTTAATAAATGAAGTAAATCTAAAGTATTTTACTGGGCAAAACAGTAAAAAAGAATGGAACAATCAACGATCAGTATTGCTTTCTAACTCTAATGAAAAAAGGCAAGTACATGGAAGCACACTGCAGGCAAATTGTCTTTGTCAATTGGCTTGTCATTTGTCTCATTAATGCATCTCTTACACTCAAACTATCATCTACGACCGTTCAATGCTGCTGGAATTTGTTAAGTATTACAGTCGGTCATGCTGTCAGTATTAGCTGAGAAGGTGCGAAGCCTTTTGAGCAGGCCCAGGGCTGCGGCGCCCCTGGGGCAGCTGGCTGAGCGAGGGGCACCAAAGACCTTGCGCATGGAAAACCAGCTGGTCAGTGCTAATTTTTTAACCCCAAGAGACTGGCTTTTTCTTTGACTTTCTTTTTTTCCCCTTAAGTAATTATATTCTAATGTCTGCTCCAACATGCTACATGAGAAGTGATGGAATTAGTGAAATTTGTGCTGTATGTGTGTTGCACTACCTGCGCCTATTGGTAGCACTAATCTGAGGCCTGTATGAGTCCAGGTACCATTTTGCCTTGGATGATCATTTTATGATTGGACTGCTTGGACAGATGAAGTCTCTACTTGTGTGGATGTAAAGTGATCCTTCAAAATAAAGGGTTGTTTAGGATTAGGGTTAGGTACCCTAACCGCATTAACTAGTGTTAATCCATTAACTAGACACTCATGGCTCACCATCCAAACCAGCCCCCCCCCCAAAAAAAAACAAAACATTCCCCTTCTGAACAGAAGGTCCTGGGTTTGCATCCCACATGTGCTGTCATTTAACAAGTCGGGCATGCATGTCAGCAACATGAAGCTCAAAATTTGTTCACATTTTGCAGTTGGTATAGTGCAGTGGGTAACACTGCTGCCCTCCATGTGGTGGGGTTTGATTCCTCACCCTGACAAACACAACGTCCTACACCAATAAGAGTCCTTGAGCAGGACTCCTAACACTACATTCACCTTCCTCTGTAACATGATTGAAAGTGTAAGTTGCTCATTATAAGAGCATCTGCCAAATGCTGTACATGTAAAGGTAAGTATTTTCTTCAAAATAGTAAAGGTTAAAGTTAGTTGGCATTAATTGCTCCTTCAAAATAAAATGAATTAAGGGAAGGCTCAGCTACTTTTCAACCATGTTAACTAGTTACCTAACAAAGGGTGATTCGTAGTTTACAACTAAATTTTTTTTTGCTTTGTGTAATTATGTAACATAATTCATATACTCTCTCTGAAACAGTTAACTTTTATCTAGCATTAATGCTGGCCACTTCACCAGCACTTTGGATTGCTATCTAGCTAGTTAACTTTTGCTCATGCTGGGGCTTTTCAGGTCTTTTTGTCTGTGGGACTGTAGCTAGGTCAGTCACACAGTGGTTTATTTGTGTAATCACTGGACAGAGTACAGAATGAATAACACTTTGTCCATAACTGCTGTGTCCATACTCACTGTCTGCAGTCAGTCTCTTGAACTAAAACCTAATCTAAGCTAAAGCACTCAAGCAGAATGAACAGAGATACAATATGTTATTTTCAGTTCGCCAGTGAACATTTGGCTGTAACAGAAGTGAAAATAGTTGCTGTTGGACTATGAATTGTCACTGACTTGTCTTTGTGTGTTTCCATCCATAGGCTGCTGAAGTGGAGAGACAGCTGTCCACTCAGGTCCACTCTTTGCGGGATGATTTCAGAGAGAAGAGCCTCTCCACGAACCAGCACATGACACGTCTCGAGAGCCTACAGGCAGAGGTGAGGCATCATGGAAGATAAAGTATTTTCTTATTTAGAGAAAAGAAGGATAGCCTAGCAATCTCCTTCACTAATAGCATCAGCAATTCTTCATTTTCCTCACTAAACTGCAATCGCAAGACACTGACTGTTGTCCATACTGTTTGATAGATTATTTTGTGCCAGCATTTTTAATACATTCATTGTCTTCCAAAATGAAGCTAATTTTAGACCAGAAGCTATAACCACGGCACTTCTAAACCGCATCACAACTGCATTCACATGTGTACAAAGCTCAAAGAGTCTATTTTTCACGGCTTGCTGCGAGCAGCATGTTAGTGTTTTCTATCTAGAGACACTACAACGTTTGCTATTATGTGCAGTCTTGGCCCCTAATCAAAAGAGCACATGGGCTATAATACAGTTAGTATCCATAGGAGGGTCATAACTGTAGTACAAAGTTCTTTCTGCCACTGAGCCTATGTATGGAAACTCTTTCTTGCCAGGCAGTTTTTTTCTCTCTCTCTTTCTGTTTCTGGCAGCAGTAGGTCAAAAGTTTGACATAGTATCATGAAATATTGACTTATTAAGTTTCAATAATACAAGTAATTATTTGAGGATAACATTATCATTTTGAGATAATTAGTAAACTTTATGAGAAAATATGTCATTATTTCAACATAGTCATTATTATGAGATACTTTTATCACAATCTAGAGAAAATAAGTTGTTTTTCACATAGAATGCCATTATTTTGAGATACTCAGGCAAAATTATGAGAAAATAAGTAATTATTTCAACATACCAAGTCATAATTTCGAGATACTAAGTCAAAACATCTAGAAAGTAAGTCATTATTTTGACATACTAAGTCAGAATTTTGAGGAAATAAATAATTTTGACACAGGATGCCATTATTTTAAGATATCAAGTCAAAAGTTATTAGGTAATTATTTCAAACTACTCAGTCAAAATGTTGACATACTGCTTCCCGAAAAACATATATGGACATTTTTTTCTCGTCTACGTGTTGGAAAAGGGCTTCCATACCTCACGCTTGCATGTGAGTCGCGCTCAGTCTGAATTAACAAATGCTGAAAAACAGTTAAAAGGGAGTAAACAGGTGCAAGCCAGGCACCCCCACCAACCAACAACCAATGCAACCCACTAATACAAAAACACAAAAAGTCTTGAAAGCAATGCTTGAATGTCAAAGCAGAATAATGCTGGTGTGTGTGCATGTTTTTATGTGCTGGGCTGTTTGTTTTTAAAAACCCTTTTTACTGAACGTAATTCCCTCTGTCATTCCTCCTCTAATTGTTCGGGTTGTACTCTCCTGCTGGGAGCAGCAAGGGCTAGAAGTAAGTGGCTCTATACTACAGTCCTCTCATCTGCATGCTTAGATGTTTCCATGCTCATTATAAAAAAGGAAAAAAGTTTCCTCTAGATCGCACTGGAGGTTCAAAGTGAAACCAGTAGTAGAGACGCATCGCTTTAAAGTGCCGCCTGTGATGCGGTCACAGAATCTTTGTTTTGACAGCGCAGGACAAACAATGTCGGCACACGTTTTCTGCGCTGTCATACACAGCAGCCATCATGGGTGCTCATCGATTCTGCAGGAAAATCCACAGACTGGATCAGCGCCAGGACCTCATGTGCTGCCGGCAGCTGCTGGGGGTCAAGACAGATCGCAGAATCTCAGATTTGTCAATATCTTCGCAAAGGAACCTGTTGAAATTTGTTCTCATCCACATCTAGTGACCCTACATTGTGGTTTGCATGTTTTATCCATTTAGTTATGAAGTCTATAAATTGCGCTCTGTTCTCATGAAGCATGTGTTCATTTCTGCATGATTTCAGCTGATGGTCTCTGTGGTGTCACCTTAACTATATCTGATGTCAAAGAAACGCAAAGCTCTTATATCAGGTGATCTCCTCCACCATAGTCTCATATATTGATATTGCTTATACGGCTCATTCTACAGAAGTGGTTCGGATCAAAAGTTAGAAAACTTTTCCCTTTAAAATCCATTCTTTGTGTTGCATACTAGTTTAGGAAGTCAGAAGAGCTGAACACACTGAAATCTATTAATAGCCGTAAACACCGCTGGTCAAATTACATTTTGTTGATTTTGTAAGTGAAAATAATGCAAACGTCCTTTACAGGGAACAAATGTAACTCGTGTTGAGATCTGTTCAGAGTGGTTTGATGTTAAATGGATCATTTAGAGAAACTTACCAACGCAGATTTTTTTACAGTGGTGGTGATAGGAACCGGGAGTCACAATGTCTACAACACAAAAATACCCATTTTATTTACTAAAAAAACAGCTGAACAAACATGTATCAGTTATTATATGTAATTTTGATGATGGTAAAATAATCTGAAAAAAAAAAGTTTTCTTTGTGGACAGTTTTGCCTTGTGCCCTGCATGTACCTCTACACCATTAATGGATTTAAACAAATACATGGGAGTCCAAAAGCTTGTAAAATACTGTAAAATAACATCTCAGGTCGCAGACAGCATATTCACAACCATTTCATGTGATACCTTTCTGTGAGGGAGTTTTCAGAGGCATTAATCTCTTCAAACAGCTGTTTCTTATCATCACCACTGTGAAGAACTCTAACTCAGTTTCTCCAGAAAGAAGCATTTCACAACACACAACTCTGAATGACTTAACCAGTGTATTATGGAGAACTTTTGGAAAAATCAGAGGAAATACCCTTTAAATATGGATGTTTAAAAAACAAAATATATTTATATTAATATTAATAATTAAAAGTAATAATAAATTTTAATAAAATATAAAATGTGACAACTTTTGCACAAGCCACATTTTATTCATTAGTCAGTAATTGTGCCTTAAAATGTACAGAAGTGTGTTCTACGGAGCCCTGCTGGTGGCATCCCATATAAATAAAAATAATGCATGGCCATGGCTTATTAACGCATGGCAGTGAGATCCTAATGCGTGGCCATGAATTCATAAGGCATGGGAATGAGATAATTAAGTCATGGCCACGACTTAGTAAGGCATGGGAACAAGATCATGCCTTACTAAGTCGTGGCCATGCATTAGGATCTTGTTCCCATGCCTTACTAAGTCGTAGCCACACATTAGGATCTCATTCCCACGAGTTAATAAGCCGTGAAAAAAAGAACCTTTTTCATAGTTTAAGTTATTTTGCAATATATTTTTATCATCTTCTCAAAGTCAGTTCTTCCAACTAACATCTGGGAATGGATCTAGTTTTTCTCTGTTAGATGTCAAATGTTGAAATCCTACATGCCTCACATAGTCTGTTATACTCTTGGGTGTATTTGCGTCTCCCAGAATGCTTTTTTGAAATATTTCAATTGTGACAATCCAAGCTAATTTTGCTCGTCTCTCTCTCTCTCTCTCTGTGTAAACAGCAAGAGGTTAGCTGCAATAAATTTTTGACCGATAAGTAAAGAATTTTCTTTTTTCAAACATCAAATCTCATCTTTTGTAAGAGTAATAAGATGTTTGATAGTAATTTCAGGGGTTAGACTTGGGGGCATGCAGTGCTTAGTATAAAACAAAATAGTGACACTGTCGGAATTAAACCTTGTATCTTCATTTTTGTTGTTTTTCTTTAAAAGAACACTCTTATTGGCCTTAACAGTGTGTTAAAATTTCATGACGAATAGACCAATAGAAACACTACAAAATGACATGAAAAAAGTCATGGTAAACTTCCATTGGAAGTTCTCCTATAAAGTTACTATTTTGGAGATGAAATACTATTTTGGAGTGATATAATAAGTACATTATTTATCAAATGTATATAATTATTTATTAGTTATAAAAATTATTAGTTATAAAAGTTTTAAAAGTTATTTAAAATAGTTCAGCTGTGTTGCTTTAACATTTAGAGTACTAAATGTTAAAATGTGTCATTTATGCACTTTTAAACATATGTTTATCATGGAGGGACAGTGTTTTGAAACACTTATGTAGAATGACCCATGCATACTCAACGTCCAGTTTATTTATTACGACTCCTACCTTGTACTTCCTCTCACTGGCCGCATTATCAGTGTACAATTACTGACTGTAGCTGTCATGGAAAACTCGTCAGCCACTCTCTACCCCATTTATCATTGATCAGTTTTTGACCACAGGACCGTTATACGCACAAACTGATTAGCTTTGCATTTCAGTTGGCATGCCAGTATATAGAAACGTGTGTCTATTTCTTTATAATGAATCATTATTACACATAAAGGGTCACTATTGTTAAGGGCTTGTTTTAAGAGGGAGCATAATTAACTAGATTGGCCACATCATTAGTGGTCTGTGTGGTGACAGGCATTTGGTCCAATGAGCTGCTTTGTGTGGATCAATAGGCTTCGCTTTCTTCTTTCTCCTTCTCTCTCTCTCTCTCTCTCACTGATGAGGCTGGTGGAGCAGTAACTGAGTGGGGAAAAGCTTCAGTTCTATTTTAAGGCTCGATGCTGCAATGTCTGGGTGTTCCCAAAACTGCTGGCAGTATTATTAGCGTCAGAAGGAGATGAATTGCAGGTCTTTCCCTATTGATGATCTGTTTTGCTTCTTAAGGGGTTTGAATCATGATTTATGGTTACCCGTCAGTACCATCAAAAAAAAACCTTGTGTGGTTTTCAAGCAAGTTATGGCATTGTGGGTTTCAACTACATTTAAATGTAGCCTTATGTCATTTAGCATGTATTGAAATAGACCAAGACAAATGGCACATGACTGAAGCAACAGAAGAGAAGCCACAGAAGCACGCAGACCTTAGTGAAAAGTCTTCTGGTTACCCAGGCAAACTCGAGCCACAGCCCGAAATAGGTTAGCAGATGTAGGTCATAACATGAGGGAGTGAGCAAAATACTAGAGCTGATGTTTGTTTAATGTTCTAAGCTCTTTAGTGGCTCGCTAACCGGCACACAGTGAGAACGTTTTGGGTCATATCGCAGTCCCAGTGGCCTGACTGTCTCACGGCCATGTCCAGCTTATAAAAGAATCATTCATCTGAACCAGTTTGTTTAAACAAACCAGCTGAATTGATCTACACTGTTTGCATCTTTGTTATAGGCTTCTAAGAAGATTCTAACAATAATTTTTCACTTTTTAACCTCATAAAATCATGAGACATTAAATAATACACAGTAACAAGAACCTCTTTGAATTTGCTTGTTTTCTCTCTGTAGACTGAAAGAGAGGCCGTTAGTGAGCAGAACCAGCCAACATCAGCCTCACTCTGTGAACTGAATGACACTTTATATGGAGGAAGTGAGATTAAAATTGACTTGAATCAAAGAATCGTTCGATTCATTGAAACGGATCGTTCGAAAAGAATCGATTCGGTAAACTGAATCTAACTGACCCATCGCTGCAGCCTCAGCGGTCAGACCTGCGGTTTGCTTTCTGCTGTGTCCGGCACTACCAGTCAGTTAGTAGGGAGTTATCAAACCCACATTCCTGCGGGGAGTCAGTGACCTCCTACGCCTGAGCAAATCAACGGGCTGAGCCAAGCATTCCTAAAAGCAGGGGAGTGTTGTAGCCTTAGCCGCGTAGTTAACTTCACAGCGCATGCGCGGTCTCCGCGGGTCGCTTCAGGGGAGCTTCCAGCTGACGGGAAACGCTTTGAAAGCGCCAAACGCAGCTGCTTAGGGTCGCGGCGTCCGCGGGGGTGAGTCTGACCCACTGCTCTCTCTGCTTATCTCGGCCAGATAAAGATGCTGTCGGAGCGTAAGCGGGAACTGGAGCGACGCGTGACCGCCGTGCTGGAGGAAAACGAGCATCTGCAGCACACCGTGGACAGCCTGAAAGAGCGCACGCTCATGCTGGAGAAGCAGTGCCACGAGAAGGACTTACAGGTATGCGCGAGTTGTCATGGTGACGGCTCTTCAACGCCTACTTTACACATTTTATCTTCAACGAATATGGAAAGCAGTTTTAGCTTTGGTGACACTTTATTTTGAGTTGTTTTTGGATGAATCAAACAACGGACTCTCAGTAACATGTCAAAAACGTGAGGGTTAGGATTAGGTTTTAGGTTGAGGTTGAGGTTTGAGTTAGGATTAGGGCCAGGGTGAGGGTTAGGTTTTGGGTAAGGTTGGGTAAGGTTAGGCTTTGCATAATGGAAGTAACATATTAACAATACATCTACTTAATGTAAGTAATGTATCAGCAGTGCATTTTCAATATATTTACTTAAGTGTATTCAGATGCTGCACTGTTGCTACTTCACTGAAATGTTGTTGATGTGTTGCTGATAATCTGTTAAGAGTTTATTAATCATCTACAAAGGACCACTCCAAATAGTGTTTGTTTTTTTACAAATGTAACTTGTTTTGTAGTACTTTTTTATGAGAGTAAATTTACAGTATAAACAAACTTTGGATTGAAAGCTAAAACGACTTTTGCCTGTTTTTGTTAATCTGTATCATTAAATGCTTAAAGGGGAAATACACCAATTTTTCTACATTTCTGAATCATTACATCCTTGAGATGTAAACAGAGTTATTCCAAGTGGTTTGATGCGAAACAGTTCATCATAGAGAAACTTACAGGATCTGATTTCTTTACAGTGGTGGTGATAGGAACCAGGGGTTGCCATGTCTGTAACTCAAATAAGGCCATTTTATTTACTGCCCAAAACCACCTGTGAACCTACACGTGTCTTCTGAGCTTTTATGTGCAATGTTGATGATGGTAAAATAGTGGAAAATCTAAAACAGGAAGTTTTCTTTTGGGGCTATTTTACCTCACGGCATCCTGTGTATACCCTTCCGCCATGAATGGATTAAAATAAATAGGTTAAAATACATTTTAAGCCAAAACTTTATCACAAAACTACAGTAATTAGATACATGCATCAGGCAGCATGTATCTAAACACTTCCAGCAATAATTTTCTGTGAGGGAGCTTGTAGAGGTTCCTGTGACTCTCTATGACTCTGCAGATTTCTCAAGAGCGTAGCATTTCACATTCAAATCACCCTGAATTACTTTGTTTACATCACAGCCATTTAATTACGTAGAATTTTCAAGAAACTTATTGAGTCAGAATTGTTCACAGTGGTGGTGACAGGAACCAGAAGCGTTTATTGCCTTTAAAGCTACCTTCCTGAACAGTGTTAATTGAAATGGTGCTCACTGCCTGATGCCTGAGACATTAGCTGCAGTCCCTAGGCAGTGCTGTTATATTCCCCATACACTAGAGCTTGGGATGTTGGTTAAGGGAACTGTGATAAATTCCGTCATTCAGAACATCCTGCAGTGTCATAGTCTTGCTTCATGTTTGACGAGAGACAAGAGACATGCAATGACTGATGAGTAAACTTGCCTGCAACTTCCTGCGTAGTGATGTACAGCTGTGCAGTTCTAGGTTCCCTTTCAATGGAACATTTTCATTGCCTCTGGTTTGCAATCACCCTTAAAAGGTCTGAATATCCTGTGCAGTCCACTTTGCAGGGAACTACTAGGGTGACTGGAGTGAACCTATTGTTTTCTCATAGTTCTAACATTTTTTAAAGCCCATTCATTGTGAGGAGGAGCATGCAGGAGGTTGTATGACAAAACAATACCTATGTTTTCCTCCACTTTAGCATTATCAACATTACACATAAAACTAAGAAGACACATAGAGCTTAGCTGGTTGTTTTGGTAGTAAATAACATGACTATATTTGTGTTGTAGACATGACTCCTGGTTCCTATTACAACTGTAAAAGAATCCAAGTTCATACAATGCACTATTTCACATCAGACCACCCTGAATGACTTTGTTTAACAGTTTAATTATGCAGAAACTGCAAGGTAATAACCAGCAATAACCAGCACTTAGCAGTGATTTAGGTATTCATTGTACAGTTAAGATGTAAGAATGCAATTGTGGATCTATGACGTAAGGTAATTTAGGATACGGTAAGGAAAACTGCTTTAGAATGATTTTCATTTGAAATTGAACTTTCTTTCTTAGCTTATTAGTAGGGATTATAGATATGGCAACATGATGTGCATCACAATATTTAGTTTGTCTGAGAAATAATAAGTGCCACTTATGACAAACACCATAATAAAATAATGAACTTACAACTACAGTGATTTTTACTCAGTGTTTTACAAACTGCACTGCACTAAATCCAGTTAAACAGGCCTAATTTTGCTCACTTTGCATATGTACTTAGTGTTCTTCAAGTACTGTATTGTGATATAATTTATCATGTTAATGATAAAATATTGTCATATTGCTCACCCCTACTTATTGGTATTATTTTTGCTATTGTTAAATAGCACAAAACATCACATTGAAGTATATATATTTACTCAAAATATAGGCAAAGTGTAGAACTAAAGGTTTGGATGAACAAAGTTAAGATGTGTAAGATGTTTATTCAAGAATGTGTGTGCTTTTCTGAGCATAGAGACTCATAGTTATCTCCTCAGACCAAAATGCTGAAACTGGCTTTGAACTCTTTGTGTCAGCATTGTGGGTACTTGAACAAGGATACACAGCTCTGCTGTCAGTTGCTTTGTGTTTTTTCAGCATTCCTTTACTATTTATTCGTGTACTATTTCTATTTGACGTAAAAGCCACAAAAGAAGATTCTGTAAACAGCTCTATTTTGGCCTACAGTTTTTGTTGAGGAGGTGTTTCTCTCCCTAAGGCATCCTGTGTAAAGATAATGGGTTTTTATGCACCACACCTCCTCAAATTACAATAACTGGAACCTGAGGAGTTTAGAAATTATTATACCAATATATAAAGTGTGTTTTTGCCTTCTGTGTGAATGAGTGTACATCCAACTTAAAGGAATGTTTCAGCAAAAAAAATCTAATTTATAGCATTGTCCACTCAACCCAAATTAAGTCAAGCAGACAAGACATGTTTGGTGTCCAGACCGTGTTTCTTTAGTTTAGCACTGGAGCTATATGGCTAATGTTGGTAACAAACACTAGAAGTCAGTAGTCACCCTAATCTTTTCATAAATACGTGGTGGTATTAGCAGGTTGAGAGAGGTTTTAGGGGTGTATTTACAAAAAAAAAGATTTGGGTGACTATTGACTTCTATTGTTTGTTACCAATGTTAGCCTTTTAGCTTCAGCACTGAACTAAAGAAGCACATTTTGAACAACACACATGTCTTGGCTGATCAACTGTATCTGAGGTAAGTAGAAAACTGGGAGTATTTGATTTTCCACCAAACTATTCTTTTAAGTCATTATAAATATCTCATCTTCTACTAATAAACACAAATGTGGTATTGATTGAAAGTTTAGGATCCACAAGTCTGACTGAATTTCTCTGCTTGGTTCAGTGCACTATGAGTGAAAATTACAAAATTTCAAATAACAACATACTTTTTGTTACAGCCAGTGATAACTGTGGTCGTGCAAGCGTGGGCTACTCCCTCATTCCCTTGCACCGCCACATAGCGCTAAATCTTCAGTAGCCGGTTTCAGTGCGAGTTTGTCACTGGTGTGTGTCCTCAGCTGCGGCAGAGCCAGTTGGAGCTGCAGGAGGTGCGTGTCTCTCACCGGCAGCTGAGCACACGGCTGGAGGAGCTGAGCGAGGAGAGGAGCCTCCAAAGCTTCAGCCCCAGTAGCCACTCACTACTGTGTGAGATAGAACAGAGCATGGAGCAGGAGGAGCTGGAGCAGGAGAGAGAGCAGGTACACACACACAAAGCACTCAAGCAGCAGGACACAAGAGGACGTGTCTACCTTGTATCTGCACTCTTTGTCTATTTTATCAGCTCCACTTACCATGTAGGTGCACTTTGGAGTTTTCAATTACAAACTGTTGTCCATCTGTTTCTCTGCATAGTTTGTTAGCCCCCTTTTACCCTGTATTTCGATAGTCAGGACCTCCACAGGACCACCAAGAACAGGTATTATTTGTGTTTTGGGTCATTCTCAGCACCGCAGTGACATTGATGTGGTGGTGTGTAAGTGTGTGTTGTGCTTGTACGAGTGGATCAGACGCAGCAGTGCTTCTGGAGTTTTTAAATACTGTGTCCACTCACTGTCCACTCTGTTAGACACTCTTATCGTGTTGGTCCACCTTGTAGAAGTGAAGTCAGAGACAATAGCTCTTCTTTTATTTGCACTGTTTGTGTAAGTGCTTTATCCTTGGTCACAGGGCGCTGTTGTCTGAATATTTTTGGTTGGTGGACTATTCTCAGTCCAGCAGTGGCACTGAGGTGTTTAAAACACCAGCAGCACTGCTGTGTTTGATCCACTTGTACCAGCGCAACACACACTAACACACTACCACCATGTCAGTGTCACTGCAGCGCTGAGAATGATGTAATACCTGCTCTGTGGTGGTCCCATGGGGGTCCTGACCATTGAAGAACAGGGTGAAAGGGGGCTAACAAAGTATTCAGAGAAACAAATGGACTACAGTCTGAAATTGTAGAACTACAAAGTGCATCTGTATGGTATGTGGAGCTGATGAAATGGACAGTGAGTGTATAAACAAGGAGGTGTACTTAATGAAGTGGTTGGTCAATGTACATCACTCATGATATTGTGTTCAACAACAAAGAAGTAAAGGAAAAATAAAAAGCGCAACAGAACATTGGCAAACATCTCATTCAGCTTAATGAGAAACTGTAGCACACAGCTCAGTTTTCATGAAGAAATTGTATTTATTTTGTGTGCATGAAAAGTCACATTGTTAGGATGCATTGGTGGCAGTAGCTGAGATTACATTAGCATGGTATCAAATTCATGGTCAAATAGATTGTGTAGTCAGAACTAACTGTTTTGACACACATACACTGCAGACCAAGCGAGCTGTGATTTTTAAATTTCATAAATGTTTTACAGTTAAATCAATTTGCCAACAATCAATGTAACTGACACCTAAACCTTATAGCCCTTATACAGGCCCACACTTAAAGGTTCCATATCCTATATTTTGTTTTCCTTGAGGCTCACTGATAATTTGCATGTATTTACATTCCAAAACAGTCATAATTGATTTTTACATGACCATTTTCTTACCTCTCTTAGAATTACAGGCTGTTTTTGTTACTGTGTTAACGTATGTAAATGACCATTTATTGTCAGTGACTGCTCTATATTGTGCCTTATTCAAAAAGCAGTCTGGGCTGAAACGATCCATTTAACTTACAGGTGAATATATGTTAATCTGCATGTTTTTTTTAAATCACAGTTCAAAACAGGCAGTTTTTGCAGCTTAGTTTTCATATGTATATAACTGAATGGACAGGGGACTGAACAGTATATTTTGAAATTTTAACAATGTTTAGATAGTAATTCAAACTCTTATTTTAAAAAAGTAAGGAGTGCAGTTTTTCTTGATGTGGGCTCTTTATGTATGGGTCCTGCACTCTCATAATTACATAACTTACATATTAGTTTCATAGTACAGAAGAATGTATAGTAGTTGCTGGATAATAAATAGTATGGTTAATGACTGAATAATAAACCTAGGTTAATAAAAGAAGGTTCTCCAAAATTTTCCATTGTTTTTCATATAGTGTAGAGGATCACAATTTTTGCTGATAACATTGAAATCAGGGTTTTGGTGTTGAATGATGCCCAACCTTAATCAAGCCTTCAGGAGCATTTCTTGCTTTTGGCCTGTGGTGTACGGTGCAGACTAGACTACATATTGCACAAACGTGATGTGAAGGTAGCAACAGACAGAAAGAGGGGAGATTGTCTGAGCTCTGACTCACTGAAACCAGCTCACACACACACTCTCACAGCGACAGTGTCTCTGCCTTGCACTGGCTATCTCTCTCTCTCTCTCTCTCTCTCTCTCTCTCACTCTCTTTTACACAGATGCACACACATGTGCACCACAGAAAGCAAGTTTGGTCCTGGATCTCTCTCCCCTGTAGATAAGAATGCCTTCACATTAACTGCGCCCATGTTATGCCTTACAAGTGTACAGTTATTACTGTTGTTTTGCTTTACTATTTAAATATAACTACACAGTTAATTACATAGTTATCAGAGTTGAAGTAGTTACTCAAAAAACTTTATCCATTACAATTTACTCATTACTTCTCTCAGACTGTAAACTGATTACTGTATTGATTACTCACAAGAAAAGCAATTTCACTACTCACTACATTAATGTAATGTAAAACCTATACAAATCTGTACTGACTGGAAAGTACAAGGGAAAACCTAATCGTGCATTCAGTAATTTATTTAGAAAGAAACAGACAATTATAGTAAACTTTTTCTGCCTTTGCTCTGAACAAGACACAATGAAAATGATGAAAACCTGAATCTGTTTGATAACATAGAAACTAGCCAGTAGAAACAGTTCAAAAACAGCTGCCTTGAAACAAAATATGTAAGAATAAAATGTAAGGAAGCATACAGAGCTGTGTCTGAATGAAAATAAAGTTTCATTTGTGTAGGGGAGGTTGGGACACTCGTCTTTAGCATGGAGGTCTTTATTCATCAGTTTAATATTGGCATGATTAGATGCTTTGAATTGTGCTGTGCTCACACTGCGCTGCTTGCGTTTATAGTCAAAGTTGTGCAGTCAGTTGTCATATATAGCACACGTGCCTGTACATTACGCAAGACAGGCACAAGTAATGTACATTTATAAATTAATGTTTTCTATTGTGTACTTAATTTTGCTCTGTTCAACACATATGAGTAACGCAAGATAATTTTCAGCAACTGTAATGTGATTACAAGAATTTACACTGTAATGTGTTACACTAGTTTGGTACAAGGAAAAAGTAATTACATTACTTTGTGTTACTTTGTACTACGTTACCTCCAACGCTGATAGTTATGTAATGGATTACATCTACATTTGATTTACATTGTATATGTGGTTTTGGGACTTCACTTTGGATTTTTTTCTGTTTATTATCAGTATATAGCAATAACGTGGTAAAAACGTAACAGCATTTTACCGCAAAATAACATTGAACACACAACAATACCTTTTGATAATTAAACATAATTAAATATCTTATATGTCAGTGGTACTGAAGAAAGTTTAGAATCTGTACTTTTGACTAAATTTCTCTGCTTATTGTTCTGAACTGCGAGTAAGAAATAAGTTAACAAAATATGAGAAGGGGCTTTCACAGTGTGCGTATCATGAAGGTACCAATCAGAGGGTTCATAGCACGCTCTTTCTCTGCAGTTGCGGCTGCAGCTGTGGGAGGCGTACTGCCAGGTGCGCTCCATCTGCTCTCAGCTGAGAGGAAATGACATCACAGACTCTGCCTTGTCCACGGATTCCTCAATGGACGAGTCTTCAGAGACATCGTCCGCTAAAGACGTGCCTACGGGCAGCCTGCAGTCCAGCCTGCTGGAGCTGCGGAGACTGACGCAAAACTTACTGGACGGCAACGAGTCCACGGTAACCACACACACACACACACACACACACACACACACACACTGCAACAGGTCCACAGTAACCATACACACAGACAAATACACTGCAGTGAGTCTACCTTAACCACACACACACACACCGCAACGAGTCCACAGTAATCACACATGCTCATACACCACAATGAGTCCACGGTAACCACACACACACCGCAACAGGCCCAGAGTAACCACACACACACACACACACACTGCAGCGGGTCCAGAGTAACCATACACACGCACACACACTGCAACGGGTCCAGAGTAAACACACACACGCACAAACTGCAACGGGTCCAGAGTAAACACACACACACACACGCACACACTGCAACGGGTCCAGAGTAAACACACACGCACACACTGCAACGGGTCCAGACTAACCATACACACAGCAACGTTTCCAGGATAACCACACACACACACAGCCACACTGCAACAGGTCCAGAGTAACCGCACACACACACACACACCACAACAGGTTCAGAGTAACCATATGCACACACACACACACACACACACACATACTGCAACGGGTTCAGAGTAACCATACACAAACACACTGCAACAGGTCAAGAGTAACCGTAAACACACACACACACTGCAATGCATTCAGAGTAACCATATACACACACACACACACATACTGCATGGGTCCAGAGTAACACTGCAACGTGTCCACGATAACCACACACACACTGCTACACGTCCATGGTAAACACACACACTGCAACGAGCCCACATTAACCACACACACACTGCTACATGTTCACACTAAGCACACACACTGCAACGAGTCCACGTTAACCACACACACACTGCTACACGTCCATGGTAAACACACACACTGCAACGAGCCCACATTAACCACACACACACTGCTACATGTTCACACTAAGCACACACACTGCAACGAGTCCACGTTAACCACACACACACACACTGCAACATGTACGCGGTAACCACACACACACTGCAACAAGTCCACGGTAACCACACACTGCAACGAGCCCACATTAACCACACACACACTGCAACAAGTCCACGGTAACCACACACTGCAATGAGCCCACATTAACCACACACACACACTGCTACACGTCCACACTAAGCACACACACTGCAACGAGTCCATGTTAAACACACACACGCACACACACACACACACACACACACACACACTGCAACATATACGCGGTAACCACACACACACTGCAACAAGTCCACAGTAACCACACACACACTGCTACACGTCCACGGTAAACACACACTGCAACGAGCCCACATTAACCACACACACACACTGCTACACGTCCACACTAAGCACACACACTGCAACGAGTCCATGTTAAACACACACACACACGCACACACACACACACACACACACACACACACACACACACACTGCAACATATACGCGGTAACCACACACACACTGCAACAAGTCCACAGTAACCACACACACACTGCTACACGTCCACGGTAAACACACACTGCAACAAGTCCACATTAACCACACACACACTGCTACACGCCCACTCTAAGCACACACACTGCAACGAGTCCCCAGTAACCACACACACACACACACTGCAACAAGTCCATGTTAACCACACACACAAAAACAATGAAACATGTACACGGTAACCACACACACACTGCAACAAGTCCACAGTAACCACATACACACTGCTACATGTCCACGGTCCACAGTCTGTTCTGACAGGTGTAAAAACTCTCTCATACTCATACACAAATAAACTGTGGTCCACTGAAAATCATGGGTCTCGGTTCACTTCCACATGAACCATGCATTTTTGTGATGCGTGCGCATGTTTTTCTGCTTCCTCTAGTAGCACATCAGCGCTGTACTCTCCACATAATCTGCCTGTTTTAACATCTTCATATCGCACGAGTGACCTGATTAATTGTTATATAAATAATTCTGATTAACAGCTTAATTGTCTGTTTTGTTCATATTATGCAACTAATAAAATACGAGTCTAAAACAGCTCAATTGGCTTATTAGCATGCTTACTTCCTAGCTCTGACATGAGGTGCACTGCACTGTAGTATGTGAAACAAGTGCCAACAGTCAACCAGAACTTCCATTTTTCCCCCTGAGGCTGTGGAAATGTGGGCAAAAAACATTTGTTCTGCAAGCATACATGCTAAAATTTTTAATTAAATTAACAACTATTGCCCCTTAAACATGTAATATAGTGCAGTTAGAACTAGAACCCAGAAAAGTAATTTCTTATTTTTATTTATTTGCCTCAAGCCAACTAATGAAAATTCAAGCTTATCACATTACGCTAGTTATGAATAGTACAGTATGCTTGTGAAATCTAATTACTGTTGGAAAATAATTGCAGTCAAATCAAATAATTGCAATTATCTCAAATAATTGTGATCAAGCAATTATGCAATAATTGTGACAGGCCTACTTCAAATATCTGATTCCTATCACTTAAGATTTTTTGCCTCCTTTATGTATGTAGTGCACACACTCATGGAACATGGAATACACACTGTAAAAACATTAACTAGCTTACTCTATACAAAAGCATTCTATTCAGTAATTTAGTAGTTTAAATGGACCCTTTGGCTGATGTGTTTAGGACCTAATCACACTTTAAAATATTAATATGTAGTTAAATTGTAAAAGTGTGATGGTGAAAGAGAAGTTGACTTGGTTTGTAGAAAAGGATTAAAGGACTATATGATAGCAGTGGCCCTGCGATGGACTGGCGACCTGTCCAGGGTGTATCCTGCCTTCCGCCCAATGACAGCTGGGATAGGCTCCAGCACCCCACCGCGACCCAGAAGGATAAGCGGTTTAGATGATGTATGTATGTATGTATGATAGCAGTGGTTCCCAATCCTGGTTCTGCTACTCCTGCACAGTTTAGTGTTTCTCTGCTAAAACTCTGGAAGGGTTTGTTAATTAGCTGTTTAGATCAGGGAAGACAGCAAAATGAGAGATACTACACAAGCAAATTTGGCAAGCTCTGCTCTAAACTACATTTATGGGGTGTGTGTGTGTGCAGGGTTCACGGCGCAGTGATGAGGAGGTGCTGGAGGAGCAGGTGAGGAAGCTGGGCGAGGAGCTGAGAGAAGTGCGAGAGCTTTACGAACAGGAACAGGAAAGAGTGCGCAGCGCACAGGAAGAGGTGCTGCAGCTCCATAATCAGGTACACACACACACGCACGCACGCACACACTGAGTCAGCAAAACTAAACTGGAAGTGAAAGTTAGACTCACGGGGTAAACTGACATGCTGTAGACTACAGCTGTGCTCAAAAAGACAGCAGCTCAGCTTCTGGAACGCAACTTATATCTATAAAGCAGGCCTAACTGACCTACCCATTCTCCACCCACAAAAGCATCTTATCCAGTAGCACCCACTAAAGATAAGATAAATAGATTATCTTGATACATGATGTCCATTGGAACAGAGAAAAAAAGAAAAAAGTAGTACCACATTTGATAAATGCTATGAATACAATGATTTTTGTTCTTTTCAGATACTGCACAAATCCAAATAAACAGGACTAATTATGATCTCTTTGTGTAGTTGATTCATGTACACACAGAAAAGCATATTGTGACATAATGTGAGGCCATTTATCACAATAACGAAAAATGTTGTCATATTACTCACTTCTGCGAAGCAGTATGCTCACCAGCTTCTGGTATGATGTTGCTACTTAAGTTAAAGCTGCACTATATACATGTTTCTTTTTTTGTTAATTTTGTTAGTTTAAAAGTTAGAGATGTTGCCAGACATTTTGTGGTAGTTTTTCAGATCATCTGTCTGACATATTAACGTCTAACGCACAGGCTCAGAAAGGTCTGGCATAATGTTTAGGTCTCAAATGCCAAATCACCATTATACTGATGAACATATGATGACAGTAGTAGATCATTCACTTACATCCTTGGAAGACATGTACTTTACCAAGTTTTGACTGAATTCTCTATGAATTTTCTTTCAGTGCGCGCATACTTCAGATTCATCAGCACAAGGGGTCTGAAGCATGTCTTACACACGTTGTGTGCAGTAACAGATTTTCACCAGAGGGCTCTCCAAATTCCCAAATCTTACACAGTGCGGCTTTAACATCATAGTTTAGACCACTTGCTACTGTAGCAGTAGTTCTCAATTCTGGTCCTAGAGTACCGATCTTCCTCACATTTTAGACCCTCTCTGCTCCCAACACACCTGATGCAACCCATAAACTAATTATCAAATCCTTCCTTACATGAACTGGGTGTCACAGAGCAGAGAACCCACAACAGACAAGGCAGTGGGACTTTAGGACCCCTGACTGAGAACCATTGCTCTAAGGGATTTGCTGACAGCATTTTTTCCATCGTATTTGCAACATATACTGACATAACGGCAACAACAGAAAGCGCAACAGTGTGTAGCTTGCAACTATATCAGAAGAGCAACCGCGAGAGAGACAAACAGAGGTGGAAATTTATAAACGCTAATGAAAAAATATTCAGGTATGCAAGCGGTCCTGTAGAGGTAGGAACAGTTTCACCTAGGACCTTTAACATGCACACAAAATAAGTCATTTGAATTTAATAACACATTATAAACAAAAACTGAGTTACATGTCATGTTTTCTTATTAGCTTGAGTGGAATTTATGCAGACATTATGTAAAGCTTGTCCAAGTAGCTCCAAAAGAATGCATTTGTGGTTGAAGCTTAGAGAGGCCGATTAAACTTTATTGTTCAGTTGAGATTGATTCCATTGCTATGTTTCATCATGCTGTTGTAGATTGCGCTGCTCTCATTAGAAGTATGTTCGTCTCGGGAGGAGAACGAGAGATTACGAGCCATGTCGGAGGTTCGAGAACCCAGTGAACAACTGCAGAGCGCCATCCGAGACCGAGACGACGCAATCACCAAGTATATTGGATTATATTATAGTAAACAATGTTTAGTTATTTATGGCTACTTGTTTACTTTAAAGTAGCACAGTACTGTGGGTTACAGAGGAAAGTGCACTTCTACAAGAAACATTTCAGGTTCTTCCTTGTCTGAAGCAGATGTAGTGAATGTGTTCCCTCAGCCTTTTAACCATGACCTCATTCTGTCATATATATCATGTCCTACCATGGGATAGACCATCACATTCTCATTCTCTCTCTCTTTCTCTCTTTCTCCTTCAGGAAAAAAGCAGTGGAGATGGAGCTGGCTAAGTGTAAGATAGACATTATGTCTCTGAACAGTCAGCTCCTGGACGCTATCCAGCAGAAGCTCAACTTGTCGCAGCAGCTAGAAGCCTGGCAGGTGGGTCAGGAGTCCCACTAACACACAAACATGAGGCCTGTTAGGACACTCATATTTTACCATATATGTCCATCCTACTCAGAATCTGTCCTGGTTTACACTAGGACCAAGGGACTAGAGAGGTCACAGCCATGCTTATAGAAGCACAAGCTAGTTCTCTGAGCAGTGCAGAAAATCAGAGTACACTAATTAAGACATCTGCAAGCTCTACTGACACTCCTATGGCCCCAAGTCTTTAATGTTGTATTGTTTCATTGCATAACTCTACTGAGTCTGTAGGGTCTCTTTCTCAAAGCCCCCTCTCTCAGTGTGTCTCCCTCTCTGTATCCCATTGTCTTCTCTCTCTTTTGTTTGTCACTGATTGACTTTGAGTCTGTGGCTCTCTTCTCTGTCCACTCTTTCTTTTCTTCTCAGGATTTACTGTTTATGTCTCATCGCTGTCTTTCTCACTGTCTCCTAAAGCAGCGGTTTGTTTGAAAATCAAATTTATTCATTTTCTCATTATACCAAATGTAGCTGATCAGCCAAGATGTGTTTGGTGTCTGAACTGATTCTAATTAGTTATGGAGCTAGGAGGCTAATGTAGCTATCAAGTAATGGAAGCTTAGGCACAGTTAACATACAGCTATCTATAAAAATGGACAAAGTACTGTAAAAATGTCAGGCTGCAGGATCACTGTCTATTGATGTTTTTATCCAGGTGACCAGGGTTTTAGGCAGGTGTGATGACTAAGGCTGCGTTCACAAAGACATTTTGGTTTCCATCAAAAACTCATTTCTTGCCATTGATTTCAATGAATAAAATGTGTTGACATACAGCAGACACAAACACATGAGTTTGTGAAAATTAGACTCCACTATCTGTTGAAAAACAAGCTATACTTTTGACAGAGCGTACTCTGACCTGCCAATACATTAGCCAATAGGAGAGTTCGTAGCTATACAGTCCAATTTCATAGATATAGAAGGATACTAGTAATAACTGGTTTGGTTTAAACACAGCTTAACTGTTTTGCCTCATTTAAAGAAAGAACGAGTTTTCATGTTTGAATCAGTTTCCTGCTTCACAACAAACTTTAGCAGTGTGTTTTGTTGGCTGCTGGTGGGGTTAACCAAGCACCTTGGCTTTTCCACTGTATTTGGGATAATGGGAAATTTTTTAAGGGGTATATTTGGCTTTTGGACAAACCATTGCTTTAAGATGTGTTGGTGTGTGTGTGCGCGCATGTGAGAGAGAGAGAAACTGTGTGTGAGTGAGTGTATGCGTCTATGTATCCTTCCCTCTCCCTGTATAACTTGTAGCTCTCCCCTCTCTCTCTCTTTCTCTCTTTCTTTCTCTCTCTCTCTCTCTCTCTCTCTCTCCCTGCCTGCAGTTTGCCTCCTCAGGGCTGTTCACTGTGTGGCTCTTGTGGTTTCTGATCTAGTGGCCTTTCTCAGCTTCCGTACGAATCCCCTCTCCCCCTGTGGTAGCCCCTTCCTGCCTTAGAGGTGAGCTCCTGTATGCCATCTCGACCCATGCCAACATCCAGACCAGAGTTTATACAAGAGATGGCACTGTTTCCATACCCAGTATCGGCAGTGAGCTGTTACTAGCAAAAAAAAGTTGGAGACAGAAAAAGAATGTATGCAATCCAATTCTGTAATAAATATAGCTTCTTATATCACAGAAAGCAAAAACAAAGTAAAGTAGGCCATGCGGTAACAGTAGCTACATGTAGCTTAGTGTTAACATAAGAATAACAATTAGCTGAGTATTATGGTAGAATTTAATCTAATCTAATCTAATCTTGCACATATTTGAAATAGATATATTTGTGTGAAAGAATTTAAAAAGAAAATCTGTGGATTTCTCTGGAAGTCATTTTATTCATATGAGGTTGTACAGTGTTTGAATAGTTTGACTATAGTGCTTTTAGATCACCATCTTCCTTTAAATGCATCAAATAAAAATAGCTCATTTTTAAGCTTAGTGATTTTTTTTTAAAGAAAAAGAAAAATCAGAATCAGTATCAGCTGATACTTAAGGTTTCAGTAACGGTATCAGAAAAGAAACAGTGGTATTGTACCATCTCTTGATTCTACCTCTACCCCAGCACGACTCTATGGGGATCTGTCATGGCATGCCGAGGTCCATCCATTTCACTCATGTTTTGTCATGGTTTCATACATTTTCCCCTCATTTGTTTTACCCATTGTCAGTTTTCCTTGTACTTTTCATATGCATCTCATTACTTTTGTCTGATTCTCGTTTTTCTTTTGTGTACAACTAACAAAGGCAGCATAACCTTATGTTCTCTTGCTCTTTCTTTCATTGCACCTCTCTGTCTCTCTTTCTTAGGATGATATGCACAGAGTGATAGATCAGCAGTTGATGGATAAGCATCAGGAGGAATGGAGGGACTCTCCGTACTCTTTCTCCGGGGCCAACACGGGCTCCCGCACCCACTCGGGACCCCCTTCCAGGAGACCCCACCGCCTCTCTGATGGCGACAAGCGCCTCTTCTCATTTTTCAAGAAGAACTGAGTCTGTGTAGAGAGAAAGAAGTAACGTTAAAGACAAGCATCGAATTTACGTGATTCAAATGTACATAATTTCCGCATGAATTAAATGTACAGCTTGCTTACTGCCAACAGTAAGCAAATTTAAAGTTGATGTAATGTTTATTTATGTTGAAATTATGTATAGAATTGAATCAAGTAAATTTAGTGCCTCACTTTTTTAAGTGTAGAGAGAGAAAAAGGGAGAGAGCAATAGAGACTGAGAGAGCAAACCTAATGACTGACCTAGCCAAAGACTAAGACTTTAGAGCGAATAACCACCAAACGTCAGAATCTTGTGAAGGCCTGGAGCCATTTTGCACTTTATCTGCCCCAACCACTCCACTCCTTCAGATCATTCTAGATGAAGGCCTGGGGAAGTCAATGCGAATATAAGAGATTTACAGAAAGAGAAGGTCCTTGGCTATTATCCTCAACTGATACAGCTTCAAGCTCTGCTTCAGGGTGATTTGTACAGGGTTACCACATTTGCCCCATATCAGAGGCCAGCTTCCCCTCCTAGTGCCTCAGACATACTCTCCTCACCCTACTGCCAGTCACGTACATTGGAAGTCTGAGATTTAGCTCTGACAAACTGAAGGATGCGTTTGGCCTTTAACTCAGGACGACTGTAGAAGGTTCAGGCTGGAGATTTGAAGTCAGGCTACTGGTTGTATTTTGTGAATTAGCTGCAGCCTAACAGCCAGAAACAGCCATTATGTTAATTCACACTTTCACAGGGGCCTTATTCTCAGTCAGTTGTTTACTAGCAAATACAATGAAAAAATGTACTCAGCCACATGAATAAAACACAGTACATCAGCACAATCATTGCTGGATTATTATTAGGTAAGCATACTGTGCTGATGTGGTGCATTTTATTGGTCTGCACATGATGTACGTATTTGCATACTTAAGCGCAAATTCAGTGCATCTCTTTTTCAGTGTATGAAAATGACAGTTATGAGGTAAATTGCAAATCTATGTAATAGTTATTAGACTTACTAGGGTCGTGCATTCCAAATAACGTTGATATCTGAGTATCAGGAGATGCTGAATAGATATCATGAACGGATATCTGGTTAACCACAGGGAAGAAAAGCAACAAAAATGGGAAAAAATGGACTTTGGCCAAATTTATCATAGGGCTATACACGTACTTTTTAGATATTTTATTATTCAAAAATAGCTGCGGGAAATCGGCAGGTTTTGCGTCTGATGAGTAACAGAAGCTGCCTCTTCAAATAAGCCAGTAAGCTAACACTAAATTAATGCATTCAACACAAGTTCTTTTCTCGCCAGTGGACAAAATGACATGTAACTTTGTCAGAGGAATGTATTTTCACTCTTCCTGGAGAGAAGCTAGCAAAAAAAGTCGCACCAGAGCCGGCCGTGCTGTCTCTGTCTTCTCAGTGACCTTCATAACACGTTCTTGGCAATGCGCTCACGTTCAGAGACGTCATAGTTTCATAGTAGCAAAGACGTATGTAACTTCACTCACAAAACTCATATTTTACAGTCATGCTAAAACGAAATCCACACTTCCCTGAATTGTTAGCCAGTATATTTTCTCCGTCTCCTCATGATGAAACATAATGAATACGTAGATAATGATTTCACTGTTTGAATACCAGCACCTCGAACAGTTAACCATAACAGAGTACTCGAGTACCCGTGCACATTCCTTATATTTACCAAGATGTTGTTTAAAAAAAAAAACACAAACAGTTATAAATATACTCATGCACCTCCCAATTTGACTGCTTTAATTTTAGTTTATTATTAGTGTACCTTTCAGAATTACACTAATTCAGGCCTTGAGTGATGTGAATGAACCTATAGAGCTACCAGATTTCAGCTGCAGGCAGTTTGCAGCAATGATTCACAAAATTACAAACTGTGCTGACAGTAGTTCTTCAAATGTGTTCATTTAAGAAGAAACTTAAATAACCACAAGCAAACTGTCCTCAAGGCTGTGAGAGCTAAATGCTTTTTATGTCAGGTGTCCGTCACTAGATGTTCTATAGCCAGGATTGAATGATAGTGCTGCAGTTGAACTAAGTCTCTTAAAGGGTCTACTGCCATAGCCCCTATCTCTGAACCTTTAGGGGGGGACACCATAGTCCAGCCTATGGGAATAAAAGGGCCACTTTAGGTCTTGGTTTTGAGCTTCCTTTGGATAGCGAAATGCCCCTGATACGTATGGGGATGATTCAGAACCCTAAAAACTGTCTGGAAAGTGTTATAGAATTGTGACCTCTGCTTTTTTTATTTTTTCATTTTATTTTATTTTATTTTATTTTGTGGCTGTGCAATTCGGCAAAGTCAGGCCCATTTTAAGCAAAGCTATGCAGATGTCTTCTCGTTTTAACTGAGGCGACTGATGGTTTGGAGAAACCCAAAGAGTGACTTTTTATACTTGCAGATAGGTTTGGAATAATAAAAAAACTATTGATATATTTGTTATTTGTAAATGTATAACTTTTAAATGACAAAAATCATACTTTTTTCTAGAACAATCTACATGTGTGCGTCTGTGAGTAAGTCTGATTTGTGAGCAGTTGTTTACAGACTGAAGCTCTGAGGAGAACTTCAGAGTGTCATGGTTGAGTGGAGTGGAGTCTCTGCTTTACTGTCTGATTCTACAGCTGCTGAAAAGCCGATGGCAATGGAAAAGCTAACTGAAGAGCTAACCAGTTGACAGTGAAAAAGCTAATGCTGCATTCATGACCAACAAGTTTCTGACTTCTAAAATGGAAAAATCCGTTTGAACCGTCATCCTACTTATAATTCCCACTCAGAAGGTTGGAGTTTGTCAGGAGTTCTGACTTCTAGTTGCAGCTCTGTAACACCATGTGAACATGGCAGTGCCCACAGAGCAAAAGTAGAAGCGTCTTGTTTTGTGTATGATGGGCTATTTGCATGTGATATTAAATACGGACTGATATTTGGATAATTGCAAGCGCAGGTCATTCTGTGCAAGATTTTTAATCAAACTGTGCATTATATGAACAGTGAATTGCCGTAGCCTACAGCCACTTTTAAAATAAACGAAGCACTAACCAAACAACTCTTCAACTCTGGTCTAAAAGCTTTTTAAGAGCTTTTTACATATGCCCAGCCAAACAAATGCAAGATTACTGTGACCATCCATTTTTTCCCAGAGGCAGTCTTTGCACCAGGCAAAAGCCCACCATGAGACATGGGCCTCATGACAGTGTAAGTTAAATACACTAAATATGTTAAATAACCTATTCTGAAATCCATTACAAATTACAGATGACAGTGACAAATGACTTCTCTTAAAATGTAACTAGAGTATGTTACTTATTACTTCCTGGAAAAAGTGACTACACTGACAAAAAAATGTAGCTTGTTTCTTGCATATTTTTAAAAGCAAATTATCTTCCATATAGTGAGATTTTTAAAAATAAAATTACTGTTAATTAAATATTAGATATATCAACTAGTGCCCTGCGATGGACTGGCGACCTGTCCAGGGTGTATCCTGCCTTCCGCCCAATGACAGCTGGGATAGGCTCCAGCACCCCACTGCGACCCAGAAGGATAAGCAGTTTAGATGATGTATGTATGTATGTATATCAACTAGATACAAGATGAATTCACTGACTAAGATATAATTTTTTGCAGTGTGAGCAGTTGCATCTCTCAGGAGCCTCAACTAATGTAAAAATGTGCGTCCAGAAATGGGCACCATTCCCGTCTTTTGCCTAGAATCACTAAATCCACCCCTTTTTCACGTGACCTCAGACAGCTAAAGTTGTGTGAATGCTTTAAAGTGGGAAGCTACGGGCTTGAAAAGTCCATGTTTCCTGTTGTCATGAACGCAGCATAACCGAGAAGCTGATCAGCTAGCAATGGAAAAGCTCAACAGTTAGCAGTGGAAAAGCTTATGGAAGCAGCAGACAATCTCATCATGCTAACTGCTAAATTCTTGAGGGTATTTACACCTTGCATGAACTTGTGTTTTAGGTGATCGGATCATATTCAGATTCCACTTCACAGCATGAAACAGAGCCAGTACGCATTGTGATTGGATCAAGGTCAGATCACTCAAACGACATTTAGAAGTGGTCAGAGCTGGATCTTGATCATATTCAGCAAGTGTAAATGAGGTTAGTTCTATATCCACATACAGTTACCTAAGCGGAAATGCATCTGCTGAGTGTGGAGTGTTAGCACATGAGAGAATAAATGAAGAAACCCAAGATGGAGGATATGCAAAGCTGGAGTTTTTTCAAAACCAAGCAACTTCTTGCACTCTGGGCTGATAAAGGCATTCAAGCCAAACTTGGATATAAGTTGATGTGTAAATGGAATCTGGTCAAAGTTTATCCAGATATGATCTGGACATTAAACACATGTTAATGCAAGGTGTAAACATTCTCCTTGTTTCTGAGGTAACTCCTTTTTGTCTGAGACAGTTATGATTGGCAGGATTTAACGCTTATTCACTATTCGCTATTTTACACAAGCAGCTGACTCTCCATCTTTTAGGCTAGTTTGTGCTGTTGCTGATAGGAGTGTGTCAGTTCTGAATAAATTGCTATCATATGTTCAGGCTTCCAGAGGACCGAACCAGACAATAGTCAGAGTTTGAACCCCTCCACTGTTAGCACGTTACCTGTTGTGTTCTGTGTGGGGAAAAATGCATCTCAGTCCTGGTTTTGTTCGTGTTTTTCAGTTTCTTCCTTTGTGTCCATCACACACTGTTCTGTAAATGTCTCCTGTTAATTTGACTTTGTACTGTCTTTTGTTTTTCCATTTAAACACTGTTTTTGAAAGTCTCACAAGTCTGTGTCCTGAATCCTTTTTCAGCATGAACACACTGAGGCTAACACCCAGCTGTGAATGTGATGTCTTCAGGGAAGCAAGAGCATTTCTCACAAATGCACCATTTCCAAATATATTCATCATAAATGTCGTCAGTCATTCAAATAAGTACTTCCCTTTTTAGCTTACTGTGTTTGTGTGTGTGTGTGTGTGTTTCCTCATATGTAACAGCTCTATTTAGTTCCTACTGACTGCCAAGGCCAGTGCAAAGCACAGTGGATACTCCTTGTGCACCTGCACACAGATCAAGACCTTTTACCATCAATATCACGTGATGTTGCATGTGACACAGCCAGTACTATAAATACCCCTCTCACATGGAAGACACCTTTTTTTCTCTTTCCATAGTGACTTAGGTTGACAGTTTCAATTGCTGTTCTATAGCCTGCTAGAGCTTCAAGATCTTACCTTATTTTTCACAGGTTGTGAGAACAGTGATGCCTGAGTACTCATGCCAGAGTACTCCGGCCAACTTCAGCTCGGGCTATTACAGCTGGTTTCCCCTACATATCGTCCTTGCTAGTGGGTCGAAGTCATTAGCTTGGGTTGCCATTACTACACCCTTGCTCATGGCCAGCTGCAAGCTCATGTTGCTTCCAATGATTTCCCTAGATCGGTGTCTCTGCCCCTGGGCCAACTACTTGCTCAGTCTGCAACGGCTGCTTTCTTCAGACTAGCATGAGTCAACATCATTTAGACCACTAACTAGAAACCTGCAAACTGGTTTCCTGCAAATTGAAACCTGGCTCATGGGTCTGCATCACTAACTCTGGCTGATTTGCTTTGTTTTGGCAGACTAGCATTCCTGGAGTATGCTTCCACTGAACATGATTCCTCTGAACGTGCTTCCATTGATGCTAGGTGAAATGGATTCTAGTCATTGCTTGGCACTGAGTTGCCCCAACATTGCCATGTAAACCTTAAGCTTAGTGCTCTCCACTAGCTTGCAGATATAACAGTTGCTACTATGTTTACTGAGGTTTGACTGCTCTCCCCTAGCTGCCAAACTGTAGCTCAGAAGATAACTGCTACAAATTTCCTTTTAACAGCAAACTACACCTAGCAGGGCTACAATGGCAGGGGTGTCCAATCTTATCCGCAAAGGGCCAGTGTGGTTGCAAGTTCTTATTCCAAACAAGCAAGAGCACATCTGAATCCACTTGCTTAATCAATTGGTCTCAGTCAAAAAATTGTCATGTGTCCTTCTGGTTTGTTGGAATTGAAACCTGCAGCCACACCGGCCCTTTGAGAATATGATTGGACACACTTGTACCACTGGCTTCTCACATCATGTTTACCTCAGCCCATGGTAACTGTGCCCGATGACAAATAAGTGTTTCTCAGTCTTGCTTGTGGGGGCTCATTGCCCTCTGCAGTTTCAAGGACTCCCCACCCCAACACACCTGACCCACCTCTTGAAGTGCTTGATATTTAGATGGGCTTGCACTGGGTCCTCAGGAGCAGGCTTAAAAAATACTGCATTCGAGGCCGATGATAGTCACAAGCTGTGCTGTTTCTGCCTCAATAGATCATCTGAGGTATGCCCTGCCCAGTCCATGCATGACGCTGAAGTCTAGATCAAGCTTGGATTCCTTCTGCCAAGCGTGAACCAAGAGTTGCATCCTTCCCAGTATCACACAATTCTTTCAAAGACTCAGATATCTTTATCTGTTGCGCTGGAACATAAGGTAGATCAATTTATTAATCAAATGTGGCCAATATGAAGTCTGTACTTGTGGTACTGTAATCATTCTGCTGTACTGGCCAAAGAGTCCACTGACTTTTCTCTTACTACCTCAGCAAGATTAAACTTCATCTGATTTTCTGCATTGCTGCTCTATCTATGCTCAAAACAGTTGCGACATACTTTTGAAGTGGTCTTCTTACTTCCACCTTGGGCTTAAAGCATGCTTTGGGGGTGTTTCCTTAACCACTACCATGTCAGCTAGCTACAGTAGTAGCTACCTCTATCTAAACCTCATGGACCTCTGGCTGGTCCTGCACTTGCTCCACCACATTAGTGCCCTAACAGTTGCTAACATCTAGTAAGTAAGTAGTAAGTAAAGTTTATTTATATAGCGCTTTTTACAACAGGTGTTGTCACAAAGCAGCTTTACAAGGAAATCAGCCCTACAGGAAGAAATCCGGGTCCAAGCCCCCATGAGCAAGCCAGTGGCGACAGTGGCAAGGAAAAACTCCCTAGGAACAGGAAGAAACCTTGAGAGGAACCAAGACTCAGAAGGGGAACCCATCCTCCTCTGGTCGACACCGGATAGTAAACATTGTTAGTACAAAAACAGGGAAAACAGGTGGAGCAATGATTAATTTGATTAGTTTAGTTCATCCAGTAGCGGCGGCAGCATCAGCATCAGTGGGGTCAGGTTGTGAGGGTGAGGTTTGCACAACGTAGTACAGCATGGAGCTTGATGGTGGTCAAGCCGGTCCAGAGGGCTGGCGAGCAGTGGCACCCGATCAAGGCAGAAGCATCAGACGCACAGGATGGGCAGCTGTTCAACTCGGCAAAGGAAAGAAAGAAAGGAAAAACACACAGAGTCAGTTCTGTAATGGGTGATTGATTAATTTGGTTAGTTTAAATGATTGATTAGTTCAAATGATTAATTTGATTAGTTTATGCAACAGCAGCATCAGTGGGGTCGGGATTGTGAGGGTGAGGTTTGCACGGCAAGAACAGCTGTTCAACTCGGCAAAGGAAAGAGAAAGAAAAAACACAGAGTCAGTTCTGTAATGAGTGACTGACAGAACTGAGAGTCAGTTCTGTAATGGGTGACTGATTACAGATTAAAGTAGCAGAGCAGCAGAGACTCTGGCAGGTATAGAACTGACAGGGAAAACTAATTACCAAAGGCTTGTCTATACAAGTAAGTTTTTAGCCTAGACTTAAAGACTGAGGCTGTGTCTGAGTCCCGAACATTAACAGGAAGACTATTCCAAAGCTGGGGGGCTTTGTATGAGAAAGCTCTCCCCCCTGACAGAACTTCTAGTCCCTAGCTACAGCAGCTGTGGCATCTAACCACACCTTGCGGAGCTCTAGCTGATCCTGCCCTAGTGCATCTGTGACACCTACATCTACGTCTCGCAGTGTCCCCCAGACTTTCCTTATTTAGATGATAGTCTTGCATGTGCCCACGGACAGAAAGTCATGATGCTCTTCTAGAACACATTTACACTCTAGGTCCCATTCCATGTGACTTCCATGTGTCATCTGTTGTGCTATGTGCTTTGGATGACCACCAGAGTTGTCAGTCATCTAGTGGATGACTTGTGTTAAAGCAAGGTATTTGTATTACTGGCTGTGTCCATGCCACTGCATTACTGTTTCATTTTAGATCTCAGACTCAGCCATTCTTTGTACTGCCTCTGGCAGTCCTGTGGAACCAGAGTTACATTTGTACCTAGCAAGTGTGTATGTGACCGTTTCATTGCAGTCATGAACATGATAACTGGATATTCACTAGCCTACAATATTTCACAAACACTGACAGTACCAAGCAGTTCCAGGGCATACATGTGTAAGGTTGTGACTCATAGTAGGCAAGAAATGCAGATTTTGACATTCACACATTTGGGAAATTGATGTGTGAAGCAATCACAGTGCTCCTTGTCAGATGCATGTCATTGTCATGAATCGTGGCTGGCAGCACAGTTTTATCACGATCACTAATGTTGGAAGTTATTACTTATACTATCTATCTGCATATGTACAAAAATTGCTTCAACTGGAAAATAACTAGTTGTAAAAATGCTAACCTTATATTGCTATGCTATATCATGACCTTATACAATGTGAGCACAACTATCTGAAAACAAAGTGATCTGAGAAACTCCAGGCTTATAAATGTATACTTCCATGACACAGGCCTCGAAGAGGATTGTTCACACCATCTTTCAGTTTTATCAAGAATTGAGAGAAGGACAATGTACTTGAATAATGTGGCAGCCTATGTGTAAATACACAATCTCAGACAAAGTTCCTCATCACAAGTGGACTTAATAAATAATAAAGAAAGTTTGAGTTAAGAGAATGAAAATTCAACATAATTCTGATAAAATGTTAGCAATGAATGCAGGCAAGTGAATGTGTGTGCCGTATTGTAGATTTCATAGATCTTGTGACATGTCATATTGTAAATAGGCCATGTTTTCTACATCCTTTACATTTTCAGATAGTAAATAGTATTTATACATATGGAGACTATAGGAAAAGGGTTATGTTTTTATACAATCAAAAATTCTTATTTTTCAATTAACTTGAGAAAATAATGAATAGATAATATACAACTAACCATTTCTACATATCCATGTTTCCATGTTATGAAAAGCATCCAATGAATGTGTTTCATCATGTGGAATGCACTGTGACATAATAAAATGAAATGAAAAGCAAATGCAAGAGCCTCTCAATCTTATTGCTGCAGAGACAATTGCAAATCTTGACAGAAAGGTCAAGTGTGCAGGGCAGGGTACTCCAGGACCGCGGTCTAGAATCACTGACCTTGTAAAAGAACCTTTTACTACATATACATGCATTATGTAACAGCAAACGTATCAAATACATGAAAATTTGTAATCACAAACACACATGTATTAGTGAGATCCTGCTGGTGTGGGTTTCCTCTCTTTCAGTGATGCTCACAAAAGTGAATTGCTAATAATTCTCCCTTCTGCTAAACCCAGGTTTATATCGACCCGTGGATGTCATGTACACCAATCAAATTGCAAACTAATTTCTAGTCCAGTTCATCAAAACATACATTTTATTCAAACTAGCTGAAAAAACAGCAGCATACAGAATATTTCTTCCTGGTCATACAGACAAATAAAGGACCACAGACAAATGTTATTGTGTCAAATGTTAATCTGTTTAAAATATTTATTATTGATTCAATTCATAAGGGGGAGAAATCCATGATACATCTCTTTACTCCAGTGTACAGCATAACCACAGCTCAAAATGTGTTTCAACCATAGCACAAACACATGCACGTTTGCATGGATATGTGCAAGTATGTATATAATATATATTAAATACATAATACAAATATATTTATATATACATATACATAATGAATAAAAGTCAGCGAGACTTGTTGCCATGACTCCTTTACTTGGTTGAAATCGGATCACTGCATGGCCAGGAAAATAAATGTGTTATTGCCCACTGATTTTGATAATGTGCAGCTTCTGTAGGGCCCAGGAACAACCTTCTATTAGCACAGTGAAGCTTCGGAGCAGTGTGAGCAGGTGCAGGTATTTATCTAAAGCAGATGCCTACTTCGGACATGGGATAAAAGGACAGAGATATTTAGCTGTGAATACCCACTTAAGGTTACAGAGCTGCATTACTTGGGTCTTTTATCAAAACAAAATAACTACTCTTCCTATGCGAATCCCTGGGGCAAATCCCTTGGCATATAGTTCCACATTTACAGTTTAGACCATACAGTCACCCTGGGAAGTATGAAAACCATCTTCTCATCAGAGACCTATTCATGTGCAATTGTGTGTAAACACCATCAATACTGTTATCAATCCCCCTCCTTTATCTTTTACATCAATAACAATCAGTCTTTACAGAATATTTGGGTCTATGGGGACACTGCTTGATAAGGGCTTGTGTAACAACATAAGATTATGATGCAATAACAGGAGTACAGCACCTGTACAAAAAGACCAGCATGAGCCGGAACACTGAGCAGTGCCAGATGATATAGATGCTCATGACCCTGGAGATCCAGACCCAGTCCATACACAAATCTCACAAGTCCAATTCGGCATTACCATGGCAACTGTTGATAAGGGAGGGGGAGGGGGGCTTCTATGGCAACGATGCAGGAGAGTGCTGTTCCACTTTGCTCCCATTTAGGATCATGGCAGTATCACCGTTTTCCTTCTGCTGTGTTTCTGCAAATGCAAAAAGAGGCCTGAAGCATGGTAAGACTTTTGTGAAATGTCAGCAGGAGGGCTGGTAGATGTTCTATAAATGAACCCAGGAGAAGAAAGGGACAGCTTGGCAAAAGAAAAACCCCAAAACTCATGAGTTCTGTTCAGTGAATCCGTTGATCAATACCAAATAGCAATTACTGTGAACTGATTTGTTTTTCCTTAAAATTGAATCATCTCATGAGCTGCTGGCGTTGAAGATCTGAAGTTGCAAAAATGTCCATTATCCTGTAGGACCAGAAAAAAAGCCTCCATTCTAGAAAAAAAAATAAAAAATCTATCCCATCAAACCAAAAAGAAGAAGAAGAAAAAAAAAGACACTCCCAAGACGGGGACAACAAAAAGCAAGAAAACAGACGTCGCTGTAAGAGCAACTCTTAATGCATATATAAATCTGCACATTGTGGTGGCCATGTCAGCTTGCAGGTCCTTCGAGAAAGAAGGAGGATCTTTTATTAAATACCACATCTGTTGAATTCCACATAAAACTCCTTAATTCTAATAAAATCTGTACATTTCTCTTTAAAAAGTCTTTATGATTTGTATTCATCCAAAAGGGACATCTTTCCATTTCATCATTACTGTTTCTTTATTACTCTTTCTGTGGTCTTAATTTAGTTGATCGTAGTCCTTTTCTGTATGGATTTTGCAGTGAAGGCTGCCGTCGTCTAAGATAAGATCCACTAGCAACACTTTTTCTTTCGTTTGCTGTTCTTGCTGAGCTTGACCACGTCGTTCTGTTGCTGCTGTTGCTGTTTGGCCACAGATTCTTTCTTTGCCCGTAACACCAGCTCCGTAATGCAGTTAAACATCTGCAGCAAATGAAAACACGCACAGAGCACAACGTTTAGGCGCATATATATGTATCACGATATCATGATTCTTTAAAGAAGTTTTAAATGTCAAAGATATGTTCTGAAGGTCATATTTTAAGGTGCATACTAACGCATATTTACTAAAGAAATCATTAACTACATAATGGTGCTCACACAGGACTATGTGCAGTTAGGGCTATAGTTGAGCACCCTGACAGAGCACGGAGACCTTCACCATGACCTAACGAACAAACAATGCACTGAACATACTACTACTTTTACCTGTAACTATAAAAAGATGCATATCCTGCACTTGCACCTGATATAATCATCATTAACATACTGTGCATATTATTATATAAAGTACTTAAACCTTATTAGTAGGGTGGGGCAGATGTTTCTGACAGATATTCAGATTTCAAACCTGATCCTTGATGAAGCTGATGCTTTTCCAGAACAGCAGAACGTTTTATGCGATGCTGGGCAACGGCGCCTAAACATCTGCATTTTTTTAATTAACGTTACATTTCTTCTTAACAGTAATACAGGTAGATTTAGTCCCAATCTCACATTTTATACATTACATAAACATTTACATATACATTTTTTAAAATAAACATTATATACATTTTATAAACGTTTATATACCAGCCTTGGTAACAGCATACATGTACATGGAAAATATTGGATATGGGCATCGGCCTCCAATTCAATTCCATCAGTGCACCCCTATAGTCCCTACCCCATTTTGCTCTTTCCCCATACAAGACACTGTGTGAATACTACGTAAAACAGGTAATATTTTCATATTTTGCTGATTATATGGTCAAGTTGCTGGTCACAACACTGAAATGAGCTGGGAATGAAAAGAAACCAAAAAAATAAACAAAATCACTGCTCATTTTCAAAGCTCACAAACTGTCCTCTGTCCTTATTTAAGTGTTCCACACTACTGTTTCTCAAACATACTTATCCAAAGTAGAACAGAAAATCAGTTGATACTCAGTGCTGACTACATTCTCTGACACCAGTAACAACTTAAGGGTCCCATCCATCAACTCTGGACCTTTGTTCTTCTCCCTGGACACATTTTAATGCTGCACCCTGTCAGCAATTTTATAGGGTTCTAAAACGTGTCACATTCCCCGAAGCTGCAGCACTCACCTCCTCCACGTTTATGTTCTCTTTCGCACTCGTCTCGAACAGGCGGATGCCCATCTGCTCTGCAAACTTCTGGGCATCGTTTGTCTCCACTACTTTAGAGTTTGGGTCATCATTCTTATTACCCACTAAAAGGAGGAGGACATAGGACAAAGAAATCATGTCAAGGGTGGCGTGAGGTACAGTGTTTCAGACAGCAAGACTCAGACTTGAGGTGCAAGTCTGATCTTGCAGCACTTCAATTGTTTTAGGATTCTTTAGGAAGCATTACCGAATCTCAAATTTCACACATCCATACAACTGGATTGGATTATTGTAGCACAGTTCAGAATAGTTTTTAGAAATACACTGAACCCAATCACAAATATACAGTTGAATGGTCAAATAACATGTTTTGTTGATTTTGTAAGTGAAAATTAGTACACATTATCCACAGAATACACATTTCTACACATTTTAATGCACAACTGCTGTTTATCTGCTGATTTTAACATAAAATAAAACTGGTCTGTGCAAAACATACATTTTTTTATTTATTTTTTCTAATATATTCAACTCAGAATGTAAACAGAAAAGTGTGCACTTAAAAAGCTGCAGAAAAATGTCACATTTAAGTTTAAGGTGTAATTTGACAGAGGGTATTCAAACCTTTGTATACAAATGATTTAAATACAGTGGAATTTAAACAATGAACATTTTTGAAGGTATTTTCACATTTTAATTTTTTTTTTTTATTTTGGATGTAATACTCCAAACTCATAGCAATAGAACTGCCACCTCCATACTCTTATAAAGGTGGTTTTATACCCCTAACTGAGACCATTATAAATATGTTCAATTATACCTTTCATAAGTACATCAAAAGTGATAACAAGAAAAGTGAAGGTGTCCATAAACCACTCTTAGTTGTCCTCGTTTTACTCGCTGTTTAATGATACAGAGGGGACCTTACCTAATATTCGACATACGTCATCACAGTTCTGATTAATTTCATGCAGCCATCGTTTGACGTTGACGAAAGATTCTGCACTGGTGACATCATATACTACTATGACCCCATGGGTCCCTCTGTAATACCTGGACAAGGAGAGAAAGAGAGAACATAACCAGGCTATTCTTACAATGTCCAGCAAGAGGAGCACCAAGGGCCAACGATGTTGCAACTTCAGCTCTACAACAGTGAACAGAGGCATAGCCTCAGGCTTTAAAACACCACACACACACACACACACACACACAAAGAGCTCTTTGATTGTTGTGTTTTATGGAGCTGCCCAAGCCTGTCACAGTTCTGACATAAAAATCAAAGGAAGCACACTCGCACTTTACTTCTCTCACACACACTCACACACATATATATATATATATATATATATATATAATATATATATATATATATATATATATATATATATATATATATATATATATATATACACAAATATATATATATATACACACACACAAGCACACAAATAAGCTCTTTACACTCTAATGAGCCAACACCACTGCAATGCCCACACCCTCATCACACCCACTTGCTTCAAACTGGACTTTAGACAGATTTACTAAAGCCATGTACAGAACCAATGACATCATTAGTGCATAATCATCAACCAGACTATTACTATCAACACTATGAATCTTCAATAAGCTAAAAAAAATCCAGGCTTTCAGCTTACATTTAGAGACGTGTTGGGAAAACCCTTGTGCCGGCATGGATCTGCTATCAATAAAAGGTCTTCAGCTGAGCTCTAATAGAGTGGCAGAAGCAGCGCAGCACTAACGAGAATCTTCAAAAGCGTCCCTACAGCACTCAATTAGCAAGCAACCGAGCTGTGCTGAAAGCCCAGCGCAACCTACTCCCACAGGATGTCCACAACACCACACACACACACAGCTTAAGGAGTCTGACTTTGGAAAGAAATTTGTTAATTATCAGCTTCTGTATAACTGCCTTAAAGCTGAATTAGCATGTGGGTCACATGAAACATTGTTTCCAAACACATTATTTTTTCAATTAAATAAAGTTAAAAATACATCTCACATTATTCTACAACTTTATATGAATACATTTTCAGTGCCTAAAAGTAAAATTAACTTTGGGCATCTGTGCATCCCAAAATCTAAAATTATCATAATCTAAAATTACCGTCCAACTATATACATAGATTAAATGAACTATGTCATATTAAATTCTAAATAAAACTGTTTGGTACGATGTTTGCTTGAAACATTTAAAATCAGAACATCTGAAAGCTAGGGCAGCTTCAAAAGTACATAACTCACTGAAAAACTTTTGTAATTCAGATTACCTCAAATGTCATGTGGCACAACCAAAAACAAAAAAACTGTCATTCTTACAGGGCAGGGTATTGCACCATAAAAGAAGCCCTCAAAAGAAGGACAGGATATCGCACCTTTTAAATAGGACCCCAAGTGGCCTTAAGCAATGTCATGGTCAACAGCCTTCATACAAATACTGAAATAGAGGCTGATTTTTAAGGGTTAGTATCAGTACTGAAAAAGTGGAATCGTGCCATCTCTCATCTCTCACGGAAATTACGCCCAATGTGTAGTGACTACTGCTCGTCATTTTAGTTCCTATCAAAGTCATTCATATAAACAGCACTGCGGATAACACCTTTGTCCCACACACATAAGACTGAAGGCTCAGTTCCCCATCCAGGCAGGAAGGTCCCTCTTATGCCAATATGAGTCTTGGGGCAAGATACTAAATAAGTCTGCTAAATACATAAATGACTCTGATTTAGCCATGTCACAACTACAGTGTCTATAAAAAGTTTTCACCACCTTGCAAGCTTTAATATGTATTAGAAATATGTTTTCATTTTGATATTAAGAGTTTATTTCTGCTGATCAATGTAAAAACAATTACAAATAGGGTGATAATTCTGCATCAACTATTATTCTTGCATACGTGAGAGTAACAGTATTATAATGTTCATCATTTCATTTAGTTCACTCATGTAACAGTCTTATAGCCTAATACAGATCACCAAGAACACAGGCACCTCAACTAACTAAAAAATCATGTTATAATCTAATCATTTTGTTCATCTGTTTGGATTTAAGGTCCAGCTAGTGACTTCACAATTTGGACAGGAAGCGTATCATCGACTGCCCACACAGCGGCAGCTGTCATTCCAGCAGAGCAGATGACTCATGCAGCCTCACCAAATTTGATTACAACTACTTTGTCAAATAAAAAACTTTGATAATAATAGTATGCTTATGTATTTTTTCCAAAAGGGGTTAAATTTAGCTTAGCTTAACGTTCCTTTTGGTTCAACGTCTTATACTAAAACTACATTTTGTTTTTTTGGAAACAATTATTTCCAGACAAGCAATCTAATCCTTATAATTATGTCCTTCCCCCTGTTAACAGTACATATTTATTGTGCTTCCCATGGGGGCCAAACGCAGCTTAGCTCATCTGGTTCACTTCATGAGGGCAATAGTTCAAAGTCTTATGCTAAAATTCATTTTGCTCTATGGCAACAACTATTTTCAGATAAGCAATCTAATCCTTATAATTATGTCCTTCACCTTGTTGGAGTACACTAAGTGTAACCTACAGCAGGGAGTAGCTGTAGATCACTTAGGCTTTTAAGTTACAGCTCTGTACAGCTTATATTATAAAGACAGTCTTTACTCACGTAGAGGTGATGGTTCGGAAGCGCTCCTGCCCTGCTGTATCCCAGATCTGTAACTTCACCTTCTCTCCGTTGATTTCTACTGTTCGGATCTTGAAGTCGACCCCTATAGTGGTAATATAGCTACCTGTAACACAACATACACAAATATGTTACAAGGCCACAAAATTCTTTTTTTCGTGATGTAAGCATTTTGGAAGTGAATTTACAAACAATAATAAAAACACAGTCTGAATCAGCTTTAGTGTTGGTACAAAACCTCATATCTCCATTTTTGTTGTTGCTAGCTTCCAGTAACATTGTGTCAAAATTTTATAATGAACGAACCAATGCAGATGTTCCAAATTGACTTTTAATAAAATCTTGATACATTAAAAGTTAAAAACAATTTTTGCTCCTCTTGTGAAGTCACATTTTTGGAGATACTAGCTTTCATTCCAACACCAGAAATATGCACCATTATGCACAACCACCATTTGCACATTTGAGGTCAGGAATACTCTACAGCCCTCTGAATCAAGCTAAAACAGCTTAACAGCTTACCTGAAAATGTGTTGTCTGCAAAACGCAGAAGAAGACTGCTCTTCCCCACACCTATGCCAAGGGAAAAATAAGAGTCAGGACTTAAAAACAAACACATTAACAGATAACAAACTAGAGTTTGAGTTTTTGTGTATCTTTTGCATTTGGTTCAGTCGGTTTCACACTGCAGCGGCAAAAGTACAGCAAATAAAACTGTTCACTGGTCGGTCTGAAATTTGTCATGGATACAAGCAGATCTATCCCTCACATGTACTCCATGTGCCAAAATTAAATGCATTGCTTTGCTATTATTTTATCACTGATGCCATTATTAGCAGCAGCTCATGCTGCAAGAACGATACGAGTGTTTGTAAAGACTGAGATGCCTGAACAGACAGATTATAGAGAGAGTACAGTGCTGCTAGAAGAAGAGGAAAACAAGCTCTGTATTCATACCAGCAGCAAAATGAGGCAGTATTTACTTGGAAGGGAGTCCTACATTGTTTGGTGGACCACAATTCATTTGTTTAGCGTGCACCCTATTACAGGAGGAGTGTTCACACCTATCAAACTGAACCGAATAAAAAAAAACCAAAACAAAAAAAAAAAACAAAACAACATTTGGATCAGTCCGCACCAAACAAGGCAGGTGTAAAAGCACCCTTAGTTCCAGAAGCATAGTGTGCACTAGAAGAATATCTTCAGGATACATTGTCAATACCAGCGTAGTGTAATACTGACGTACCATCACCATCCTTTTCAGTTTTAGCAATACTATTTGATAGATAATTAGCAATATATCCATATTATAATGCCATAAAACATTTGTGTTGAGTCAAATGTTAAAACAGGCAGATTATGCAGACCGTGTGGTGCTGACGAGCTAGAACAACAGAAAAATCATTGCTCTGATGCTGAATTCCCTTGTTTGATGCAGGCCCTAAAAATGTATTCCTGGCAGTGAACTAAACCAGGGTTCACTCTGTGCACGCCTTAATACAGGTGGAGTGGTCACACCTGTCCAAATGGACCAAACAAAAGGAACTGCTCCACACCAAACAAGGTTTTTCTTTAATTCGTCCGACGGACCACAGCAAACGAGGGAACTCGACATCAAATAAGTAAGAGTGTGTTAAAATGTGCAGCAGTTTGTTCTCTGTAAAGGACGTGTTAACTTATGTTCATTTTCACATGTGAAGTGACCGGAGCGCCCAAACGTTTGCAAACAACTGTATATTTACTCATTGAATGGTTGAGTTTAGAGATGCGCTGATAGGATAACTGCGTGCTGATGCCAATATTTGTTAGGTACATATCTGCTGATGCCCTTACCGATATCTACAGAAACATTTATAAAATGTAGAAACTCGGACTAAATCCACCTGGACCAGCGCCATAGAGAAATGTGTAGAGGGTTACCAATGCAGAAAAAAATGAATGAAAAGCAGATATTTTAAGCACAGTAGCCAGGTGCTGCCTAAACCTTTTCCTCTTCTAGAGTGCAGTAAATAGGTCATCAAATACCGGTATGAAATATCTGTCAGACACTGATTTGATTCTGCATCCTAATTTACACATTAAAATTCAGACCTGTTTTAGCCATTTAAAAAGGTCTCATCCATTACTATCACTCAGGTCCCTACTAAAGGAGATGGGAAAAGATTTGGGAGACTTGAACAGCTGTCCTAGGGCTGGCAGTGAGCCAAAGAGCCTGGCAAGTTGTTAGACAAGTGTAATGCGATGCAGACACACAGCTCCGGCTAAGTCTCGAATGAAGGGCACCGGAGTGAAAACAAATCCTTGTCGGGGCACTCTCTCCGGACCGTGTCAGGACCAACAGACATGCAAGGCAAGCACTCAAGAGCGGAAGAACAGAGGTACAACATCTCCACTGACAACTGACGCTCTTAGCTCGAGAGATAACTCACTCCACTCTCTACTTTGAGACAGCCCTGCTAAAGATCACTGCAAACAGAACACAGCAAGTACAAAACACGCTCAGGGGAATTCCTATCAACAATTGGCTTATGTGGTGTCCTCTGAGCCAACTTCAAGTGTTACTAAGAGAAAATACTTAAAATGACTGATGTAGACCAGTCTACTTGTATGGACCTGCAGACTAACACTCAAAACTCCAACAATACACAACTTCACAGACTCAGGCTAAGAGTAGCCGATACAGCAACCAGCGGCGGGTAGTATGGAACACAAAACCTGAAGACATCTTTATGACACACATCATGATATTTAGCTATTCTGAGGTTTGGAAACAAATTGTAACCAAAACTTCTACTAGCAAAACAATCACACTGTGTGATGTTGCTAGCTGTGTATTTCTTCTGTTTAAGTGAAAGCGCTTCAACAAAATATGCTCCATTTAAAAACTCCTTTCAAAAACTATGAATATGATTATCATTTAACATTTCACATTCTATACTGCATTTAATTCAAATCCAATTAAAACAGGGCTAATTATGCTCTCTTTGTAATTAAACATGTAGTTCATCAGTACTCATTAATTACTGAATATATTAATGACATGCTCATAAATATCCGTAATGTGCGTCATCAAAAATGCAGAGCCTGTGTCCCTGGTGCGTTTTTATTTTTCTTTTAACAAACCACCAGACCAGTTGGATTTCCACACATTCACAAATATCCACAATTAATGACAAAACCAACATGATGGCAAATGGGCTTATAAAAAATGTTGAGTTTTATTGAACACTTTTCAAAGCAACACCTGACTGATTTTGGGACTGAAGCATACCTGCCGATCGTAAATACTATACATATCTTTGCTGTCCAAAGAAAAACAAGTATCTCCAAAATAGCAACTTTAGAAGAGAAGGCAAAAACATTCTTACCTTTTAATGTAAGTTAATGTAAAGAGATTTTATTCCAGGTAATCCTGAAGTAGCTGGTTCAGATTATGTAGAAAATTTTAAAATAACAAAAATAGATATACTTTTTTGGACAGCAACAACAACACAATAAACAAGCTATAATTTTGGCCACAAGACTCCTTGTCTATGCCTGCTGTAGCAGTGCTGATTGTTGTTTACAGGCTCTCTACAGCTGGTTTAAATCTTTTTCTTTATGAAAAATGAAGTTGGCCAGTGTTAAGAACTACAAATACAGCCAATACCTGCAATGTAAGCAGGAAAGTGTAGTGCATTGTAACTTATCCTAATAATTGTAACATATCACAGCTGTAGTCACACAATCAAGATGCAGGTATTAATGACCGTGAAGGACTAAAACTGTGGCAAGGACTGAGCGCCAACACAGAGTCCCCATTTTCAGTGGGACCAAGCCAACTCTTGATTCTATACCATAGAACCACATCATTAGAGCACTTTCATTAGAATGGATCTCATCTTTGGCCTAAATAATGGGCCATAGTGGGCATGTGGCAGTTTGGGAACACTGAGGCCTGTGTATTACCACAGGAGGGTGTGCAGAGGGCGGCTCCCTGCTATTGTGGACGCAGCCTGCGGATGGGCTAGTGCCAGAAGTGATGTATGAAGAGCCACAGTGCCACAGGCCCACTGTTTAGGGCTGTATAAGCCTTATAGCTGCATATTCATTGAATCTCAAAAGAATATAATGTGTCATCATATCTAACCCAGCCTAAGATCAGCCATTCAGCGCTTTAACTTCACGGGAATGAGCTTAAGTCACACTTCAAAGAGAGCAGCTATACAAAGCTGCATGAGTCTCCAACCACAAAAACCACATGCTCAATGACAAAGGTTAACATCTACACAGAAGAAGACATTGAAGATATCTGCATTGTTCAATTACACATTCTTGAAGGGGATTTTTCAAAATGTCTGTCCAATTCAATCTTTAAGACGTAAGCAAAGTCGTTCCAAGCGGTTCAGTGTGAACCATGTCATTCTAGAGAAACTTACAAAGTGTAAATTATTCACAGTGGTGGCGCTAAACAGTAGCGGTAGTCGGCAGTAGCGTTTAATGCCTTTAAATGTGCCCTCACAGAAAGCTATTACATGAAATGGTCACAAATAGATTGATACCTGAGACATTATGATAGTATTGAGATAAGATTTTGGCCTGAAACATATTTTTAAATTAATTCATGGTAGAGGGGTACATGCGAGGCATTCTAAGGTAAAACAGTACCCAAACAAAACTTCCCATTATCACCATTACATATAAAAACTCAGAAGGCATGTGTAGGTTCGCTGGTCATTTTGGATAGTAAATACAATTACTACATTTGTTTTGTAGATATTGTGACCCACATGCCAATCACCACCACTACAAGGAAATCTGAGTTTCTCTACAATTACCATTTCACTCCAAATAAGTCCAAATGACTGTGCTTACTTCTCAACGATTAAACTACACTAATTTTAGAAGAACTTGTGGAATTCTCCCTTTAAGTGGTGGTTTTAAGTGTGCTGTTGACATATAGGCTTATGCCTGCATTAAGAGGGCACTAAAGGGCAAACTGGGAAAGAGACACAGCACATAAAAGTATATGCTGACTTTAGTGTTTCAATACCATGCAAAATAAATAAATAATAATTAAAACTAAGGAGGTCTGACTCTTTCCTGCTGTAAACACACCTCGTACGTACACACACACACACACAGCCAGCGTGAAACCTGTCTGTACAAACTCCACCAACACCTCATATAAAGCACGCAGTGCCCAGCAAAACCGTAAAACATTCGTACTGCATTTAAGATGGACTTTTAGAAGTCAAAGCCGCTGAAAGCCTTTTAGGAAGAACATCGTTATACCCAGGTTTCAGTTTCTGTTCTTGTCGATATAAGACTAACAGAGCAACTTCTTTCTCTATCTGTACTAACAATACCAACTATATAGTTTTCTTTCTGTTCACATATGCACCAGAGGCTCATTTCACTCAAGAAGCAAAGAAAAAAAAATAGACGTCCTGGAGCAATATGTATAGCTACTAAGTTAGCTGTTGTGTTTGTTTTGACCGCTACTGATGTTTTAAGGTAGAGGCGAATCCTCTGTGTGTTCTGTGTTGCTATTTAGACGAACATACGTAAAAATTCCGAGAGAAAACATTTAAATTATTGTACAGAGAATGAAATACTGCTGGCAACAAACCGTATATAAGCGTATTATTCACAGAAAGTAGCTCCAGCAAACACATCCGGCCTGGTTGTTTGACATGCCCAACCCAGTTTCAACCCTCGCCGCTTGTTTGAGCAAAAGCAACGAAATGGAAAAGCAATGACGACCTAAAGGCTTCTCGGTCAAGGTGGACCCGGATCTCGGTGGCCTCGCTGCGTTTGCATTTTGTTACTCGACCCTGAAAGGCAAAATCGCAGCTGAGGCCTATTTCCCGTGGCGCGTCCGCGGCCTCGCTTACCGCTGTCCCCGATGATCAGCAGCTTAAAGAGGTAATCGTAGTCCCTGGCCATGCCGCTGGTTTGGCTGAAGCCCCGCTCCTACGCGTAACGCTCTGCCCGCCTCCTTCTCCCCGGCTCATCCGCCGAACCCCTCTCTCGCTCCGCGAAGCTGCCAGACGGCCCGCCCGCCCGGTAACAAGAGGAGGCTGCTTCGTCCGACGGGCCCCAGTCTTTTCCAAAAGCCGGCGACTGGCTCGCTTGCTTTTTCTCTTTGCTCTCCTCAGGGCTTCGCGGTGTCAGCACTCCTCTCCCTTTCAGCTCCTCCACAGGCGGAAACTCCGCTTCCTTGTCTCGGCCGCTTAGCTTTAGCTTAGCAGCTAACAGCGCCCAGCCCTGCGCCGGCCGCTCTCCCACTGCGCAGGCGCGCACCACGTTTCACTAGACACTAATGAAGCCAAGTTTGATTCAGTTTGCTGGACCAATTGTTTCGCGCTTTCCGTTACAATAAACCGAATCCGACTCAACGATTCATTTCTGTCTTACGCATGACATACACAGAGCACAAACACATACGAGAAAAAGGAATCTACCGGGCTCCGTAGGAATCCCATTATAGTCTACGGAGAGAAAACAGGAGACAATCTGGTTTTGTAATTTTATAAGATTAAATTTTAAAATACTATTATGCGAATTTTATTAGGACAAAAAAAAACATCCCCGCCAGGTAACGTTATAGGAGGAAAAAATCCTTCAGCAGTATGCTAACATTTTAGGACTTATAATTACTTGCTTGAAATTTAATACTTCTTTATTTCGAGGTAGTATGTCGGAATTTCATCTTTAAAATCTCGAGAAAATAAACAGAGAAGGAGAAAACAAAATCCTCTACGTGGCAGGAATGGGCTTCCATAGAATCCATCAACCAGTAACATGGACGACGTAAACATGCACAGATGCTCCTGTAAGTCGTATTCAGCCGAGCTCGTAAGTGGGTTCAATCCCTTTATTGAAAAGAGCCGATTCTAAAGAACGATTCATTCACGGGTCGGACATAGCTGTTGTAAAACTATGAGTGGCTCGATTCAGTTCACCGACAACTGTCCGTTTCAGTGGAACACCTTACAGGAGATGTAGGCAGACACGGTTACACTTAACCGACAACTGTCCGTTTCAGTGGAACACCTTACAGGAGATGTAGGCACACACGGTTACACTTAACGAGAAACAGATCATGCTTTACACCTAAAGCAAATAACAGAAGGTCAGTGTGTACAAAACTACACATATACACCGTGTACGGCGTTAAAGGCAAATGGACAACCTACAAGCGAAAAACAATCGGTCGGATTTGTTCATAGACTGTTAGAGAAGGTATGACTGTATGTTTCAAAGTTCACTGCTGTTGGATTATGTATAGCCTGTCTTTTGCTCTATTTTATAGCCTTCGTTATTCCGTGAAGTAATCTTTTGGACGTTACTGGCTGGACTGGCACGCCCGGATAAATCTTTCACCGGTGTTGTTTTAACCTCTTATGCTCGTGTGTATATTTCGGTTTTCCCATCTGAATTTACATGCCCAAATCGTAAGGCAAACTATTCAGAAACTGCATGAAATAAATGTAATGTAAGTTCCCCTCAAATTAACAGAAAATATGTTTTATGATCATAAACACAATGCTATATGCTTACAATTACTGCTGAAAGCCAGAAATCTTAGTTGCTCTTTGTATTTTTTTTATAAAAATAATTTTTACAGAGCAAATCACTGAAGAGACACCATCTGAGATCCAGTTTATAGCTCAGATTTATGGAAAAATGGGTCAACTTTCAGTAGAAAAATAAAATTGTGAGTTCAGCTTCTTTTATTATAAAGTTTTAAAATTACATTACCCATCTATTTGACTGGAAAGAAGATAGTTACAGCTCTCATATGACACCCAATGTAGCTTATGAAATATGAAAGTTATGAAGTAAAGAATATGATGAAGTGCGTTTTAGAACCACCGGTGGTTCCAAGGAGTTAAAAGGGTTCCCACCACAAATATTTGTAGGTAGTGAATATAGAAATTAAAATGATGAAGAATGTTGCCTCCCATTAGAATAAGATCAAATACACTTACTTTCACAAAACACTAGAGGGCAGAGCTATTCTACTGGCCTATTTGAGTGTCAAACAATGTTTCCCAACTCCAGTCCAGTAGGTCACTCACACTGCTTATTTTCCCTGCAAGTGGACTACAGTGTAGAGTACTTACAAAATACTAATATAAAGCACTATTGACTATACTGACCTGCAGTTCTGTCTTGAATGCATTGACAGGGTCATGTCCAAGGTAAGTGCAACGCAAAAAGGGTGACCTAGCGACCTTGCCCAATCAGACGTCCTGAATGAACCATAAGTATTAAACCTAACTTTTCTGTGAGTGTGTCTCTTGGTGACTTATCTTTGAAAACTCGTAAAAATTCATTTTCAAAATGAAATAGCCTTAATACGCATAGCTCAGCCAGCTGAAACAACCTCCTATAGTCTCCCTGATAAGCCACCTACATCAGTAATGACATCTTTCTCAGTTATCAATTAACAGTAGCTTACAACTGTTATAAACAAATGAAGTTCATCCGCGTGATCTTGACCCTGTTCCTACTTCTGTCTTTAAGATGTTTTTTAATTGTGTTCAAAATGATGTTTAAACTATTGTAAACTGTTGTCGACAGGTGCTTTTCCAGATGCTTTTAAAACTAACTTGGTAAGGCCTCTACTAAAAAAGAGTAGCATGGATCCTTCCGTACTAAATAATTTTAGACGAATCTCAAACCTACGTTTTCAAGTCATAGAAAAAGTTGTTTTCAAGCAATTAAATGCATATCTAATATAAAACAAGTTATATGAGAAGTTTCAGTCAGGTTTTCATTCTAACCATAGTACTGAGACAGCATTGGTTCATGTTGTCAGTGACCTCAGGCTCAGCGCTGATGCACAAAATCCTTCTGTTCTGGTCTTACTGGATCTTAGTTCAGCTTTTGATACCGTTGATCACAAGATTCGAATCCACCATCTTGAATACTGGGTAGGCCTCTCAAGTACAGTTTTAGAATGGTTTAAATCATATTTAATTAATACACAGTTCCTGGTTTCACTGGGAAATCATTCATCAAAAAGTGTAACATTTCTTGCGGAGTCCCACAAGGTTCAGTTTTAGGGCCTTTGCATGTCTCTTTGTACATTACCTCCAGAAGATGTCGTTAGGAAACATAATATAAATTTTCATAGCTATGCCGATGACACCCAGTTATACATTTCCATTCCTTTTGATAATCAAGATTCTTCAGACAGGCTTACCTGCCATGTGTCAGATTTCTTAGTGGACGTCACAAACTTTTCTACAATTAAATCATGAAAAAACTGAAATACTCATACTTGGTACTAAAATTTAGAGAAAAATGCTTTATGAGAAACTCAGTTCTAAGGCTTCTTATACCAAACTTGAAGTATGAAACCTGGGTGTAATCTTAGATTCTGAGCTCTGTATGTAAACGCAGACAGTAAAGTAGCTTTTTATTATTTTTTATCATAAATATTGCTAATGTTCGGCCTTTTCTATGTCAGACCGAAGCAGAGAAACCTGTTCATGCATTTGTTACAAGCAGAGTTGATTACTGTAATGCTCTTCTTGCTGGGCTTCCTAGGAAACACTTAAAAACGTTCCTCTTAATTTAGCGTTTAAATAAATTCAGTGTTTTTAGGTATTTATTTCTTTGATTTGATCTGTGTCTTTGTCTTATATCATTTTAAATTAACACTCATAATTTCTTCTATTACTGTCCAACTTTATCACTTGTCTGTAAAGCACTTTTAGCCGCCACTGGTATGAAAAGTGTTCTATAAATAAAGATTATTATATTATTAATATTATATCATTAAAATGACACAAAAATGATGTGCTGGTTTTTCTCTGAACTCAATCTGTCCATTATTTTACTTATATTTACTTATATAAAAATATTGCATCAATGCAACGACTGACAAAAGAAAGACAAAACTGTGTTGATGTAACGTATTTTAGTCATTCATGGGGAAACAATGTGTTTAAACCAAGTAAATGAAATGCATCACTTTTTTCAGTGCACAGTGTTAATTTCATATGGAGAGGCCATAGTTATTAATTTAGGTTGCTTCACTACAGGTTATACATAAGTATAATGATAAGAAAGCTAGCCAGACTGCACTGTATAAGGTAACCTACAACACAAGCATGTATTCAACTGTAAAAAGAAATTAGCATGACAAACGATTATAGCTGACTAGTGTTTGATCATTAACTCATCTTACCATCTCACAGCCTTCACAATATGGCTCAGAGAAGCCCTTCTGAAGGGACACGGTATACATTTGCTCACCTGTTTGGTGATCAAATTAGTCTGTTACAGCTACCCTGGATATTCTGGATACTACTGGTTGTGCCCTTGGGAATGACACGTAACCCCCACTGCCCCAGGTGGTGCCACTCAGCTGGTGGCTCTGTGGTGAGCATAGTGAGGCAGGAAAAATGTTTTTTCATTGCAAAGTGGTTGAATAAAGAATAGGCTGATATGACAATTTTGTTGCTGATGCAGACTTTAAGATTTATGATTCAGACTTCTAATATTCTCCAATAGTTTTAGTAAAACATGGTTGCTAGAATTGTCAGTTGTTAATTGTAAATTGGAAAATATGACTGTCCATTCTCAATTATCACATTTCTTAAACTCAGCAGAGCGTACGCCCCTCAAAACTGCAACTTGCCAGTGGAAAAAGTGAGCAGCTTCAAATGGTTAGTACTAGCCACATAGACATTAACACCTTCACCACGTCAAAAAGGCCCAAGACCAAATAAGCTTCCAGAGAAGGCTAAAGAAAGTTAAGCTGTTCTTTTAGATTTTAATTAGCATGATGGCTAATACAGACTGAGTATGAGGCACTATAAGAGTGATAAGTCACTCTTACCCATCGCAGACATTTACAATTAGTCTGAGAAAAGCCCACAGCATCTCAGACCCTTCATCTCGCTCACAGAGTTTTCATCCTCCTACCTTCTGGTAAGCAGTACTAAAGCATGCTGTTAGACCACCAGATTTGACTCAGGCCCAGCAAACTATAGTCTCCCACACACTAACTCTCTTTGTTTCTGCAGTTGTACTCTGAACACTAAGCTGACTCATGTTATACTGTAAACTCTACTTAATGATAGGTTGTACAGACAGAACATCAACAACTAATTACCCACAAAAGATTATAATGTAGATTTTCAGTCTGGGGTACTGGGGAGAGCTGGGGTACACACAAATGAAACTACAGCCTTGATACATGAGATCTACTCTCTAGCAGAGAGTAAAAGGACAAACTTGTCCAGGAGGGGTGCCGTTTTGTTGATTTTGCCAGTCGGTTGATTGGACCCAGTTAAGCATACTTGGCTGGATGATGCCGCCAGAGCTGTGCTGGCAAATTGGTAGGAGTATCCAGGGGTCTGTATATATATGGTAAAAGGAAAAAGCTAGCTATGCAGTAAGGCTGTATTGCTGACTACTTGGCAACCGAATATGGACAATTCTGCAGACGATAATTATTTTTTTTTATTATCAAAAAATCAAAATCAACAGAGGTTGTTCTTTTTGAGACAATTTGGCCATTATTGAGAGTGTTCTCCTGTCATCTATTAAAGTTTGGTATGGAAATAGACATCCAGACTTGTAATAAATTGCAAGGTATTGTCAGTAAAGCTTCAAAGATAATTGGAATATCACTTACTTGAGTTGATTTTGTTTACGTTCAGTGATTATTCTCAAGCAGAGAGAATAATCACAGATTCCTGATCCGGCATTCCATCTTTTACAACCACTTTCTTCAGGGAGGTGCTACAGATCCATAAAAACTAAGACAACCTGCTTGAAGAACAGCTTTTTTTCCGGTTACTAAACTCTGAATAGTGTATATCATTAGTCAGTTTCCAGCCTTTTTAAGAAAGCACAGACGAAATTACTGTGTAATTCTCCATAATTCTCCTATACCAAGTGTTGTATATTGTATATTGTTTATTGTATATGTATTATATTGTATAGTTATCTGTATTGTGCTGCAACAAAGTTGAATTACATCTTGTTTTACCGCATACAATTACCACCGACATCAAAAAATAGTTTGTTAAAAGTTAAATTATCATGTAAGCTTAGTATCCACACTTTCACTTACAATCCTGTCCATACATATTTTGATGTTGACAAAGTTATTGTTAGCTGTCTACCATAGCAGATTGGAGTTGCATTTAAATAATAATTATGAACTCAGAGTACCCCACCACATTTAGGGGCTCAAACGTAATTGGACAATTGGCTGCTCAGCTGTTCCATGGCTAGGTGTGTATTATTCCCTGATTATTTCACTTACAAGTAAGCAGACATAAGGTCTAGAGTTGATTTCAAATATGGTATTTGCATTTATAGTCTGTTGCTGTTAATTCTCAATATGAAATCCAAATAGCTGTTACTGCCAATAGAACAAGCTGTTGTTAGCCTGAAATATCCGAAAAAAAAACCCATCAGAGAGATAGCAAAAACATTATGTTTGGCCAAATCAACTATTTGGTATGTTCTTGAAAAAAAATGAATGCAGTGGTGAGCTCAGAAATAACAAAAGACCCAGAAGACCACAGAAAACAACTGTGGTGGATGGCAGAAGTATTTTTCTTTTCCTGGTGAAGATCAAGAACACTGTACTGGAGGTAGGTGCATCCCTGTCAAAGTCAACAATCAAAAGAAGACTTCATCAGTAAATACAGAGGAATCACTACAAGATAAAACCATAGGCCTCAAAAACAGGAACATCAGATTAGATCACATCTAAAAACAAGCCTGTACAGTTCTGGAACAGTATCTTATGAGACAAACGAAACAGAGATCAACTTGTACAAGAATGTTGGGAAGAATATAGAGAAGGTGAGGAACTGCTCATAATCCAATGCATACCACCTCGTCTGTCAAGCATGGAGGAGGCAGTGTTTGGTGTGGGCGTATGGGTGCCAAAGGAATTGGTTCCCTTGTATTTATTGATATGACTGTTGACAAAAACAGCAGGATGAATTCTTGTATAGGGCGATATTATCTGCTCAGATTCAGCCAAATACTTTAAAACTCAGCAGACAGCACTTCACCATGCAAATGGATAATGACCCAAACATACTGAGAACGCAACGCAAGACCCTATTAAGGCAAAGAAATGTAATGTTCTGCAATGGTCAAGCTGATCACCTGACCTATGACCAATCCACCATGCATTTCACTTACTGAAAATGCCCCAAGAACTGAAGCAGGAACTGAAGACAGCTGCAGTAAAGGCCTGGCAGAGCATCACCAGCATCTGGTGATGTTTATGGGTACCAAGTATTAAACATGATAATTTATGGTCATTAGTTTGTCCAATTTGAGCCCTTAAAAATTCAGGGCTATGTATGAAAATGGTTGTGATTCATAGACTGTTCATCCCATCTGGATGTATATACCCCTTTTTCTGCTGCTATCAGCCCAATATTGATACCTGGTATTGGACCACTGGCATCTGTAGTCCACTCTGCTTTGACGTATACCACTGCTGTGCCTATCCCTACCATTTATTGTTGTACATTGTTGTCCCTTTTCTTGCATGGAGCTGAGACTTGACATGGGTGCTACCTGTAATCCCTAATAAGTCCTGTTGCATCAGAGGAGAGAAATCACTAAGATATGCTTACTTACTGCTAGCAAATCAAGACTACTGAGGCCTCCCTGTTACACAATCAACCTTATGATAGTGTCAGTGTTCCTCTGTTGGGACAACGAAAATTAAAAACATATAAAAAAGCCAAAAAAACTTATTAAAGCAAGATTTTTATTTTATTTTTACAACCAATATCAAAGGATACAACACTGATTATAAAGTCAGCATCTCATCCTTTGGGTTGCCCACCTCTCAACACACACATACACAGACAGAAGGAAATAATCACATTACAATACTGAGGAAAAAGCAGGAGGAAGTGGACACTGATGCTCATCATGTGAAACCAAATCAAAATGAAATGACTACTGTAAAATAATTGGCACAAATCAATACTTATTTTTGTCTTGCAACCGTTCCAAGTTTGAGAAAAACATAAGAAAACTCATAAATAAAAAAACCCAAATTTAGATGTCGACTACGATTTTACGATGGTGCTTCCTCGTCTCATAATTGACATGGTCATATAAAGCCAGCATGGGTGGGGGAACAAGTGCATGTGTGTGTTGTCATTGCATTACTCTTCATGTAGCAGATGCAAGTATTCCATTTATTTATCACAACAGACTGTTCTTTGAGAACATTAGTGACTGCATAACTGTATCCCGGAGAGAGAGCTGATCGGGCAGATCACGTGAGGATGGTGTCGTCTATTTCTTCATTGGAGTCAGGCAGGCCTGAGATTTTCTTCAGCGACCGACGGAAACATTCAGATAGCAGCTCATTACTAGCTGAGTCTAGAATGGCACTGACCCTCTGCAATGTATTAAAAACACAGTAAAAAAAAGTTAAAGAAATTTAAAGTTACAACAATTATGACTACATACTTCTGTAAAATAGCTAATAATATTCTAAAAGTGTAAACAAGTTTCAGTGATCAGCATGATGCATCCACCTTTACTCAAAAAAGTACAAATCAATTTTTGAAACTAAAAAATAAGAAAAATGTAACATCCCTAGTTTCACATCTGAACAAATCATGTGGCTTTTTCTTAACTTCTATAAATACATTTATATTTACAAATATTTAGGTCATCAGAACACCACAGCAATGGTGGGATGCTGTCATTTTGACTCAACATCTATAAAAGTAAAAAGTATATATTCTCTATACAGTAAAAGTATATAGACAAAAAGCAAAAAAGGTCCTCACACTGCTGCTAGCATTGCTCTCCTGTGTTAATCATGTAGCCTTTTATACTTTTAAGCTGCCATATTGCAGTGGGGAAGCACCCAATGTTGAAAATGTGGCACTGCAAAAGCCCTACTGTGAATTAAACAGCTTTCTAAAGCGATTTCAATCATACAATGATAGGGCAAAACATGACGACCACACTGATTATCTTGTATGCATGTGCTGTTTATCTGTGGAAGTGATGGCACCAGGATGCTCTGTAGGAATAAGACAATCCAGTGGAGGGAATGTGATGCTCTGGGCAATATTCTGCTGGGAAACCCTGGGTCCAGGCATTCATATAGACGTCAATTTGACGGTTTCAGCAGAATAACGCGCTGCACACATTGTTCGGGAAAGGTTTGAGGAACATGAAGAGCTCACAGTGTTGCCTCCAAATTCCCCAGATCTCCACCTTGCAACTTACAGGACTTGAAGGATCCTGTCACATCTAGGTGTCAGATACTAAGGAGTTTTGTAGTGTTTTGGTGGCACGTGGACAACCAATGACATGTTAGGCAGGAGGCCATAATGTTTCAATGTATCAGAGTATGTTTCAGTTGTTTTGGTGCATTGTTTTTTTTATTGTCCATGTTCCAACACTGTGTGAGCAGCTCCTCCAGCTGCCTTTGTGCATTCAAGGTACTTTTATGATCCTGAATCAAATCAGGATCAAATTTGAGTGTTTATGATGCACTGAATAATTTAATAAAGAACTGTAATGGAATTGCACTGTTGTGAGGAGACTTAAACCCCTAAAAGCTTCAATTTAAGCAAATCCTACCATTAGCAAATTTTAGTCCAGCAAGTCTGATGTCAGTGTGTAAGCAGGTGAACGTGTGTGTGGAACCCACCTGCATGCCCTCCTCTCCCTGGCGGAGCCGGAGCAGACTGACGATGGTGTGTTCGCTCTGGGAGCGGACGCTGGTGTTCTTGTCTTTGGTGTTGTCCAGGAGGGCTTTGATGAGAGGCTTCACCAGATTGGGCTCCATGGCTGGAGTATCCGCCTCCTTCCATACCCACCACAGCACTCGCTCCGTCACCAGGCGGATATCACTCGACTGGTTCTGCAGAGACTGGAGAACAAGGCAGAGCAGAAAGCCTCGTTTACTGAAGGCATACAGTCATAATCGCTTCATAAAAACCTCTAATTTACAGCAGTTGTAGGCTTTAGATTAGATTAACGATTTATTTTAGTTCAACATTTTTCTATTAAAGCCGCTTTTACAATACCTTTTTGCAAGGGAATTTAACAGGCCAAGGATTTATCAGAAGTTAATTAATCTGGAAGAGGTTAAGCGTAAACACAGTGTGGAGTCAAAATCCTGCTGCCTGTGTGAAATCTAGTACCATTCCCACAAAAATACTGGGTGTGAACAGAAGTAAACACAGTGACAAAAAAAGTATGGGAATCTTTTGGAGTTATCTAGTGTTCTGCATTAACTGGTTAATAAATGTGATGTTCTTCATCTAAGTCACAAGTACAGACCAACAATCAGCTAAAGCTAATAACCCACAATCAAAACTTTTTTTGTCTTTATTGTGCGCACCATTTAAATATTCTCCGAGCTGGTGGAAAAAGTAAGTGCACCTTTTGATTTAATGACTTATCGAACCTCCTCTGGCAGCAATAACGTCAAGTGCTTCTGGTGTACTCGCGCATTCAAGAGGAATAAGGGACCATTCTTTCTTACAGAACTGCTTCAGCTCAGCCACATTCTTCAGATGGCTTTTCTTGAGCAAACTCAAAAATGTCTGAGTGAAGTCAAAGTAGCTCTAACTCAGCTTCAATTCCATTTCATTGATTGGACTGGGTTTCCTAACTCTTGACTCCAATTAGCTTTCATTGAAGACATTAGCCTACAGGCTCACATACCTTTCCTAACACGTACTAAGAATATTTGAAGGATGTGTTAAATATAAACAAGAACAATACATTACTTGTGTGTGTTACTAGTTCACACAGATTGTGTTTACTGTAACCTACACGAAGACCAGAGCATATTTGAAGATGTCTTTATGCGTAAATGTAGATAATTCCAAAGGAGTCACAACCTTTTTTCCAGTTAAACTAGTAATTTATCAGCTTTCTTAGTTTTCCAGTTTTTTTTTAGTTTTACAAAGTGGAAAAAACTGCTCTTTTGTGTGCATGTGTCTATTACTGCACAAAAAACGTTGCAGAATTGCTGACATAGCAGAACATTATTGTGGCATTTCGGGTTTTACAGGCGAGTTTCACTTTCGGGTTGCGAGAGCGTCCTAACAAACCTTAGTTCCTATGAAGAGCCTCATAATTTCCTCCTACTCTGTTACTGGAACAACAAGACATTCCTCTTAATATGGCTTTGTGCTACTCTATTCACCTCTGAATGTCCTGTGAACATTTATTTTTGAACATATGTTGGTTTCTGGCAGACATCACAGGTGTTTTGTTCCTAATGCAGGTAGTTTGATTTGAAAGCTAACCTTGACGAACTGAGGGATGATGCGAGGTGAAACAGCTTCTCCTCCGGCTGATCTGATCTGGTGTCTCATGAGGTAACCCATCGCCCTGATCCCACTGCAAGCTATGGGAATCTACAGGTCACAAAGAGAGGAAAAAGGGAAGTTGCCATATCTTCGAAAAGTACACAGGTCAGAAGAGAAAGACTAAAGTAGCAGTATATTACTCTGTCTGCAGTGGCACTGGATAAGACGGCCTCCAGCACGGCTGAGCTGTACTCTGGAGCACACAGTTTTTCAGGAGCAGACTTAACCGCTATAGCGAGAGCCAAACTGCGGCCATGACGCACCATCCAGTCTACTCCCGACACGTCCGCTATGGGGCAAAGTTTAATGTGGGTCAGTACAAATGTCTTACCCATGTATAGCGGGGCAGTGACAGCACTACATACAGTGAAATGAGTAAAACTGATGTTAGCAAAGGTACCGACTGTTTAACAGAGGTGTTAAAAAAGTACATGGCATCAAGCTGAAGGTGGTGATTCAACTGCATCACTTTTGAAGTAGGATAATAATTATAATAGCAGTAAAGCAAAAGGCTTTATATAGTTGTTATTTCCAAACAAATAACTAAATACTTTATAATATCAAAACAATATTTAAAGTGTTTTTAGTCGTCTGTTTGATGACACTTCTGTTTAATTAACGTCTTAAAACATGTGTCCATCAAAGTCCTTTAAAATACATTTTTAAATATTTAAAACGTGTGCACGAGTGAAGTGGAAACTCTACAGAGATCCAGACAAAATCACACACTCCCACTTTCTATAGTGTTCTAAACTATATTTAAAATAATACATTGCTTAAATGTGATGATCTTGTTGGTGTGGTAGTTGCAGTGCAGCTCCGGTGCTGTACTCACTAATGTGTAGAGGAGCTGCTTCTCCGATTCAGTGATAAAAACTTATTTGTAATTTGTACATTGTTTTTTATTTCATCAAAAACTTTATCAAATCTGTGATTTGAGCTGTGAAGTTTCAAACCTGCTGTAAAACTGTTTAATAAGAAAATAAACTAATTCAGATATATGGCTGAATTTCGGTATTTAGATAAGGATCATTACACTTGTTATATGAGATGATGAACCTTCCTGGGTAAATCAAAGTCTTCCATCAAATTTGAGCATTTTCCTTATTGTGTGATCATTTTCATGTGCTTATTATTTTCTATCTTTATTCCACTTCTCTTTAGCTACTCTCATCCTCCAGCAGAGAATGCAGGTACACTGTGCGGTGTGCTTACCAAGGACATGCTGCTGTAACACTGTCTTCAACTCCTCTTCAGACAGGAAGGCACACAGCACACCAACACACCCTGCAGAGGCCATCCGAGTAGCGTCCTACAAACGCACGCACGCACGCACGCACGCACACATATGCATGCACACACACAAAAGCTAAGGTGACACACTTACAACCACATCCTGAGTGGTTATGGTTATATACCATATCTGAACATAAGAATGCAGTTAACCTTACAAGTATAATAAAAAAGAGTAACAGCCCTTTTTCTACATGTTTAAATAAAATCTGCTGCTGGTTGAGGATCTAATATATTCTTTCCATGATGGCTTAACTGGGTGTTAATTGTTTGTTGATGTTCACTGGTTCCAGACATCCTCTGAGGGCAGATCAGTATGTTATAATTACTATGTTTTCATTTAATAATAAAAATAGATGGATGCCGTTTGGTTTACATTCAGCTGACTTTAGATGGTGATTGAGTTTTAGATAACTTTTTGAGAAGAAGGAACAGAGAATAACTTCACCATAATTTGTTTCCAAACGTTACAATGCAAAGTTGGACTAAGAAAATGACATAATAATAATTCATAATAATAGTTTCTTCTTTTAAAGATCTTAACCTGGTCTCGGTCTCGCCACTCCTGATCCCGGTCTTGACTTGAACTCAACTAACACAAAGTCTTGGTCTTGACTCAGACTTGACGTGTCCAGGTCTCAGTCTTGACTCAGAGTCTCCTCTAGTGGTCTTGACTACAACATTACCATTCATACCAATATCACTCAAAGCACCTGCTGCCTGGCTTGAGGCAGCCTGGATTAAGGCAGCCAAGATTAGTGATAGAGTTGATGACTGAATATACTGTCAACAGCGAGGAAGCAAACTGCCGTAAGATGAGTGTTGTGCATGCACACAACCCATTTAACTATTTATAGGCTTTTATTCTGCAGGATATTATCAGCATATGCAACCTATGTTACTCGTTATTGTTATTCTGCTTACAGACAATTGGAGGAAGGGCTGACCCAGACTCTGAAATAAAGTGTTTAAATGAGTATGACTGCAGCTGCAATGTTTGAGTATTCTATTTATAAATCAGAATGTTCTTATGCATCCGATGCACGTGAACACAAATAGAAAGGGAACGCCTAAATAGTAATGCAGTACATTTCACATGATGGATGATTTATGGGTTCGCCTATTGATTGACATGATTTTTTTACTGAGAAGTATATAGGAGAATGAGATAATGATAGCACCTTGTCTGCAGAACCCATTTAAACCCACAACATTTGGGGGCATAACAGTGAAGGGCATGAGGTGGTGGCCGTTGCCCACAGGACTGTCAGAGTGGGCGAGGAAAGCAGCTGCTTAAATATTTCTAGTAGTGTTGTTGGTGTGAATGACGCAGTCAAATTAATATGCTCCTATCAACTGTTTAAAATGATGACAAGTGATACAGCGCCTGCAGTGGGCTGTCATACCTCATCATGCCCCAGCATGCCCAAGAGTGTGGTGGTGATGTTCTTCCTGATGGTGGGGTCAACCTTTGCCCCAGCGCCTTGAATGACGAACCTCAGGGCTTGTAGCATCGTCTCCCTACATCACATGGCAGAATGTTACAGGGGAGTTAGATTCTAATGCATGTTCTGCTTCTGTTTTTGCACTGCAGTCTAGATGTGGTTCCAGCAGAGGATTTGAGCGGACCGAGTCAAGCAGCAAAGCCAATTAACTTCTATTAAAAAATTGCTGTATTTCAGCAACACACATAAACATGAACCAGCGCGGCTTCTGCAGCAGCCGTGCTTCACATTATCCAGTCACATGCATTTATGTAAACGAAGAAGGCGAAAGCAGTGCAACAGAACCGAGACTACAGGGCTAGATATCAGGTCAGAAAGCAAATAATTGCAAATATATTTTCATATATTTTTTTATTTCATTTGCTATTTTGAAGCTTTAAAAAAAATACAATGAAAACAGAGTTTAAATATAAATGAACAGAAAACATTTTCCTTCCTGGTTCAGTTCATGGCGCTGGTAATGAGTCCGTGCCTCTGTGATAAAAATCACTTTAAATGAACCTTCCTACAAAACCCACTTCTGAGAACAAATGAAAAACTTAAATCTCAAAATGAAAGAACAACAGTCCTCAGTATTTTACATTTTAATTACATTTTATTTTTCATTTATTTATTATTTTAATGAAAAGACATGATTTTGTGTCCTGTGCACCAATATTTTCCTTTCAAAAAGATTTTCCTTTTTAAAATAATTTTTATGTCAATGATTAAATGTTTACTCAGTAATAGTTAAGCATTTAAAGGTAACCGTTGTCATCATTTACTTATGTTAGTTTGTGTTTCCTAAACATTGTTAGCAAGACATTTGATGTAACTGGACCTTTGCAGGTTTTAGTTGAATATCCCTGTCATTAAGAAGGTGCCTGTCAGCATTTTCAATCAAAAGTCAAAATTTCTGCTTCACAGTTCTTTTAAGACTGGAATTTGACTCTACACTGGTGAAACGACTTGGGAAGCACAGTTGTGTTATGTGTAGCTTGTAGCCCACCTGATGCCCGAGTCCTCTGCATTCCGTATGGCCGAGAGCTGCTCAGTGAAGAGTGGGTCTACTTTGGTGTGAATGGAGACAAGCTGACCCAGAGCCTCGGCTGCCCTCAGCCTCACCGCCCTGCTTGAGTCCTGCAATGCCTTCAGAAATGTTGTCTGGAGCTGCGGCAGGAAGGGCTTCAGAGCAATGCCCACCTACAGAGGGGAACAGAGGGAAGATATAGTTACACACTAGAGAATGGAAGTGTTTGAAGTGCTTTGTATGTGATGCTGAAAGAGTCCAGAAATTTTAAGATAAGAATTATGAATGAGAAGAAACATTCCAATACATCGGTTCCGAGTGCTGGTTCTGGAGTTCCCCTGCTCTGCTCATTTTAGTGTTTTTTCCGTGCTCTACCACACCTACTTTCAAAGCCTTGTGCATTAGCATCCAGTGTGACAGAACAGAAAAAACATTAAAAGATGCAGGGAAGAGGTACCCCAGAGCAAGAAGCAAAGCCCAAATTCATTCAGTTATCTGCTGATACCATCTTTTACCCCGTCAACTCCAAGTACTGAATCTCAAATAATGTGATACATTATTAATTTCACTATTTTTTTATGCTGTTCAAGCATTTTTCTAGTTTGCCCATTTAAACCAACCATAATTGTCCAGGCTGAAGCCCAGCTGCTTGCGTTGCTCTGATAGACTTTAAATGGCTTTTAAAGCAATACCTTTAGCAGACTACTACACTAGACAGTGTGTGCAGGAGACCTACAGATAAACGAGCAGCAAAATGTGTAAACCAGCAATCAGCGGGGCAGTTCAAGCTAAAAAATACTTTTGTTGAGTTAATAAATGTTGAGCTCATGTTTAGTTTGTCTCAAGGTGGCGCTGTTTTTGGGTTCATCATCGTGTCCATGGTCTGGCAAAATTCTGTGGAGGTAGATTTAAGCCAAAACGTATTTGTGAACTGTGATTTGAAGATCTATATCAGCTTTGTATGTAAATTTGCAAATGTAAATTTATTTAAATGAAAATTTATAGAAGTAAGTCACATGAGTAAGTTTGGGGTCTTACTGCACTCAGGTCCATTTTCAAATGTGCAAACTTTCCTTTTGCCTACATTTTGTACTTTTCATTCATTCAGCTCAACTTGTACAAGTTTGTGTTTCAGTTCGCTGCATGCAAACTTTTGGCAATACTGCTGCACTGCAACCAGAATCACAATCATACAGTGTGCTATGAAAACTGTATCTTACTTGCAAAGTGTGAATTCTAAATGCATTACAGTCTGTAAACATGTACGTAAAAGGCAGAGTGAACTTCACCCACGATCATTGTGATACATTTATCTGGGTTAACTTAAGTTTACATCTCATTTCCTCACATGAGAACTTTTGACATTGTTGTTGACAGTCTTAAATCTAACTCCATACAGTTCACACCATGAGAGAGCCTCTCACTGGTTTTTACTTCTATACCAGTACACCTCCCACCTCTAACAGACAGCTCATTTTTCTGGCAGCATCAGGACCGAACCCAATAAAAACTTGAAGGAGCCAAACCTTAGCAAGCAGAAGGGTCAGAGTCTCAAGCAGAGCGGTCTTCACAGTCCAGGCAAAGCGGTCGCCCAGGATACGGATGAGGGGTCCCGTGATGTGGACTACAGAGGGGCGTAGAGCCTCAGCAGAGGTTAGCTTGATGACACCACCTAATGCACGCGCTGCTTCTTCCTTCTGCTCCGGACTGCCTGTTAACACCCCCTCTCTCAGAACGGGCAGAATGCAGGTCACTCCCTGCAAAAAAGGAAAAATGTGGGAACAGAGAGGAAAGACTGAAAGGTTGCATCAGCAAAAGCATAAACCACTAACAACAAAAACAACACCAAAAACGATGGGAAATTACATCAGTGTGTTTAATAAATGCCCAGTACTTACCTTCTTGGGCAGACAGAAGCCAGGCAGGTGTTCGCCCTTGACCTCGGCCGCAGCTGAGCGGATATCTCTGTGCAAGTCGTCTATCAGAGCCAGCTGACTGCCAGCATCCAGTTTCTGCATACAAACAAAATGGGTTCAATCACTCAGTTTGATAGTCAATATTCTACATTTCCTATACATTTCTAAACATGTCTGATTAAACAGGGAGTTGAGAAACAGCCAGAGAGTTCAGTAAAGTGTTTTAGGCTGTTTTCACACCTACTTTGTTAGCTGAAGTCTGAGGCAAAGTCTGGGTTTTTGTTTTTTTTATTTGGTTTGGCTGCACCACATGTGCATGTGGGTGTTTGTTTATTGGTCAGAAAGTTTGCAGGGATACAAGTGCTCCGTTAGGCACATATGTGCCACCATTTTAGCCAAAAAACTCCTACTTTGCATGAAAATAGAGACACTTAGCATCTATGTGAATCACACTCAAAGCAATAATACCAAATTTAATGTCTGCGTCTTTATGACTGGTTTGTCAATTTGAATAACAAATCAGGATGCTGATGTAATACGTTCTGCGATCCATGGGCCAAAATCAAAGGCACTGCTTCACTATTATTTTATTTATTTTATTGCAGGTCAGCAGTTATTAGAAACAGCTTGTGCGGCAAGAATGGTATGAGCGTCTGTTAAGAGTCAGATGGTAAAACAGGCAGATTATGTGGACAGTACAATGCTGACATGCTGCTAAGGACAACAAATTCTGTGATACTTTTAATACAGATTATTCTTAAATATTTCAGTGTCCAGTAATGGATAACGCATTCTGTGTTAAAAGTAACACAAAATAATTAAAAAAAGAAAACAATACCACATAAAATGTGTTAAACAGGTAACAAATGTAAGAGTGCTGAGGTTGAGAATGTACTGTCTTTCTCCTGTAAGGTTACCATTTTGGAGATACGAGGTTTTGTTCAGACAGGGATAATATGCATGCTAGAGAGCCACTCATTAGTCTACCTTGGTGATGGAGTTGATTGTGTCCCAGCTCTGGTTGAGCACTTCAGGATTTGAGTCGTTGAGCAGACGCATGAGGCCGGAGAGCAGCGTGCGGGTGTGAGCGCTGTAGTCAAGGCGTGTTCGGGAGAAGTAAGCATTCAGGATGGTAACAGAAGCCTCTCTCAGTCCAGCGTCCGGCCCCCGCGTGGCCTCCAGGAGATCCTCTATGATGATTCTCTGACCAACCTCGTCCTCCACGGACAGAATCACAGTCTGACAGCTGCTCAGCTCCTGCACAACAGACAAAACAACACTGACTTATTCACAAGTGATGTATGAGGTATGAAGTCCTTAAGACCTTAAAATTGTTGCCTAATTATACTGTTTCATTAAGGAGGCTTGGAGCAAAAAGAACAATTTTGAATGATGAGTAACTACTGCTGTACAGCTAAATTCACCTGAGGCCCTTCATCAGTGCCCAGCTTGTCTTTGAGGGACGAGAGTAAAGCAGGGAGAATCACACCCAGGTGACGTGTCAGGGCATCACCGGTCACAGAAGACAGGAAGGCCAAGACTCTCGTGTTCACTGGTGGAGCGGTCAACTGAAAACAAAACAAAACAAAAAAACAAAAACAAAAAACAAGAATGAAATGAAGAAAAACGTGAGTATTTATGTAACAAAGCCTGTTACAATCATTGAAATTTAGCTAGCAATTAAATGTCATACAAACAATTGTAATTTACAAATTAACTTTTTTGTTCACTGCATGGACCTATTAACTTACAAGCCTAATGTGGCAAAACTGGCTGATCAGCTTTCTGCTTCCTATCTAACAATACTTAGTTTCTCCAACCTGATGACAGCTTGAGCTCAAACAATCATCACTCACTGCTGCCTTCTAAAGGTGTTACAGCACCAGTCAGAAGCTGGAACGTTTGTTGTTTTTATATCACCAAAAACAAGTCTCAGTAAATGTTTCCTGCTTTCTTTTGTTTACATGTATTTGCCTCCACCAACTGATAGGAAAATGTGCCTGATTCCCATTCTTTTTGTTGCACCAGAAACATATAATTGTGAAAGCTAACAATTGCGGAAAATAAATTGCGGTCAGCTAAATAAATTCAACCAGCTTAACAATAACACATTTTTTAGGTGATGTACTCACCTAAAAAAAAGCAGACAATATATTAAGCAAGCTAATCAGAGATTGTTTTTAATTAGAAGACTTAAAGGCTTTTGAGTGAGTGAAAACTTACTTATGAAGGCCAACATCAGTCTGGTGTCAAGTATACTTGTTTTTAATATGACAGCTTGGTTTGGGACCCTGACTGGCAGAGATACTGGCAAGCTTGCCAGAACCTTCGGAATGGCTGGCAAACGTATGAGTAGGCAGCAGAAGCAGTGAAATGTACAGGGCTGCAGTATGTAGGAAGGCTCCTGCTGCAGTGCATAACCCAAGCCATCCTCTTTACAAGTAGTTTAAGCTGTTACCTTCAGGATGACATGTTAGGATGCCCATAACTATGAAAAATCTTAAGAAATCAATTTTTCCCCACAGCCATTAGCCTCCTGCATCATTCTTAATTATTCTTCGCATGTAAGGATTGATGTTTTATGTTTACATGTTGTTTGTTGAGAATGTCTGTGCCTGTTGTTTATGTTGTACTGTTTATGTCCAACTTTGCTGGACAATAGTTACATTCTCTTCTACCAGGGAAGGAACAAAAACTAAATTCAGAATGAAGTACGTGTGCTTTTAATTCCTTTTTGTAATTTGTAATAATTTTAGAGACACTAATCTGTTTACGTATTCAGAAAAGCCAAGTAATTATAAATGCGTGGATGAAAAGGTTTAAAGAAAAATATTACAAACTAAAATAGAGCTAACCTTAGGCACCAGGTAAGGCAGTACTGATCGACTCTTCACAGCCATAACCTGCTTCAGTCCATCCAGAGCAAACTCAGCGGTCTCCTCATCCTCCTGCCAGCAAAACAACATTTAATAATAATAATAATAATAAGGTATATACGTTTTCTTGAATATGAGCAAATTAAAGAAAGAAATAAGTAACAAAAAGTAGAAAACAGTGGGCTACTGAGGCAGTCTGGCATGGTTGTATAAAAGGCTGATGCTGAGACTAACCAGTTGCTTAAGCAGGGCTGGGAGGATGTCGTCCAGTGCCTGATGGCCAATGGTGGTGTGGAGCTGCTCGAAGGTTTTAGCAGCTGCTTCACGCACCTCCTCCAACGGGTCACACAGAGCTTTACGCACTGTAGGCACTAGAGACTCTGAAAACACCAAAACCTGTGGGGCAGACACAGTTGAATTCTGCTAAGCACTGTAGGAGAACACAAACAATCAAGTCACTTGGAAAAGTCATGCTGATTGACGTACGGCGTCTTTGCTGGTGGACTTCATAATCTCACTGAGGCCGATGCACACTCCCTGCCTCTCATCGCTCTTCTCTGAGCGCAGACCCTCCTCCAGGATGGGGATGATTTCTGGAAGGATCTTCTCCCCCAGCTTCCTCACCAGATCTCCTAGAGTACGAGCTGCAATCTGAGAACGGACAGTGGTGAGTCAGAGTTAAAGTAGGCCAGTCACGATGTAATATGGTGTAAAATGGCAATGATAGTTATAACTGTGACAAGTAGGACACACTTGATGGTACTCCATGGCTTATCAACAAATGGGTTATTTTTTAGAAACATGACAAATACTGGGACCCAACCTGAAAAACTTTGCATACTGTTATCAAACTAGGTATTGTAAAGCGAATTATTACAATATACATGAATCATTCTACCAAACTGGTTCAAAGCCAGAGTAGAAAACATACAGGCATAAACACAAATAAATGTTACTACACACATTAGGCTGCAGCATTTTTTACCCCTTACTTTCTGTGGTTGTCTAATGAGGATTAGAGTTAATAAAACAGTGGGTGTTTGGACATCCCTGGTCAAATCTGATGCAAGTAAAAAAAAAGTTAACGGATCCTTGGCTGTGCAAAAGTGGAACATTTTATATTATATTTTGCACTTTTTCCAATGTGTGCACTAAAATGTGCAGAAGAAGGCCGTGTTTGTTCCTTGTGTAGGCTGTGTTAACTTGCAGTCTCTTAGAAAGTCGACAAAACATCTAATCTTACTTTTTTTTTACAGTATAAAACGAAACTGTTTTGAATAAATGCATATTGCATCTCAATCCCTGTACTGAGGGAAAAAAATGGAATACTAATATGCACATCGTGACACCCCTAGTATGTATGCACGTGTGTACCGTTCTCTTGTCGGGGCAGGTGGATGCCAGGAAACCCAGCAGCAGACTGAAGAGTGTGGGCAGGATCTCTCGCAGTGTTCGTGGTGTGTTAGACACCACAATCTTCCAGACGTGCAGCGAGGCCTGCCTGACCACCAGCTGGGTGTCAGAGCGGCCCATGTAGAGTCCAGAGAGCACGCGGTTCCTCCTCTCCACTCCCAGAGCACCAATAATGGCCTGAGGAACAAAGCACGTGTTCATCTTCATACTTCAGTAATATATAAACACACACCTTCTGAGTCATAGCAGCGTAAAAGTTTATACCTTGTTAGACTGTGCTGTCCCAAAGTTGTCGTCCTCAGATGCTGTCTCTGTTGTCATCTTCCCTGAAACCCCAGAGATGTGGAACAGCAGGTCTCCTAGCAACTGCACCGAGCTGAACCTGTGGCCACAAATATTTTTTCAGCTCCATCATTCAGAGCTACTCTATTGCTATGACAACCATTCTCTGCAAGTCTAACGTAGGACGGAGAATAAAAGGTATGTGGAGACTGTATGTGTGTCCCACCTGATCCTCCAGAGGTCGTCAAACAGGCCTTGTTCCAGCTCAGGCAGCAGCAGAGCAATGGCCGTCTCTGCGTACATGCTGATGATGCGCTGACCTGCTCTCAAGGCCGTGTCTCTTACATACTCATTCTCATCAGCCAGAGCCTGCACACAGAGGAGCAGATAGAGAACAATTAGACATAGCAGATACAAAACAATTCAGGAATGTTCCCATCCAGTTTTATTGCCTTGGATCCGATCCTTTTGAATATCAGTCGATACTCATCCAACCTTTGTTTGATAGATAATACACCCTCGTAACAAGAATATGTCTACGGCCGACTTGTTAAACATCCAGTGCTGGAATGAAGTAAGGCCTGCCACAAACAAGGGTGTGTCCGCTTTGAATTTCAACAAGCTAGCAAAATGTTATCGTTAACTACTGAAACTGCTTTCCCTTACAAGAGGTAATATTTATTTTTAGCCTATATGAGGTGTTCTCCGCACGAGACACACATACATGCTTAACTTATGCCACATACATGGACTAATGACAGGTTTGTTGTCGGTGAGAAAACGCTGACGAGCACACGATCGCCTCAAACTCTTTGCTAACTTGTCTAAATGAGATCGGTACATCCCTAGTAATATTACTGTCAAAGTTCTGCATGATGTTGGAACTTTGGTATGAATATATGGTAATTTTCTTTCATTTCTGAGCAACATTAACCTCTTTTTAACATAACATCCTTATTAAGGATAAGTTTAAGGCTTATTTTTTAATAATTACATGGAAAACAGTGCAAACAGGCGGAGTTATTCTTAAGTTACAGTAGTGAGGAATGCAAGTCTGGAAGTACTAGTGGTTTCCATGAAGTTTGAGAGGTTAACAGTTTAATACTGATTACAAAATATGCAAAATAAGTAAAAGTCTTATAAGACCCTCTATACCTTGAGGATACAGGGAATGATTGGGCCCACATAAGGAGTGAACCTTTCCCCGAAGGTCAGAGGAAGGTAAATGAACATCATGATGTAGCCGTCTCGGACGTGAGAGGCGATGTCCACTTTGCTGGCCGTCTGGACCACGTCGGGCATCAACTTATCCAGCTTCTCAACTCCTAAACCGGCCATCACCTCTGCCAGACCTGAGGGACAGCAAGGGAGACATGTAAACTCTCACAGAGAACATAACAATTACACTTTAAAATCAAGCAACATCACACGAACACAGCAAAAATATCATTCTGAAAGGTCTGGTGTATCATGATCCTGATAAAGGCAGATCCTTTGCTGCCCTCTGCTGGTATATAGCTCAGTATTTCTCACCCTGTGCTGCTCCAGAGCGGTCCACAGAGCTCTGCTCAGAGGCCAGAGTCTCCATCAACCAGGGCAGCAAGTCATCGAAGCAGGACTCGCCCATGCCCTTCACCATGGCACCCAGAGCCTTTGCGGAAACTGTTCGTACCTGTGCACAAGCAGGGTGAGAACAGACAACATGCACTTAAAAAAAAACCCTTGCAGAAAAAACACTGTGAACCAGTAAACAGAAAGTGAGACTTATGTTTATTTATTAAACAAAGTTGAACATCAAAAGAATCTACATGGAGTCAAGTGGTGAAAATGTATGGAGTCATGATTATTACAGCTTTTAAATTTTCATTAGAGTTTCTTTTTATTTAGTTTTGTATTTTGGTCTTTGATTTCAGTTTAGTTTCAGTTAGTTTTAAGCCTGCATTAATAGTTTTAATACTGTTTTTTTTATATTCTGAAATGCGAGAGTTTAGTTGTTATTCGGTAACATTTGCTAGTATTATGACGAAGTGCAAGTAGGACACAAAGTTCAAACGACATGATTTCTATATAAACTACTGAAGTCTGTACATATATTACAACTCCAAAATAAAACCTTATACACTCTATACATCAGGATTGTCTGAAGGTTCCTTACAGGTCACAGTTCTGTAGAGATTAACATTTTCCCTCTTTTAACACTGATAAATGCCTTGCTAACTAGCTAATGAGTTTAACCAGGTATGTTGGTTGAGGTAGGACGCTCAACACCCCTACTATATACAATGTAGAAGTGTTTTTAGAGCTGTGTAGTTTACACAGAGATCAAACCCAGTTTGACCCTGGTCTTTAATGATGAGAATTCAATGCATCAAAGCGATATACTCAAGAAGTCTTGTTGACATTCTTGTCTTTGTGACGATCGGCACCAACATCTCTTCAAGCTTGTGGCGGTTGTGGCTTGTGCTATTCACGCTCCACTCACTATCAAGTCACTGAAAAATCCCAGGCAAGCTCTAAACACTACTTCTATCTCTGCTCCATTCACTCCTACCACCAGCGTTTTAACTGTTATTAAAATGAATGAGCACTTTTCACTGCTACTTCTCTTTTTTTGTGAAAACTGGCTTCAAGAATAACTCCGACTGGAACAGAGGAACTGACCTCTGGTACAGGGTCCAGCAGAGAAGTTTTGAGTCCTGGAATCACACTAGGCAGGTATGGAGACAGGTCCTGCACACAAAAACAATACAGTCAATACAGTTTGTAACTTTGTTTTTAAAAAGCTAAACAGGGTAGAGAGAACAGTTTGTTGCAAAGTCAAGGCAAATAGCCAATACATTGTGAATATCACTAATCTAATCAAATCAGAGGCTGATGCATGCCTTTTGGTCAGTGAGGGAGTACATGTTCCCGATGATCTGAGCAGCCATCTTCCGAGTGTCGGTGGAGCGGTCCTGGAAAGCCCTCTGGACAACGGGCATAATAAGAGCTAGCGAGGGCGCATCGATGAAGTGGACAAATTTTGTCTCCAACAGAGTCTGCAGACAGTGCTGGGTCTTATGGGAGGGGTCGGTCAGCGCGTCCAGCAGAATGGGGGTGATGGCTGAGGGGACGGAGAAGCAGTTCAGAAAGAATATCAACACAAAAAGGCATTAATACGTTCTCTGCACTAAGGTATTTACATTTTCATTGTGCAGCACAGTGTACTGAACTAATACTGATTTACTAGACTACTATATTCTGTTGTATACAGATAAGTGACAAATTGAAATAAAGAGGAAATAAAGTGTCTTAGTAAGCTGTTGGGCCATCACAACCTGCCAAAGCAGCCTCAATGCACCTTGGCACAAGTCTATAAATCTTCTAAACTATTTTTCCATAACACTAACAACCCTTGGATAATATGGTGTAATTACATAGTACTTACATGAGACACATTCTACATTATTTTATCTACCCACAGTATATTATTTACAGTGCCCTACACAGATATTGGCACCCCTAGTAAATATGAGCAAAACAGGCTGTAAAGGCATTCTCTACTGCTTATCCTTTTGATTTTTCATTCAAAATATTAACACAACTCTAACCTTTATTTGAAATACAATGGAGAAAAAACCCTAAATCTTATCAGGAAATAATATTTTCCTCAAATTGATGTAAGTCACAGTTATTGGCACCCTTTCATTTAATACTTTGTGCAGCCTCCCCTTGCAAAGATAACAGCACTGAATCTTCTCCTATAATGCTTAATGAAACTGGAGAACATAACGCGAGTGATCTGAAAACATTCCTCCATATAGAACCTCTCCAGATCCTTCAGATTCCAAGGTCCACACTGTGGTCTCTCTTCTTAGGTCAGGGGACTTGGGTAGCAAAAGCAAAACTGTAATGCTGTGGTCAGTAACTTCCTGTAACTTCCTGTGCAACTTCCTGTGTCTTAAAGAAATCCTTCATTTATTTTGTGTTCATTCTGGTTCTATAAATGGAAGATATACACAGAGATATGATGACAGGATATGGTGTGAATTCTAGGCCATTTTTGAGCCAGATGACTCACTAATACTTTTCTGCACCTGAATGAAACCACTCTGGCCAGTGAATGCTAGGTCTGCTGATTGCTGTGATGTGTGTATCATGTGTCTGTGTTAAGCATTTGTTGAGTTATGAAGCCTAAAAGCAGAGAACCAGTTTCAGGTTACAGAGTGGATTTTGGGTCATGTTTCAAGCTAAATGAAGATCTGGACTAACATGTCAGTCCAAAATTTCCCATAGGTGTTCAACTGGGTTGAGATCTGTTGCGAAGGCCATAGCATATGATTTACATCATTTTCATACTCATAAAATCATTCAGTGGCCCTTGCCAGTGACTCTTGCAATGTCTTTCCCATAGGTCTAAATGCTGATGCCACTTCACTTTCAGTTGAGCAGTCTTTGTGACTGAAGATCCATCTGTGCCTGAATAATGAACCCTCTTTCAAAGCCACTTTGATCTTTTTCTCGTCATCCTCATCCAAAATGAAGGTCAGCCAGGCCTGCTCTGCACTTTGAAACATGCCACAGAGCATGACAGGATATTAAATGCTTAATTGTATCATGCAGTACACCTGTCTGGAAGCATCTGCCCTCTGTACTCATCATCTTACTCAGTTTGTAGATGGCCTGTGAACTGGGTAAGCTGTAATGTGTCTGTTTCTCACCCAGGATCTCAGGATTGCGGATGACTGAGCCAATCTGTCTCAGGGCCTGCTGGCCGGCCTTCTGCACTTTGACATGCGAGTCAGTCAGCACCTCTGTTAGCTTGGGGACAATGCTGGGCAGGCATGAGGACAGCTGCTTAGGAGCACAGTACGCCATGGCACCCAACAACTCTACAGAGCCTGCACACAGATTGGGGGGATATATGTGAGAGAGCTAACAGAACAACACAAATACATTATGTATAACCATGTTATTAAGGTAGACTAAGTGTGTTGAAAGAGTGCCAACCTGCTTTGGTTCTCCAGGACTCTTCCTCCAAGGCCACGAGAAGAGAAGGCAGCACTAACTTCACTCCATGAGCACTTAGGTTCCGCATTACAGCCTTAGCACAATCATCTGCAGCCTGAGAGAACGAGCCATAGAAACCGAGAGAGAGAGAGAGAGAGCGAGAGAGAGAGAGAGAGGCAGATATATATATATATACACATACACACATCAACATAGTTGAGAAAAGCTAAAGCAGGCACGGACCTCTCTGACATACTGGTTCCCATCTCCAAAGCAGAGGAGGAGGTGTGGCAGTACATGGACCACATATGGCTCAAACAACTTCCCCAGCATGTTGCACAGCATCTCAAACGCAAATAGAGCACCTGAGACAGAAACAAATTCAAACCCTTAAGCTGCAGCTTTCTGAATATGAATCTGAGCACACTTCAACCACTCTGAGCTCAAAGCTCATTTCCCAGACACCCTCACCTTCTCTGCGCCTGGAGTTCTTCTTGTCCTGGATGGCATCGGTGAGTGTGGTCATGATGTCCTGCTGTTTGAGTGAGAGGATACCCAGGCCCTTGACCAGGCCAGCCAGACCGTATGCAGCCCCCTTCCTCTCTGCATACTTGTCGCTCTCCAGGAGCAGCTGTAACAGCTTTCGGACCATGTCCCCCGCATCTTCCTTTATAGCTGGAACCAGAGGAGGCAGGCAGCTGGCTACTGACTCCTGAACCTGAGGGAGAAAGGAGGGAGGTGTAATCTCGAAAGCTATGAAACAAATGATTTGTATTAAAACATTTCACATACTGTGCTGCACTCAATCTAATTAAACAGGACTAATTTTACTCTTTTTGTAATCCAACAAGCAGTTGGAAGATATTTTTTAAGAACTGATGATATCTACAATATGCTCATAAAAAAGGCATACTGGGACATAACGCAGCATGATTTATCACAATAATGATAAATACTGACATACGGCCAAGCCCTACTTTAACCCAGTAGGAATCACCCCTCACAAGCTGCCTGGTGAATTTAATCGCAAAGCATAACCTTTGAGAACAGTTTTACACACACACTTATATAAATATACAGACACATACACAAATAGACACAATCATAGCAAAATATGGTGTATATAATGATGTTTAACTACAACTATTAGAGCATAAGTACTAAATAAATCTATATCGACATACAAAAATCGATTTTGATATACAAAAATCTTCATATTGGTCAGGCCCTATTCTGCAGCCCTAGATTACTGTCCCAAGTGTGTTTCAAACTGAAACAGAACAAAAACCAGGGACTGACTGGTGCTCCTGTGAACAGGACTGGAGGCCCTCTGGTGTAAAGGCCATAGCCTACCTGCTGTGAGGGTGTGGAGAGAGCGGTGATGAGTTTGGCCACAATGGGCTTCACTTTGGGGTCACTCTTGTCAAGATGTTTGGCCAGCGAACCCATTAGAATGACCACACTCTGCCGCACTGAATCATAGCTGGCATCCTGAGGAGCGTTCTTCAGGAACTCCTCGAACACCGGCAGCAGTGAGTTCACATTGTCCTGTAGCACAAGGGCCATAGCAAGTTACATTAAGTCTCAAACTACCCTGCAATACAGGCCATAACAGACACTGTGAACAACTATAGAGCAAGAAACACTAGTTAACAGCATTTAGTCACATTAAAAAAGAGATAACTAATGAGATATTTAATAGCTGTTGTTGATATGGGCTGATAGTTGGCTGTTATGGTTTTAACTTCATGGGTGCAGTTATGTTTATAACCCAATAATCAATAAAAGGGAAATTCAAAACATCAAGGTGACTTGACTAATAAATAGAACTCAATATAATACTCCAATGAATCAGTAATACCTAATTTATAGTGGAAAAGGCCATTGTTATGCTGTTACTGTAAAGTCTTACCTTGCCGTGGGTGTTCAGGACTGCCAAAGCTGCGTCCAGCATGCATCGCCGCACTTCGCTGTGCCTGTCATTCAGTGCGTCCGGCACGAAGAACAGGAAGAGAGGAGTCACCTGACTCTCGTCCAGGCACTGAGAGAGCTTGTTTAAAGCCAGCGCTATTCCACACCTGCAGACGCGTAAGACCAGACACTCAGTGTTAGATATTTCAATACACGTTACAGGGAGTATTACTTGACAATTCAGAGGTTTACCTGGCTTCCCACTGGTCAGGAGGTGCTTCAGAGATTACTCGCCCCAAAACGTCCAGGACTGGTGGTGGTCTCTGCAGTTTATAAGGACCAATTATTAATTTAATATGTTTTCTTTTCTTTTTAAATCTTTGCCCTTAATCTATATCAGTGGTCCTGGAGGACCACCTGCCTTGCACATTTTCGTGTCTGCCCTGCTCCCAACACACCTGATCCAGCTAATCTGCTAATTAACAGGAAAACACAAAAATGTGCAGGGCTGGGGGTCCTCCAAGAAGAGGGTTGGGAACCGCTGATCTATATGACCATCTCTGGAATTCTCTACCAGAGAATCTAACAGCAACTGACAATCTTAGCACTGACATTAGTATCTAAAATTTTGTATGTAATACTTCATTTAAACAGAGCAGCTGCTTTCCTATAGATTTTTAAGTTTCATTTTCCCCTTATATTCTTATTGTTTCAGGCCTTTTACTTTGTTCTGTTTTAATCTTTGAGTGTTATTTTAATGTTAAAAACATATAAAAATAAATAAATAAATAAATAAATACATACATATATACATACATGCATACATTTGTTAACTTCTGACCTGGCTGAATACTTCCATTTTTAATTGAGTGAGATTTTGACAAAGTACCAATACTATCACTTAAGTACAGTTTCTCACTTTTTAAATGCCTGCTTACGCAGTAACACAGGGCTGCTAAGATAACGGAACCTGAGAGTTCTCTTAACAAGCTGTACCACGAGAGCCCCCTGATTTAGAGTGAGTGAAAATGATCTACACTACCATGATAAAGACACACTAGGACACACTCAATAGCTATAGTGATTTGGTTTGACCTACAAAATCCACTAAAAATGAAAAATGGCAGCAGAAATTAGGAATCATTGTTTGATTAGGAGTCGTGTCTTTTTTGCAGTGAAATTCAATCATGAGACCACAGAGTAGTAGAATGAAACTAATGTAGTGGAATGAATCTGCAGGCTGGATGACGATCAGAGGAGCGGGAGAGAGAGAGAGAGACTCACGTAGAGTTTCTGCTGGTAGAGCTCTGTGAGTCGGGACAGGACGGCAGCTGATTGGTCCTGGTACTGACTCACAGCGATGGACAGAGCCTCTGCCCCTGCCGCCCGCACAGTCTCTTCATGATGCGTTACGTCTCCGATCAGCAAAGGACACAGCTCAGGAACAAGCTCCAGACACAGAGTCTGCCACAGCCTGAGAGGGAGAGAGACAGACACATGCACACACTGTGAAAAATCCAAAATTCAACTGCATTTACTTCTCAATATTACTCCATACCTGACCCATTCCCGTTTGTGTATAGGAAAGCTAGGGGATGAGGATGCACTGCTTGTTATGATTTACGACATTTATGAACATCTGGAACCGGCATATAGTCTGGTTAAAGTTGTTGATTGATTTCAGCAGTGCTTTAAACACTATTCAGCCTCACTTTATTGGTTATCAGTAGAGAGACTTTAAACAGAGAACTGATAAAATTAAACCTACAAAATGTGCAGCAACCAAAGCAAAGAAAGTTAAGCAGAGAATGTTTGTCAGTTAAATGGTTTTAACCTCAACTGTTGTTTTGCAACTTTGCTATAATGCATGTTTGAGAACATGCATATCCAAGAGCGGAACAAACTTCAGAGATTATCGTGTGATTGGGGGAGTCCTAACTAGCAGGTGGAATTGGAAACGACTAAATTGGGGAGAAAATTGTGTTAAACTTATTACACTTATTCAGCTAGACAGTGCCCTTTTTTCAAATAAGCTTCAGTGTATTATGAAAGATTCTACCCCTCCTTAATATCAGAAATTTACACAGAGACAAATGTTACAGGGTAGAATTAAAACAATCAGGTTCGAACGGTCATTTGTACCTGCTGCTATGAATATATTTAACAGTTAAATAGAACTTATTTTAGAACTTTAGCTGCTTGGATACATCTTTGTGGTCAAAGGTGTTTCTGTAATTTTTTTTTGTGGAAGTTTCATGTTTTTCGTATACTTCGTGCGCAGGCGTTACTCTAGTGGTACTGTGTTTAGTGTTGTTGGGTGGATATGTGTATATATGTTTGCACCACTGACAAACTGTATTTCCAATGTAGATAATAAAGTTGACTCACAGTGGTGGTGACAGGAGCCAGACGTTTAAAAGGTTTTTCAAATACATGCATGGTGGTGTACAGAACCCCAAGAAAACAATCATATCTTTACTAACAAAATTTAGACAGTAAATAAAACGGTTATACTTGTGCTGTGGACCTCTGGTTGCTATCACCACCACTGTAAATAAATTTGTCAAAATGTTTCTCTAGAATGGAGCATTTCAAATTAAACCACAATTGCTAAGATGAAAATCGATTCAACATTTCGATAAATTCTCCTTTGAGACAACTCTTTACTTATAACCGTTCATTATGTCCAGTGTTGTATGCAGGATATTATGTAAATGGTTGGGTTTTCATTGAAACATTTCGCAAATGATATGCGCATTTATGAAATTTCAGCTGAAAAAAAGCAAATTAAGTTGTGTTTCCATTCACTACAGTTATGTGAAGAAACTTTAGATGTAGGTTACCACGATTAGGGGCTGCATGAGCAAGATAGAGAGATTTAACTCTGTTTTTGCTTCAAGTAGAATTATCTTTACAGCCATTTGCTATATTTTCATGGCCGTATTATTAGCAGCTCAGGATGAGTAATGGCCCATTACTCATCCTGAAATCTAGAATCTTCCCAATAATAAACATTAGTTTGTAATGACATCATATATACATATATATTGTTATCTGAATTCGGCACTACATTTGCACATACATTCTATGTAGTAGTGTGAATATGAATCAATGTCTAAAAAAGAACTACATCAATCTATTCAAAGAACAGACAATGCATCATACGCCTAATTACTGCAGGAGTGCTTAGAACACAGAATGAGCTGAACAGTCAGTGTGGCTGTAAGCAGCAGCAGCTCAGTTTATGCTAATTACATAACAGCTCAGTCAGCAATCAGCAAAATCAAGTCGTCTGATAATCTTTTCTTTTCTGTTGTTTGCCACATCTGTTATTACTGTTAACAAGAAAGCAAAGGAAACATTTCAATGTTGTGAAGAACATATCTGATGTACAATAACACATTTGCCATGTGACGCAAGTCTCAGGTAGTTTGACTCACTTCTCTGCCAGAGCTCTGCCTTCCTCCTCCACATCAAATTTAGCCACCCACAGCCTCCTGAGCACACTGAGTCCACTGGGCTCAGCGCTGTCTGTAGGCAAAGCCAGCTCCAGCTCCAGCAGACCCTGCAGACAGCAAACACATACATACACACGGGTCATATTGAGTCACAGCACACTGAGCTCTGCTGGAAGCACAGACAAAATAAAACTTCTAACCAAGAGACATTCACATTGTTTAAGGAAAAGAAGCACTGGAGAGTGAGAGAGCACAGGAGATAATAACAGAGGGAGAGATTTAAGTACATGGCTGTCATAATCAGGAAATTTAGCTGATGATTGTCATATAAATAATTGTGGCGTCTATTAAGTTACAAGCCTAAAGGGGTCAAAACGGCTGATTAATTTGCTTAGTAGGTAACACTCGTTGTAATTTCCAATCAACAGTGACACACTCACACAAACTTCTACAGTTACACAGAATTATGTTTCACGTTAAACAAAGCTACATGTTCCTGTAGCTGACTGACCCTGAGGGCAGCATCTCTGACGGAGAAACAGGGAGAAAGCAGAGCATCCAGCAAAACATCGATCTCGGGCTGCTCAGCCAGCGCACAGCCCTCCTGCCCACCTGCGCTTGTACACAGGGTGGTCAGACAGCTCGACGCCAACACCTACAACACAAACAGTTGCAAGTCTATGTGACAAATAATATATAAAAAAAAATCAACCACACATTTGTCCAGACTTTATGCTTGACTATCAGTGAGTTTGGAAGTACTACAGCCCCTAAATTCCAGGGCTGGGTAGTAACGGAATACATGTAACAGTGTAACATAATCAGGATACCAAAAAAGCTCAAATTAAAACAGGCTGTTTTTAGCTATGTTTACACAGCAGGTAAAATTGGCCTAAATCCGATTTATTTCTTCATATGTGACACAGATGTGTCATCTGTGTGGCAGTGTGAACAGCAAAAAACGCACTGAATCTGACATTTTCAATGCTGATTTGAGACGCCTTCATATGTGGTACTGAAATCTGATACGTATCTGATCTGCGGCAATGTGACTCAGTCTGAACAGCCAGATCAGAATTCATGCGACTTTTATGTCAATCCAACTCGACATTCATCATAGTTTCGCGCTGCTGTGACCTCATAAACGTTTGGGGTGATATTTCTGTACAAAAATTAGAAGAGACTTATTCAAAACCCTCCACGTTTGAAGAGACATCGAAAGAAATGGCCGAACTTGGCCGTAGGAGAACGAGGCTGCAGCGTCAAAAAACAGTTAGAAGCAAACTTTAAAGATTGAGCTGATCTGTTCAGACTAATGTCGCAGACACGTCACATTTAAAAGATAATGTGAGCAATCAAACAAAAAAATGGATTTGGTGAGAAAATCAGATTTGGGCCACTTTTACCTGCTGCGTGAACACAGCCTTTGTTATTGTGCTTTTAAGAAGCAAGAAACCCAGGGAGAAACTTCAAAATCAGTTGGTAGAGTTAAACTGTGCAATAATATCAGAATGAATTTAGCACAGGGTGTTTTTTAGCTTAGTTTCCATATATAGAATGTACGGACTGGGGCGTGAATGGTATGCTTTGAAACTTTAAAAATGTTTACATGCACCTAGAGATGAAACGGTTACCGGTTTAACGGTAAACCGCGGTAAAATTAATGACAGTTAGTAGTACCGTTTGAACTTTAAAGTATCGTTAAAACCGCGGTCGATTACCGCGGTGTGAAAAACTCGGAGATTCAGAGATATTTCAGCCTTCTAAGCAGACCAAGTCTGACGTTTGGTCATGTTTTGGGTTTTATAAGAATGCAGAAGGAAAGTTAATTGAAGATGACCACCCTGTCTGCAGCCTAAAGAAAACAGCGGCGAAAGGGGGCAACACATCAAACCCTATGAGTCATCTTCGCGACCACCACCCGCTACTTGCAAGAATGCAAGGTTAACTTTAACGAAAAAGTCTGTGGACTTCGAAATAGAAGAAATGTCATGGTTTGTGTGGTTTAACTTATGCTTATGGTTCGTTAATAATATAAAATGAAGCTTTTAGCGTCAAAAAAAAAAAAAAAACAATCGGTGAATCGAAACTAAAGCTTTTAACACGTATTTCTGTGGAGCAGTGTCTCCAAAATGAGCTCTGGAACGAGACGCTGCAAAAGTTCAATCTGCACAGCTCGTCTCGCATGTTAATTTTAAGTTATGTTTTAGTTTTAAATTGCTTTTAGAGAAGCAGCTCCACAGGTGAACTCACACTGAGTGAGTTTTACACTGTCTGCAGCTCACAGCATGGTCACGCAATTCCTCTGTGATTTTGTTTTTCCTGGTGCACTGTGTTGATTAGGGGTGCAGCGCCACAACGGCACAATATGCTGCAATTGCAGTTAGGAAAGAAATCCTCCGAGTGCAGCACTTCTTAGAAGTAGTAATTTTCCATTAAGACGCACCTCAGAGTTGGTCGCGATTTAATTCTCTATGCAGGGAAATCCCTAGTTATTGTAATTAATAATAATAATAATAATAATAACAGTAATAATAATACATTTGCTATTCTTTTGTTTACAGAGTATTACAAGTATTGTAAGTAATACAAAAGTAATACTAAAAATGTATTGACCTTATTTTTTAATGTTTATGCAAACAAAAAGTGCATATTGCTGCCAATTCTATTTGTGTTAATATAAAAGTTGGTGAAACGAGTTTCAGTTTGTGTATCAGTATTTATTATTTTTTAAATTTATTTACTTTTCAACACATTTGAACAATATCGCGATAAAACCGATAATCGTGATAATTTTGGTCATGATAATCGTGATATGAAATTTTAATATCGTTTCATCTCTAGCTACACCAAACTCTTTGTATCATGTGTCTTCCATGATTCGGGCCCTTTAAATAAAAGTAGAAACAGCAAGATGTCCAACATATTTCCTGCTCCATTCCTTAATCTCCGTAACAGAAATGCAAGTGGACCTGTAACGTTTTTATCACCTGCAGGCGGGGTGTGGAGGTACCGATCACTTTGGTCAGCAACAACAGCATGTTCACACGGGGGAGAAGCTCTGGACCGTTCTGACAAACGAGCCAAAAAGTCAAAATTAGACAATATTCAGCATCAACAGACTACAAATATCTTCCTGGCTCTGCTGGTGTGTACCTCATCTATGAACGTGTCAGAAGCGTCGTTTTGGGAACGAAGCTGAGCGTGCGTGTGGATTGTCTGCAGGGCTCGGGTCAGCATGAGCTCTGCCTCCTCGGACGCTCCGCTGTTCTGACTAAGGACGGCCTGCAGCAGCGGGAAACAGAAGGAGAACGCCGGTGCAGACAGCGGACGCACATCTGCCAGCAGAACATACAGTAAACAAACACCTGGTAAACAAAACTCACATTCTGGAGTTTGGGACTGGTCGGATTGTTTCATTATTATCATTGTGATTAAACCAGTCCTTACTGCACCACCTAAAGCTGCTTACTGGCACCAAGAAAAAAGCCCTTACAATACCAGCCCTTGCCTCATTTCAATGGCTGTGAAGAGGAGGAGGGACGCAGGAGGCAGGGCGAACAGTGGCAGCAAGCATTTTAATTTTCTAAGACCACCACTTTTCAGTGACATCTAATCAGACTTTGTGGTGCTCTTGAGTCTCTTTGTGTGCTGCTGCTCTTGCTGGCTGACTTCAATCTCCACTCCTTTTAAGGTGCCAAAGCCAAATCAGTGTCAGCTGGCTCAAGCACGAGGACCTGAGCAGAGAGGGCTTATTGCTCTGCCTCCTGTGACTCCCCCCACTTTGCAGCATGGACACCAGGATCAAACAGCAGCTGCTGTTGGTGCATGTGGCTCATGCAATGTCCTCACACCACGTCTGGTAGGTGCTCACAGCTCAGGCACTGTCTTCACAACACCTTTTGCGGCTCTCGTTTGTGCTCACAGCTTGGGCACTATCCTCAAGCCACCTCTTGCGGCTTGTGCTCGGGGCTTGTGTGCCTCGTACAACTGCTTTTATTTGCTTTTAAAGCTCTTACTGGATCGGTTTTTCTTATGTTGTTCATTTGCTTGCATCTTCAACTACTCAAAGATCCTTGAGATCTTCAGAATTTGTTGTCCGTCCCAAGAACATTGTTGAAATGTCACGCAAACCGCATTTATAGTTTGTGCCCCAAGATTGTTGAACAGTTTACCATTATCTATTAGGCAAGCTTCTTCCATCTCTGTCTTCATGACTTTTTTAAACTTGCTTTTGAACAGGGTTGAGAGATAAGGCTACTGTCATCATCTTAGTGTGTTGTGCTCTTTATGTATTGCTGTCAAGGTTTGAATTTATTTATTTTCAAATTTAATTTTTGTCTTTTTTCCCCCCAATGTACAACACTTTCGTCAATGCAAGATGCTATAAAAGTGCTTTATAAATAAATCTTTCTTACTTACTTACTTGGCTAAGCAATACTTCAAAATATTAAACCAAGTGGGCTTGTGATGGAATTTAACTTAATCCATGAGATGGCTGGGGGTGTCAAGGAGCAACTGGGACCCAAATTTTCTTCTTTAAACTTACAATATGTGACAAAACACAGACAAGAATGCTTACTGCCAAGACAAATAGTGCAAAATAATGTGTTTAGGTGCCTAACACTTTTGCACGGTACTGTTTGTCTGACAGACATAAGAAGCAGCGAGCTGAGTCATATGGATGCCGCAAGAACAAAGAAAAGGCTGTAGATGTGTCTCAAAGTGTAGGTTGCAGACAAAGTAGGAGAGTGTGCATTGTTCACAGTGGTGTCGATCGGAACCAGACGTCTAAAAGTGTTTTAACGCCTTTAAAGTTCCATCACAGAAAGTTATTTTAATGAAATGGTTAAAAATATCCCGCCTGATGCCTGAGACATTGTTTTATGACAGTTTTGAGATTATATTTTGATTATATTATATTGAGATTATATTTTGGTTATATTTGGGTATATTTTAGGAATACTTTCAATGTGGATTTACCATTATTTTACAATTACCAACATTACATATAAAGCTTATAAAGGTTATCCGGTCATTTTGCGTAGTAAATAAGACGGCTGTAAACTAGTCTGAGTTGGTACATTTTCCTAGAATGGTGTATTTCATATCAAATCACTTAGAAGGACTCAGTTTACATCTCACCCACAGAAGAATGCAGAGCAAACACGCTGTGTGTATATATGTGTGAAGACTCACCAGGCTTGCTCTCTTTCTGTGGAACAGTGTATGTGTGCAGCAGGTGGACAGTGCGATGTGTGGCCGTGTTCAGATCCTCCTGAGCCCATGCTGGGTCCAGATCACACTCTGGCTTCAGCAGACGCAGAGTCACATGACCCACCAACAGAGCTAGAGAGACACAGGTACAGTAAGAGCAGCCACTACATGAGCAGTGTACATGATTAACCAATTAACCAACTGACAAACAAACATTTAAAACTATTTGTTAAACATGAGAATGTAATTTTATTTCATTTCCAATAAACAACAGCTCATATATAAACAGGTGAGTTTATCGTTCAAGCTGATGAATGTTTTTGAATTATATTCATTAGGCTGCAATAGGCCGTTCTGTTAAAATAGGCCTTCTAAAAAAAAAAGTGCACAGCTAAGAACAGCAGTGTTCGGGGCCACTTTTTGAGAAGACGATACAAGAAAGCAAACATCCACAAGCTCAGACAGAGCCATTTTGTCTGTGTTTCCAGAGAGAAAGTGTGATACACAGCAGAGTGCAGAATTCTAGAGAAGGATGTAATGGACAGTGGCAGCTTTCAAGAGCTATGGACAAACGCTGAGTCAAAGCTAGTCATGGCATTTGTGTTGATTTCAACTTGGCCTAGTAATGAGTGCTAAATATTATACTTAAATATTAAACTTGTAAATTTATACAATCAATTAAAAAGCTACATCGCTACATGAAACCAAAAAATAGCCACTGTAACCATGTAAAATGACCATTTATATTCCAGCACAGTTAAGAATGAATACATTTTAGTCTGTGCTCCTAGAGGTTCCAAAATGTATAAACAGTGATTAAACACAGCTTTACTCTTGAGGAACCTACACTTTTCCAGCTCACAACGCATGTGAACCAAGCAATCAGGGGTAAAAACTGCTCTGTCTATGAGCACTGGACTAGGAAAGACAGACACAGACAAAGGCTGTAGATCTAAGACCTTGAAATGCCATAGTAATGTAAACATAGTGTAAGTTTAACCTCTGAAACTAACCGCTAAACTTGTACCACGTGTCCAACTAGAAAGAAATGCTGAGGTAAAGTGTAATGTGAAGTCATACCCAGGTTGTGCAGCTCTTTGGGCAGTAGGCAGGTGCCAGTGTGGATGAAGGCCTTCTGGACGAGGGGAGCGGCTAGAGGGGAATGCAGCAGGGGCAGGAGAGCCTGCAGAACTCCAGGTAGCTGCCACGAGATCTGAGGAGGATGACGAGCGATAGTGGCCTCCAACAGGCCCACCGCACACTGCAGCTCCATATCCAACTGAGAGAGGGAGAAGCAGAAAGGGGGGAGAGTCAGGAACACACATGAATTGTTACAGCTTCAGAATGTAATACCAACTTTAGAATTTGTGAAATGCTCTTTATAAAATACATATATTACATGTTATATACATATACATACTACTGTAGGCTGAATAGTTGAATGTATTTAAAAGTGGTGTTTTTTTTCAGACATCACAAAAACAATTCCAAACGGCCTCTTTCTGCAACTTAAATTCCCATATCTGGACTGAACGTACTAGGAACGGTACATTTTGTAACTTGGAACTTTGCAAATGTTACGCACTACATACACCATCACATTCCAAAAAAGTGAGAGAAATCTGTTCTTTTCATGATATGGGATGTACTGAAATTTAGAGTACTGAGCTTTTTACTATGTTGCAGTACTGAAAAAGTATTTACTGACTACTTTCAACACTTGACACAACACTGGTAGTACCACAGTGCTCAAGACTGCAGTACCACAGTAAAAAACAACAAACAAAAAAAAGTATTAGACCACAGATATTTTGATGTTTGTTCTGCATTTTTTTCAATGCTGTATCTTTAATTTATTTATTTTTCAATTTTTTTTTTCTACTTATTTATTTCTAAATAAAAACCTTTATTCCAAATTGTCAAAACACAAAGAGTTACTGAAACACAAGGAGTTTTAGTCCTTAGGTGGAGCCTTATTTTAGCCACACCCCCACAGTTTAGAGCAGAAAGTGAGATTGCATCCCTCTCCCTCACGGCCACATGGTGAGCAGTTAGTTACCAGTGTTTCTAAGTAAATGTGCCCCAAAGTCTGAAAATCAGTGTGTAACATTAAGAATCTATTGAAACATCTATTTTTTGTAATTAAAACAACTTTTATATGTTCTAGTAAAAATACTGTGATTTTATGTGTTATACTTTTATAATGTTATGTGTCTGCTAGTCATTGCTAGCATTTTTGAGTTGTGCTACTAAAAGACTAAACTACTACTACTAAAACAGTCACTACCAAAACATTTGGTAAAGTTTCAGAAGTGATATGTTTTAATACTGACAAAACAATGTTTCATCACTTGATTTAATAAAATAAACCTAATTAAAATCTAAAGCAAAAGAACTACAGCCTAAAGTCCAAGTCAGTTAAAAGTCCCAAATGTGTTCAACTCTGACTTCAACTCTGAACCAATTTGGCAGGATGAGCCATACATCAGATCATAAGGGTGAACCCACTTTGTGCATGTCTACTGCTCATCCAAGTCAAATTAGCATGTGCAATCTGATTAGGTTTGATTAGATCTGATTACACTTCAATACAAGTACAATACAGTACATACTTTGAAGAGCTGAAAGTATTTAAATGTTTACTTTGTTGTAGCACTGAAAAACACAACTTTCAATTCATTGCACAACATCTCTTCTGACTATGTAGGTGTAGTGGTTGAACCAAAGATCAGCCCAACCAGTTCTCACCCCTTGAAGTCTCTTCCGGATGGCGGACTCCTTCTCCAGCTGGTTCTGCATCATCTCCTTCTGTTTGCTGGTCAGCTGCACCTCATCTTTAATTCCTTTCTTCTTCTTGATCTCCTAAAGCACAGACACAGACAAAAGGAAGTCAAGTGCACAAACTGGAACTCTCCTTGCTATAGAAACACGAGGAAGCTTAGCTCATACTCTAAATCCAAGCTCAATTCTATCACACAGATTCCTCTCACCTCCTGTAGCTCAAGCTCAATGATCTGTTCTTTGAAGGAATAGGCTTTGTTCTCTCTCTTCATGTTGCCTTTCTTAGTGCTCTCCTGCTGCGCGCTGGACATGGAGGATCAGGGGAGAAGCAGAATGAATCTACACAGACTGTTCTGTAAATAATTTTTGTTTCTCAATTGGCCCACCAGGCTCCATTGTCAGCTCTAGGACTCATCTCTCACCTCATTATGATGCTCTTGTCGAACAACTCTCCCTCTGGCGTGTGCATGATGGCATACTCATGGCGCGTCACCTGCTTCAGCGCCGGGTTGGACAGCCACAGGGTCACATGGTCCATCACACGTGGGAGCAGCTTCCTGGGAGACAGAACTGACAGCTCGCCAACAGCATTTCTCACAGCCTAGAGAGAGAGAGAGACAGAGAGAGGCCATCACATACTGTCAATTACAGACCAAAGTCAAAGTGCTTCTTACTTAAAAGACAAGCACACTCAATGCCCTACGATTCATGTCATCATTCTGACAGACTGCAACACACTGTAGGAAGCACTAGGGGCATTATTTGCTACACTATAAAAGAAGAAACCACTTGTCACACAGAACAAAGAATGACCGCTAGGGATGTTCCAGTATGGGAATGGTGGGCCAACGCCAATTTGTTGATGCATAAACATTTACTAGTGTGCATCTCTATTGATAACAGCACCTTAACATTTTAATGCTTCTACAGCAGCCTACATTGTGGGACAAGCATGCATTTGACTCACTGATGCTGATAAGACTGACTTCATAGGTACCAAAACCACATGGCAGTACCAGTCATTTGGGTAGGCCCATAACTGGGCAACAGTTTCATCGCAAAGTGAAGACTTCATTTAAGGCTTCATAGGCTCAGCTGTGTTGTTTGTTGGGGAGATAAAAAGACTGCATGAGTCAGACCTGGTTGTCAGCATTTGCCTCCAGCAGCAGAGGGAGGATTGACTCCATGTGGGTGTCAATAAACTCTGCAGCGTCTATCTTCATGCTGGACAAAAGGAATGGCCACAACTGTGACTTGGCAGCCACTATGGCAAAGAGAAGGAAAGAAAGAAAGGAAGAAAGACATTTGAGTATCCCAAGAACAAAGCAGATAGTACAGACTAATGAACAAAGTGAGAAGCATTTAATTAAGATGACAGGAATTTTGTAGTTATGCTAACAAAATATTAATACTGCACAGAATGCAACAGCCTTACTGGGGGATCACTATTCATCAGCAACTAAAAGTCAAACACATGACATGCAACAAAAATTGTTATCAGACCTATAGAAGGATGATGGGTGACGATAATGATATCTAGAGCCAGTTTCTCTGCTTCTGCAGGGTCGTTCCACTGGCCTGCCACAGAGCAGATCACGCTTAGGGCTTCCAGAAAGTTCCGTGGAGGCACGTACGACCGGCCAAGATCGGTCAGCTCTCCCGTCTCTGTTAGAAGAGCCTCTGGGGGCAAAACCTGAAGGAGTGGAGGAGAGAGATTAAGCCATAATGATGAAGCGGAGTTTATTAGGAGAAATTCTATGATCAAATCCCGTTTCCCTCTGTGGAAAAAAGCTACCTTATGTTTGTTGATGACGACGCGCAGTTCTCCCAGAAGGCCGTGGGCCAGGCTAGAGCCGCCCAGCGAGGACAGGAGCTTCTTTACACTCTGCTGAGCGCGCTTTCGCACTCTCCACGCCCGGCACAGGAGCACAGCCACAGTGGCCCGATGGTACATCCTACAGAGACAGGCAGAGGAAGAAAGATAGAAGAGTCATGATTCTAAAGGCTGTTCTATAAAGTTGAAAGGTGTGCAATCAACTCATCATTGTATCACGACACATTGTTCTGAAGAAGCCGATTCAGTTGCAGTGATTTTGCAATGTTAGAATCAATAACAGAATTCAATAAAGTATATGCAAGGGTTGGGTAGCAAGATAAGTAGCTCAAAATGAAGACAGTAGTAGTGGGTGGTTTCGTTACTGGTATACTGGTTGAAATTCTTCCTCAGGTGAGTTTTGTCATAACCGTATGCCACAAATATACAGTGTGATGTACAGAACACTGCAAACCTAGTTCTTAGAGGCTGTGTCATGCACGTTTCAGTCATGTTTAAAATGAAAATGCAGAAAAATGCCTATTTAAGTTTATTCCCTAAAAGGATAAGTTAACTTATGTTCACTTTGAAAATCAACAAAACATGTAAAGTGACTGGGGGTGTTCTGGGGGTGTTCAAACTTTGAAAGCCTTAGTCTAACATGGACCGACTGCTTATGCTTCTTCTCGCAATAAAAATATTTCAGATTCACTTTTAAATTGTTTTTATTAAAGATAATGGAACATAATAATAAACCACTCATAAACTACAGAAATAGATTTACACACACACACACACACAGAAACCACCACCAGAAGTCTGAATTACACCATGATACATATTTTTGTCCATGCTGCCCACTAGTAGATGACAGTATTGCAAATTTATGACAGGGTCAAATTACTGTTCTTTCAAATAAACACATTAAATCCATACACATTCCTACTGAGTGGGTAGCACAACAGGCTAAACAAAACAGATTAGATTTTGTCTTTGTCACTCCAACACCGGTCACTTGACTTTGCTCTCTCAGACATAAGTTTGTATTGTCTACATTCATGTCAACATTACATTACACTCACTAACAATGATTTATTCTGTAGCCTGCTCGCTAAGCTAACACTAGGTTAGCTAGTAGGCTACAGATCCAAACACCATGGAACAGGTTTCATTTTGACTTTCTGTTCCTCCAACACCAGTCGCATAACTTCACTTCCTCAGATTTGACTCAAAATAAAATACACAGGCTACTTTCAATGATAATAATCCAACATTCTGTGTAATTCTGTATATTCAGTCAGCTTTTCTAGATCATACTAAAATAACCAAATACAATGTCAAGAATGTCAGATTTCACGATGCACTGATTTGTTTCCTAAATCATAATTTAGTTGAGCTGTTGTCAGATTGGAGATTTACACGGCTAATGCTGCATGTATTTGTACATAAAAGTGCAGAACTCACTGGGACTTGCTGTTGTTGAGTCGGTGGGGGTGGTCCAGGAACAATCTCTCACACAGCTGCAGTACTGCACACAGCGCTGAGTGAACAGGACACAGGAGACAGTTTGAACGTGGTAACTCTTCATTCACAAATGATCAGTGTGTCCAAACGTGAGAGAAACCCACCTTCCTCACTGGCCTGCGAGAGAAACTTCTCTGTGGTAAATAGAGGTTTCTTCTCATCCAGTATCAGATTCCAGAAAGAGGTCAGTTTAGCTTCTACAATCAGAACAGACCCAATTAGTAACCAAAAACAAATCAAAGAACCAAAATCACCAAGTAACACAGAGCAACAAAAAGCTCGGACAGTTAACTGTATTATTCAGTGCTGTAACTGCATCATGCTCAACTGGATTATGTCATTCAGATCACTTCCAATTCTAAATCAGAATGGCACTCGTTTCAGTATCTCAGGAGACGCACATCTCTGTGTTGTCCTCAGAGGCCGCATTTCATTACACCAGCCATGACTGGCTGGCAACCGTGACGTGCGTCACTCTCAGAAGCAAGCTACTCTCTGACAGGGTGAACGCGGCAAACAGGCTAGATGAACTGTTTCCAGAGCGAGCTAACCACACAGTCACCGAACTCTGCCTCCTCAGTCATCACTTCAGTTGTCCACTTGTAGAAGTACTGGCTAGCCTCCAAACAGTAGCCTCTACCAGCTAGCTACCACACTATACTGTGCTATGACAGAAACATGTTAGTGGACCCTTCCCTCACCATGGAGAAGCGCGATGCCCCAGCCAAGACATGCGTCTGTGGGACTAAGATCATGAGCATGGACATCCACCCAGCCTGCGCCTCGTGTCTAGGGCTGCATGGCATCTCACCTCCACCCCACCGAGAGATCAATGACGACCCTAGCAGGCACCATCCCACCCACCAGAGCTGACTGTCTTGTCCTCTATGACCAAAAAAAGTTACAAGGCTGTGACCACGTCTGTAAGGCCCCTGAAGCAAATGCCCCCCATCAAAGGCACCCTGGCAGACCACTGCAGCAGACTGTGACCCAGGGACAGAACAAAGCCCCAGAGCCCGGAGGTGCTTGGGGCAAGAATCCCTTCACCCCCACTGTGACGCAGGGAGGTCACTCCACCCCTCCCACCACTTACGGGAAAAAAAAACAAAAAGAGATGCGCTACCTAGCCTCAGATGGGAGAGGAAGGGCCAGCCAGACAACAGTCTCTACCTGTTTAGAGGGTCCATTCCTGAGCCTGTTCCAAAGGGCATGTTCACTGCCCTGCAAATGCTGTGCAGAGGCCACATCGGCGACCACAGCCCACAACCGCACAAAAAGAAGGAGAGACCAAAAAAGCCTGTTAGAGCCACAGTTGAGTCTCATAAGCACACATTAGTGCCCCCCTTAAATAAAAAAGGCCCATGGTGCGCATCCAGGCCAAGTGCCAAGGGCACAGCTAACCCAATCAAAAAACTCTTCATTGAACAAAAAAGCTCTTATAAAAGAGGCACACAGCTTATGTGCCCACTCACTTGTACTCCCAAATAATGACACAGCAAGGAGCTCAAGCTCCATCTGGTACGACGGCCATAAGTGCTGCACACTTAGTGCATCCAGGGATCCCATTCAGGCCACTGGAGGACGCACTGACACAGATGAGTCACCCATTAGGTCCTCTTACCGAGAGGATCCAATGTTGGCAAACACACACCACTTCAAAGTGGGTTTTAAAGACCATAACCAGTGGTTATCAGCTCAAGTTTGCTGTCGTTCTGCCACATTTAAATGGGATAGTGCAGTCACAGGCTCAGGGGGAGTCCGCTTATGTTTCACAGGAGGAGATAATCTCGCTGCTAAACAAAGGAGCGATAAGAACAGTACCTCTAAACAAGAGTCAATGTGGCTTTTATTCAAGGTATTTTCTAGTTCCCAAAAAAGAGGGGGGGCTACGCCCAACACTAGATCTGCGCACTCCAAACAGACACATCAGTACAAGTTCATGATGTTAACACACACAGCTCTGATATGTTTTGTGCATCCAAGCGATTGTTTCACACCAATCGACCTGAAAGACACATTTTCACATCCTGATCTATCCTCCTCACAGAAAGTTTCAGATTCACATTTCAAGGCGTGGCATATGACTGTTTGGTTCTCTCATTCGGCCTCTCGCTAAGTCCGAGGGTATTTGTGTTTTGAGCCTGGACCAGAAAATCTCTTTCATAAGGCTGGTCCTAGACTCAGTTTTATTCAGAGCCTGCTTATCGACAAAAAGAATACAAGCTCTACAAAGCTGCCTCTCTCTTTTCCACAGTTCGCCTCAGACTCCTGGGTCTAATCACATCAAAGCCGACGGTTGTTCCGCTGGACCGTTTATGTGAGAGATTTCCAACGGTGGGTTACCTCCCTCAAAATGAATCTGTTATGTCATGGCTTCAGTGACCTGCAAGGCTACTCTGTGTCCCCAGAAATGCTCCACTTTTCTGAGGACAGGGGTGCCAATGGGCGCAGTCGTAACCAGAAAACTAATCACTACGGAAGCCTCCCTAGTGGGCTGGGGTGCCACTCACAAAGGCATAAAGATCAATGGGGTTTGGGACCGACACATGCAGTCCTTGCACATAAACTGCTTATAACTCCTCGCAGTGTCACTTGCATTTTTTTCCCCCTTCCTGAGGGTACACCACGTTTTAGTCGAGATGGACAACACCACTGTGGTGGCGTATATAAGCTATTACATTTCCATCGTTTCCACACATTGGCACACAGACATGCGTGGAACAGCTCTCGCCTTTTGTCATTAAGAGCCACTCATGTACTTGGTGCTTTTAATCTGGGTGCAGATTTACTGTCCAGTGGCAGTTCATGTTATAGAGACTGGAAACTCCACAACAGCGTCACGACTCGGCTGTGGACATTTGTCAGCCGAGCAGAGATCTATTTGCATCCAAGGAAAAAGCCCTCGTTACTACTCTCTGCATGACCAGGATGCCCCAATAGGGGTCGACACACAAGCACATGAGTGGCTGCAGACCCTCCTGTATGCTTTTCCCCCGTTGGATCTGATAACTCTAACTCTAGCCAGGGTGCGAGAGAAAAGGCTTTCGTTGATCCTGATAGCCCTTCACAGGCCACACTGGTTAGCAGAAATAACTCTATGCGGTGAGATTTTTCATCCTCATCCAGAGTGCCTGGCACTTTGGGCTTGGCCCGTGAGACATTAAACCTGACTTCCGCAGGGCTCCCCCAAAACGTGATCACAACCATTCAAAACGCCAGAGAACGGTCTACGAGAACCTTTTATGACGGTAAATGGCGCATGTTCGAAGTGTGAGGTGTCAGGTGCATCGGCATTTTAATGCTCCATCCCCACAATCCTGTCATTCTTGCAAAAGCAACTAGATAAGGACAGAACCTTCTCTACGATTGAAGTACACCTAGCTGCTACTTCAGCCAGCCACGAGGGTTTTGGGGATGCGACAGCGAGTCTTATTTGTTGGTTCATGAAGGGGGCACGTCGCCTCCGTCCTACGTCTAAACCCAGTTTCTGGAAAATGAGATGGGAACCTGGACAAAAAATGATTTGACTGAATAAACATGGTATCTTTAGAATTCCTCACCAGGCAGCGAGTCCAGCATGGAGAGACGACACAGCAGCACTGAGGCTGCCACACCCTCAGTGAGCAGGGTGTGCTGGGAGCTCTGAGCAGCAGCTTTCTCCACCGTCTGAATGAGGAGAGGAACAAAATCCAGAGCCTGACTGAGGGTGTCACCTGAAGAGGAAGAGACATGAAGACATGTAAATAACTGTCACAAAGAAAGAAAGAAAGAAAGAAAGAAAGTACTACCATAACAATCTAGAACTACCAGAGGAAGCAAACTGAAACAAGTCACAAAAACATGAAACCTGAAATGTTAAAACCTATAGGTACTCAGCCTTCGAACCTTAACCTTTAAGTTTTGCCCTTTCCCTTTAAATGAAACGACTTCTGTAAAAAGAACTTTTTCAAAGTCAGGATCATTTTACTAATCCTGATCACATACATTTACACCTTTTTTCCCCTCATCTTTTCCTAAACAATGTCAGAAAACTGCCCTGAAAATGCGTAAAAACAAACACACAATGCGCTGACCTTTGAAGGCTCCCAACATGGCCTGCAGGTAAGCATGTCGCACAGGTGAAGTGGAGGTCTTTAGTGTGAAGGCTTTTTTAAACCAGTCTCTCAGAGCTGCAGGCACTTCTGTGTTCAGACGTCCCGTCCACTGAGACAACACCGACACAGCATGCACCAGAGTTCCCTCATGGACTAAAACACACACAAACAAAAATAGCTGAACTCAGCATGAAATACAAATTAATAAGATTTCTTAGAAACTACGGCCTGACTGTTGGTTGGTCAATGAAATCGCCCAATGTTGAGGTTATCAGTACTTATCAGTATTGACAAAAATCCCACTGATAAAGCACTGACATTGCTTTGAAGCTGCATATATTGTAATGACACCTCTAACATGCTAAGTGTCAAAATTTTAACTTTACAAATAGTTTGAGCAGCGGCGATAAACAGTGAAAATCATTATGTGGTTTCTATAAAGAACATTAGATAAGAGACTCACTGTTCATGCCGAATATTAATAAAATTTACAAAACCTGAGGACTTCTCCATTACCGGTTTGATACTATTTGAAAATGACATCTTGCTTGATACACAGAATACAGAAAAAACAACACCAGGAAAAAAATCTGTAGCTATAGTTTTTAAAATGTTTACAAAAGAATGCCAAAATTCCCAATGATGCGTTGGATGACCAACCATTCTGTGAGGTTATGGCACATACTGTAGTTATTTTATTGTTGTGGTTTCTATTTATTTCAAGTCAACTGAGTTTTTTTATTGTCAGCTTTTCCAGTTTTCAGCCCAGTGTGTTCTGATGTTTGGTACTGCCTAAGAATTGTCATTCTGATGCATCACTACTAAAAACTATTACTGGCTACTGAAGCCAAACAGATGAAAAGTTCCTCACCTTCCTGCTGCAGGAATGGAATAAACAGCACTGCCACACTGGAGCTGAGCGACTGGCTGGAGGAGCCAGAGACTGCATGATGACTGCAGCTCCTGATGCCTGGATCGAGACATAAACATATGAAACACGCAGGTCAGGGAAGCTGGTAAATGAAAAGTCATGAGTAGAGAAAAGACAAAGTGAGGCAAGCTTACCTGAAAGCACATTCATTTTTTGGGCAACTACAGTGAGTTTTCCCTCAGAACCTGCAAGCAGAGAAAGGAATCAACACATACAGCCCACAAAAGAGCAAAAGATACAGCACACAAAAGAAGACAAACTCACTAACCTCCGAGAATGCCGAAGAGGTGCGTGATGAGGTCCTGGACAGCATTAGGGTCACTGCACTGCTGAGACAAGTTCTGCACTGCCTGCACAGCCTGCTCCATCAGCTCTGTATTACTCGCCTTCAGCTGACCTGAAAAACACATTAACAAGCAGTTAGCAATATAAACCCAATCATCTTGAGTTACTAAATCAGTACTGAGGGGGACTTACTGGCAAGGCCTTTCCCGATGTCCTTAGCATACTGGCTGAGATCGAGAGTGAGGGACGCCAGCATGGAGGAGATGGCTAATGAAAGGATGAAGAGGAAAAAGACCAAAAAATTACAGAAAAGGGGCTTTAATTTCTTCAGATCTTAGAATTTGACTCACATGACACAAACTTTAACAGTTCTCATCCTAGGAATTCCTGGCCCATCAAAAGTTTAGAGACATCTAGCTTTTGAAAAGTGTTTCTAATACAAACCAGCATGCTTCACAATGCCTCATCACATGCATTTTATTTTTTGTAAAGTCAACACTATGGCCTGACCGATATGAAAATACTGTGGCCGATACCAATTTTACAGGGCCAAAAATTCTGATAACCATTAAAACTGACTAATGTAAATTTGTATGTTTCTATATTTTAATTATGCACTCCAATAGTTTCAGTTGAGTATTTAACGCTTTACCAACATATGACTGTCAGTTCTAAACTGTCACAGGTCTTGAACAGCAGAAACAGATGACACATAAAAAACAACATAATATTGTAATATTATGTTTGGATATACATTGATAAACTTTTACTTTTCTTATTTTTGATTAATTCTCTTTAAAGAAAAAACAAAAGAAAATAGTTAATCTCTAGCCACAGTTTAGGTTTGGATACATTTAATACATTTTTATTATTTTAACTGTGATGTTTTGTGTCCAAATTCACCAGGTCAGCCTGTACTGCTGCAATAGGGTTAATTAGGGGGTGATCCACCAGTGGCAAAATTCAAAGGGTGCCTAACAAAGACAAATGTTTCCTGCTTTTTTATTTGGAAGAGTTTGAAGTAATGTGTAAAATCTGGTAAAAGTTTCAAAACATATCATTCATTCCCCAAATCCATAAGCTAACACCTTGTCCTAATAGCAAGCGATGTGAGTGAGCGTCAACAACAAAACCCTAACATAATAAATCAAAGAAGCTGTCTACGCCAGCTGCGAGCTGTATAGAGCAATGTGGAATGATATGGTGCGCTGCTTTTGACGGACATACACATCACAACGCTCTCTCATTCCACCTTAAAATGGATAAGGAGAAACTCATGAATCTCTATGCCTGTTCCAGTAAACAATACGAAGCGAAAGTGCAAGAAAGTCAGAGGTGAACAGTGGTGTTTTGTGCGACTGATGTGGATACTTAGGTAGTTATCTCAGTGAAAAAAATAAACGTCGAACTTGGGCCCTTCGACATTTTGCCCTATCGCCAGGAGACTGTGAGACTGAATCTCAGAGATGCAGGAACATAAAGGTTGTAATTATTTGGTCATAAATATGGGCCGATATTTTTCATCCAACCAACACATCGGCCAAGACCTGATCATCAGCACTCCAACATTGTAGATGTTTGAACAACCTCTGTAACAAAATCATTGTTTGGGGGAAAAAAAAACACTACTCTGCTCTTCATATCAAGAAAATAACTACGACGAACACGAAGCTGAATGAGGTGTTGCACACTGAAAGCATTAGTAATTTGCTGTTTTATAATAAAACCTCTACAGGTATCTGTTCTTACGTAACTGAAGATTAATAGTAAGGAATTTAAAAAGAAGGCAAGGCGTCTGCAAAATCTTCACAGGTAATGTACACGTGTATGCATGCGGGTATATCTTACTCTGCATGGAGTTCTCAGGGCTGCGCAGCAGGGCCTTTCTGCAGGGTGGGCAGGAGCTGTTCTTTAAACTCTGAGTGAGAGACATGGCGAAGCACCGATCCGCTTTTATCCTACAAAAAGCAAAGATTTAACCACATGCTCAATAATAAGACACATCTGCAGAGCTCACTGCACACTGAAAACCACAAACAAGCTCCACAGTTTTAAAGTTCTATTTTCCTCACCAGGATGTGCTGCAGAGGCCTGGTCTTGCTCATCAGGACAGTCTTCATGTACAGGTCTAAAAGGGCTGCCTGAGGCAATAAGAGCAACAGATGACTTTGAAAATGAGCTGAAACACATCTGGTATGTTAGCAACAGTGAAGAGAGAGACTAACCTTGTGCTTGTTGATGGTGGCTATGTCTTTCTGGGCAGTGCAGTAATCCATGCACAAGGCCAGCAGAGGCAGTGATGAAGGACTCTGGTCCAGACTCAGCAGAGTGGTCATGTACTTGTCTACTAGACCCGTGTTCTGGACAGAGAGAAAGAGGAAAAACAAAGCAAAATATAAAATCCCACTGAAACAAACATAGCAAATCCCAAAAAACTTCATTCCAACGTGGCTGAAAAACTAATTTACACAGGTGTCTCCTTGTCTCAAATGCACATGAGCCAAAACATGTTTACCTGGACAAACGTACTGGCACAGCCAAAAAGAGTCTGAGCCTGTTTAAGTTAATGTGAATTGGAAATCATAACTCGCGCTCCTTCCACAGAGCTGCAGAAGTATGGTATCAGGAGGGTCTTTATGATTGGTGGGAATGGGAGGTGAACATATCACTGATTAATATTCGGTAGAGGGCAGTATACGAGTTCATCCGGTATCCCTCAGGTTTGAGCTTTGTTATAATCGTTATACTGGTGCGCCACAAATAAGTGCAGATAATGTGACATACAAGAAGTGCAAAACAAGCTAATGCTAGCCTATTTAGTCAGGGATGTTCAGTCACATTTTGAATGAAAATGTAGAACATGGAAGTTTCTCAACCACCTCCCGCTGACTTGTCCATTACATCGGAGGTAGTCCACTTTTTTCCAAGGCAGCAGACTTAAAGGAATGGCCTTCTGGGATTAGCCTTAGTCTAACGTGGACACCAACTGCTACAATTCTTCTCATCCCGCCTGAGAAGCTGTCTGACGAAACAACAAGCTGTGAACTGGCTGGTACTGATAGTGTAAATAAATGTGATACTGGCCAAATTCCAGCAGTGTCTGATGGTCAGAGGCACAAGTGTGTGGGACGCATACATGGGACAAATGACTTAAGAAATTCGACAAAGCTGAAGTTATGTTCTTATTCGAAATTCCAAGTCAAAAGGTGCAGAGAAGCAACCATGAAATACTGATCAGAGTAATAGTTACTGTTTTTCTCACATCTTTCCACAGCTTGTTGAGCCTCTTGGTGACAGACTGGAGAGCATTTCGAGAAGCTCCGCCCACAACCTCAGCAAGCAGCAGACTCTGCACCTCCACCTGTTCAGACATACAGTGGGGAAACACTGTTACACTTATGTAGCTTCTTTAGGTCCTTAACAGCCATGCATATGCTTCTAAATCAGCCGTTAGTGTCACAACTCGAGAACTCTACAGAGCACATTTTCTGCTCCCAAAGCACCACTTACTAGGCAACTAAAATATTCTTTCGTAAAAACAGGTTTTAAAAGGTCCTTTGAGAGCAGGGAAAGCAGTGCAGCTGAACTTTGGAAAACTGTTTTTTGAAGACAGAAACCAGCAATTAAATAGTAAGTAACACATTTCATTAACATTAAGTCTCCAGTTCAGCTCTTGCATATAGCTATACTTTATACTAACAGTAAGCAAGCACTTAAATGTAGTATCATATCATATCGCATAGCAAAGCCTTCAGGATGCCTACACTGGAAACGTTAAGCTAAACACAAACAAACGAAGGACATCTTAGTTAATAGCTTGAGACTTCAACTGGAAAATGAATGGCTGTTACTCATCTTCAAATCCATGTTTTGGCAATAAAATACCTCTATCAGTATAGAAGACATCATAGGCAAACGGTTATTTGCCTGGTTATTACTAATTTAGTTAGCTAACACTAATGAAATGACTAGCTTGGCAAGAAAATGCAGCTAAACGTACTATTTCTATTTGTAATACTGAATCACAGAGTTTGTCTTATAAATTTTTGAAGAACAGTCATTCAGCTCCATTTTATGAAAAAAGCTTCACTTCATCCATTTTTGCTGAGGTGGAATAACAGTATGACATGAAGCTTCAGAAACAGGACATTGTTAAAAAAAAATGCTGCATCGCTGTTGATCACTGGTCGCTGGTGTAGACAACTTCTTTAATTATAACTGGAGAGTTCTGGTTTTGCCATTGATGCTCATGCGCTGTGTTTGCTGTTAGGAGCTGGAGTTACACTATAACACCACAAATAATACAAATTTGAAGCTGGAAACAGAACCGTCTAAGATCAGCACAGAACATAAAACTGATGCTGTACAGAAACTGAACTGAACCGTCCCCATGTTTGTGTGGAAATGCAGAATGAACCGACCAGTTTCTTCCACTGGGGACCCTCTCTCTTCTCTGGGGTGGGAAAGACTACACGCACAATCAGGCAGGTCCATGGCAGGGCACAGCAAGCACCCGACGCCGTGCTCTTCCTGTACGAACAGAGGAAGACGCAGTCAGTGAATGTCAGTTGGATGCAGTATTTACAGTACTATACGTTTAAAACAGTGAAAACTGATATAATCGTACCCAGGCATTACACCCTTACTGACAACTCCACAGTTGAGCAGGCCAGGTGGAAGGTTGGCGGCGATGGCGTCGGGCTGAGACTGGGCCAGCAGGTCAATAACAGACAGCACAGCACGTCGAGAGGCTGCATCCCTAAAACACAACCAAAATCTCAATCATCTCTGCCATGTTATTGTTTTACACATATACGCTTTCTCACATCTACCCGTCCGTCCAGTCTCATGGTTTTACAGGGAAAGGGGACACCTTTGTATGCTCACCTGTATCTATGGAGGGTGAGACAAAAGAGTTTGCATAGACCTTTGATGGCTGGCTCCGGCAGGCCTAAAACAATACAGGACACACACACAGTTAGACAGAGCCAACAGGACATGAAACCTACTGATATTCCTGGGGATGCATGATGATATTGGAATCATATCAGCATAGGGAGGTAATTACTAACCAAAAAAACGTATCGGTATTAGACAAGTATTTAGATTTGACTGTTCTTTATTGATATAGAACGTTTAGGTGACGCTGGGATTCTGCGCTAAAACTGTATTACTTTCTCTCTATGAAAACAAATGACTGGAACAAAACCTCATATCTACTAAATGGGAACTTTACAGGAGAAGGCAAAACATTCTTAGAGTCTTTTAAAGGATACTGGACATCGACACTGGTCCAGACGAGATATTAGTCCTTTACTGTTACTGAACTGGGATAAACTCAATCACAACTCACTCTTTCCACTTATGCATTCCTGCAGCTCTCCTAAAATCTCTTTGCGCTCTTTAACACTTGACGTGGTCACTTTCACAGCAAACTTCTTGAGTGTGTCCGAAACCTGGAACAATGGACATGCAAACACAGATTTCACACCAGGCCTGTATAATGCTGTAATACAGATAAACATGGGCAAGGCCTACACAGACGAGCTGCTTCAGTGGTCATACTGTCGGTTGGTTCATCCCAAAGCTTTATATGTAAACTTTGAGGAAACTATAAACAGCTATAAATGACACGTTAATACCATTTATAATGGGCTTATGCTTACAATATGATGCAGAAGTAGATGTGGGCAATATGGCACAAATATTGTGATACTTCTTTAAAAACAGTAGTGCTACATTTTAAAAACTACTATGAACACAGCGACTTTTATTCAGTATTTGGCACACTGTGCTGCTCTAAATCCTGTTAACCGAGACTAATTTTGCTCTTTTTAATGAAACAGACAGTTGGTCTGTTGGTGACATGCACAATGTTTTCAGTAAAGCATATTGTACTGTGGCATTATAACGACATACACCGTCATGTCGCCCAGCCCAACGCAGAAGCTACAAAAACAAGCCTGTGATTTAACAGTACAGGAGGCTAACCGGCTGTACAGCACATTAATCTTGTGTGTTTTACTGTTAGCCAGCTGGCCGTCCATGTTGATATCTATTTACCTGCTGTTTAGCAACAAAGAGCACAAGTAGAGCAGAACTACAATGAAAGTAAGAGAAACTATTCTATACTGAAAAGCCGACATTTTGTTGTAGAGTTAAGCACGCAGGTTAGTTTTATTAACTTTAACTCGTGTAGCCAGCTAACTTAAGCCACAGCAGCACCGATATGTGGGGTCCTGGCAGCTGATTCATTGCACTTCAGGACGTGGCACGTTTTCAGTAACTTAACATGTTGCACAGAACTGGAATTTCCACGTTTTAATTTCGTACGACAAAGGTTATTTGCTGGGTGTCACCTAAACTGACTAGATAAGAGCTAGCAGTCAGGCTACACCGCCACACAGAGTTAGTCTGAGGGCTGTGCTTTCTGAGCTCTGGCCGCCTTGTTAGCTCAGCTGAACTTCGTCATTATGTACAAAACGGCATCTCCGCACTTTGACCAACACACGCGCAGCTGCACAGCGAGAGCCGCCGTGTTTAAACCCGTCCCCATTTCGGGGAGCCCCGATTATAACATCGCGGCTCTAATCTAAACACAGCATCAAACACACACTGTTCACGCCACGAACTGCACACGAACCTGCGCGTCCGCTGCCATCTTGCCGGTCTCGATCTGGAAAGACTTTATGTCGTCCTTTCCGGGGCATTACATCCTCACTCACGTGGTCAGAGCCGCTACAGTGGGGTCAGAGAATGAGTAGAGCGGTTTCTCAAACGCTAGAGGGCGCCCCGAGTCCAAAATGAATGGATTAGGATGGAACCTTTGAGCAAAATCATAGTTTGTAAGTGTTTAAACATTTTTATATAGAAGAATGCTTTCATTTCTGAACACAGAACAGTCTAAAACTTTTTAACACTGTTAAAAGTGTTTTTAAGCGCTTTTGAACGCGAGTTACAGGACTTTATAAAGGCGACTCCTGTACATTCAGGACATCAGTGAGCATGAATCACTTCACTTAGCCAATGAGCTGATCAGCTCACCAACCAATCAGCAGTCAGTAGTTGTAATGCTAACCACTTAGCACTTAGTAGCAGAAATGCTAGAGTCATGTTGCTAAAAACCTCTTTGTCTTTTGTGTAATATATCCCTTTACTCTCCAAAACTAAAGGAAGGCCCTGAACAAGTGGTTGGAAACCACTTTAAATTTTAATTTTTAGCCGTTTAGCTCCATTCACCCCATTCACTGAGGACTCGCTCGCGGGCGCCCTCTGGCGTTTAGCACTCATGTTTTTTTTATAGAACTGGAGAAACAGGAAGTGGCCAGGCTCCTTATAAAAATAAGCTCGATTGCAGCCGTTTTTGGTATCGATTCCACAGACTGAATCTCTGCAAATGCGTTTTAGGGCCGCTGTTAATAAAAATAAAAAATAGTAGACTTAGAGAATAAAGTCGTAATATTTCGAGAAAAAAGTCCCCCCTACAGTTAGCCCACTTTATCCTCGAAATATTACTACTTTTTTTCTCGAAATATCACGACGTTATTCTCGAAGTCCACTATTTTTTATTTTTATTAACAGTGGCCCTAAAACGCCATTTTTTTCATAAAAAATGAAATCCGTATGCCAACTTTACTGACTTTAGAAACTACAACATTGGTGGAATCTATTAATCAAAAATTAAACTACGTGGTTAAATGTGCCATGTAAGGAATAAAATAGTATTTTTTTTTCAGAGCCGGATGATTTCTAAATCTCTCTGGCTGCTTCCAAATAGTTGAACGAATCTTCCTTTCCTACCTGCGGTCCTTAATTTTGCTTGATCTGCAGCTCATAGCTTCACTAAACATACTGTCAGAACTGACTATCGTATGAGGATCCACTTGGCTAAACGATCGGAGAATCAGACAGGAAAGAAAGTTGCACTCAACCATTCGGACACAGCCACACTCATTTCTTCCGACATTAGGGGGCACTCGTGAGACAGTCAAAAATGAATGGGACGTCTATGGAGCTTTTGTGCAAAACTGTATTTTGTAAATTAATCAATTTTATGAATGAATTCCCTCTTTTTTCTCAACGCATAATAAAATAAGATGTTTCAAGACTGCTGTTATCATTTGTAACGCTGTTCAAATAAAAGTAAAGCAGTTGAACCCCATCAAAAGATAATAAGTACGGCTTGTTTGACAGCAGTGAAGAAAGCAATTTTAAAACTATTTTATGGATGTTTTGATACAGGAGTGTATCACTGCTAGAATGAAGTGAGCAAAGGCTGCTATTGTGGTCACTCAGTCGGTGGCGATTGACTTGGTCAGAAAAAGCATGGAACAAGACCTTGTTTAGTCAATTTATTTTACTCAATTGTGTGTCTCTGCATGTGCCTATTTTTTGTGTGTTCGATTTTTGTTGCCTAGAGTTGGTTTTGAAGATGTCTGTATTTCCTGACATCAAAACAAACAAACAAAAAACCTGGAGCTAAGAAGTGAGATAAGGGTGACATCAATTTTATACTATTCTGTGCTGAGAAATATAGAACAATTAGACCCCTCATTCATTTTACACTCTGAGTTCTCTCTGACTAGAAACCTACTCGGCCAATGAGCTACAATCAGCACTCAGAAGCAGTAATACTAGAGTCTGACTGCAGAAAAAAAAATGTTGTAAAAAAAACAGAAAGATACTGATTTTACCGATTTCTTTAATGTAATACATATGTCTGTCTACTTTGCCATAACTGAAGGAAGTTCCTGCATGAATTACTAGCAAAAATGTTATTTTCGTTTTTTTTCGTTCAGCTCTATTGGCTCGTTTAAGACTCTGTAGCGTGCGTTGCGCCCTCTAGCGTTTAACAGCCGTATTTAAGATGGGTTGAACAGAAAGTGAGCGGGTCCCACCAAAAAAACGTCATCCATCATCATAACTGTGGCACCGTTTTTCTGTCTCTTTTGTCCTTTTAGTATAAAATAATGCTATAAATGTCAGCGACACCAAAGCAGGCCAACTACTGTCATTATCAGAACAGAATGAAATAAAACAATAATTATTTTGAAATAGTCATAAAACTACAAATCAATCCAAATTGTACTAAAATCAACGTTTCTGAATGAAGCACAGTGACATAAGAGCTTAGAGGACTTTTAGAGGCAGGCAAAAGCTCCTACATTTTGCTGATTCAGAGTAAACAAGACATTTGTCTCTAAATATGATAAATCATATTTAATAGCGTATGACCAGGCATAAGTAATAAAGTTCAGTTTTGATTTTAAGTATATGTAACTAAATAAATAGAGAAGTTAGACCCACGGCTGCTTATAATAAACATTTACAGGCAGATCTACGTGCAACACTCACTGGAGCTATAGGATAAAATACACGTAAGCTGTAATTCTAAAGCTACAGCTGTGTTACATTAACGTCTAATAATTTATTATTCAAAACTCAATTCCAAAAAAGTTGGGACAGTATGTGAAATGCTAAAAAAACAGCAGTGATTTGTAAATCCACCAGTATTTCAATGAAAACAGTACAAAGACAAGGTATTTATTTATTTTTGGTAAATATTCACTCATTCTGAAATTGATGTTTAAGATTGATGTTTAAGACACTGTGAAATGTTCTAAAACATCTTCAAAAGGTGACGCAATCATGCTTGGTTATAACAGGAGCATTCAGGAAAGGCCAAGTCCCTTATGAGCAAGACTGCACCAGCCTTAATTTAACAGTTTAAGAACAACGTTCCTCAATAAACGATTCCAAGGATTTTATGCATTCCAACCTCTATGGTGCACAATCATTAAAACATTCAGGGAATCTCAAGAAATCTCTGTGTGTAAAGGGCAAGACCAAAAACCACAACTGACCCTCGACCCCTCAGACGGCACTGCATTAGAAACCAGCATGCTTCTGTGATGGATATTACCACAAGGGCTCAAAAACACTTCGAGAAACACTTGTCAATTCATAGCATCCACAAATGCAAGTCACGACTGTACTATGCACAGTATAAGTCAAATATCAACAACATCCAGAAACGCTGCCGACTTCTCTGGGCTCAAGCTCTTCTAAAATGGACTGATGCACAGTGGAAACGTATAATGCTGTCTAATGAGTCAACCTTTCAGACTGTTATTGGAAATCATGGATGTTGTGTTCTTTGGGCCAAACCAGAAAAGGACCATTCAGCTTGTTACCAGCATGAAATTCAAAAGTCATCATCTGTCATGGTATGGTGGAATTTCTTCCCATGGCATGCTTAACTTGCACATATGTGAAGACACCATTATCACTGAAAGACATACACATTTTGGAGCAAGATGTGCTGCTTTCTAGATGGTCTCTTTGTAAGGCAAGTCCATATTTAACACAACACCAAGCCACATCCTGCATGTTACGACAGCATGGCTGCGTAATCAGAGTGCGGGTGTTAAAACTGGTGTGCCTGCAGTGCAGAAGTGTCTCCCACTAAAAACGTGTGGTGCATTATGAAGCAGAAAATACGACAATGAGGGCTCTGTGTGGTTGTGCAGCTCAAGACTTGTATAATGGAAGAATAAAAAAAAATCCCTTTTTAATACTGGATCATTTGGTGTCTTCCCCAAATGTATATTAAGCGTAGTTAAAAGGAAAGGTAATGTAACGCAGTGGTAAACATGTTCCTTTCCTAACCGTTTGTGCTGTTTTCAATACAGGTCACACAGACTTTACTAACTACTTTGTGTTTATTAGCATTTTACATACTGTTCCAACTTTCTAGAAATTGAGGTTTGTATTTTATTTCATTAATATAGTAATATAATATCTCACCCTATTTAGTGTAATTTTGGGGAGTAAATCCATTCCCATGAATTTAATTTGGAGTTTAACTGAACTGTCTGATCTTATCTATTTCAAAAATTCAACTAAAATGAAATGAATCTGCATCTCACTGCAATTTTTGTCCTGTTGTACAGACTATTACAGAAGGTACAGTAGGTCATTAAGAAACAAAATGCATGAAAACACCAAAGCATTTTATTGATATATAATGGTATGAATTCAGTCAGTTACCACGACTCACAGAACAAAATGTGACAGTGTTATGGGGAAAAAAAACATAGCAATGTTCACATTGGGTAAATAAAAAGAGTATATGGAGGCCCACTAAAATAGACTGTAACAGCATAAATTAAACAGAATAGAAGAGAAAAATTTAAGCCCTCTTCATGACAGAAACCCAAGATAAACAAAAAGAGGGGAAAATATAAAAACCAGTGTCATAAATGGGTTCTGAGGCAGATGTGAAGTCGCTTAGCCAACATCCCCCATTTGGACTGCTGAGTCCTTTTGGCACATAGCAATCAGAGCAAGAAGAACCATGAGAGACAGAAAAGACTTTCGAATTATCACAGCATCTCAACAGAAAGTGACATTGTATATGCTATATAAGAAAAAAGAAGGCCATAGTTTTGAGTAGCATCCTCATACCAGTGATGAAAAGATCATTGTTCTTGCTAAGGACAACTCATGGATAATTAGCAATTAAAGATCATGAGCTCTTGGTAACTTCTTACATGCGATCTTTCTGATGCAATACATATTACTCTACACAGAATCCATACAGTATGACAAGCAATCAGCTCCTTTAAACTGATGGGGGATTTTAAAGTGGGGTTACACTGCGAAAACATTTTTCACCTTCTCACCCCTCATGACTTGTTCTTTAAAATGTTGCAGTGAAACTTAAGACTTTCATGCAAAAAAAGAAAAAGGAGAAAAATACAATTCAATATCATTAAAAACAATACAGCAGTTAACAATATTTTGCCTAGAGTTGTCTCTGAGGAAAAGATTAGATTCTTATATTTAAACCAATCATATGCTGTGTGGAAGGGCTAAAAATTGCACATTGTCACAGCTGTTTTAGAAAAATGGTACATCTACAATTCGATTGAGGACATCAAAAAGAATCAGTGGTTATTGAAATGTTAAGAACAACATGGCCATGTCACCTGAATACAGTAAAATGTAGCATTCTGCTGAGATGTTATTCGGCGATTTCACCATAGCCAAACATGTTAAGGTCAATAGCTCAATAATGCATATGCACCCCTGAATATGAAGATCAACAGCCTCCATTTCTCTCTGATAAACAGTAGAATAACTCCATGCTTACAGGAGTTTTGAGTCAAATCCAACATCGGTCACAATATGAAAGTCACTATTGGCCATAAGGCTTGTATTACCACACTTCTGCTCACCGCATGGAGGACATGGTGTTTTGAAATGAGCTGGTAATCGTTGGCAAACACAGAACATCAGTCTCCATAGAAATGTACATAATCTGTTATGCTAAAGTATTATTTTTTTGGTATATTTCTTGTATTATGATAATTTCTGATAGAAAACAAGGCACTGAGCACTGTAATATAAATCGTTTCCATTTCTGCTGTTGCAACTATCAATTCACCATCCGATCGTTGCAAACAGTCATCACATTTTGCCACTGTGGCACTTTCTTAGCGATCTATTTCACTCCACAGAGCAATGTTTCATAGTTAAAAGACTTTCGCAGGTCAACTGATTCATACTGATCTACATGCCACATTCTTAAAACGGTTTCAAACTCAACCAGTGAGCAGAAAATCTTTCTTCTCCATGCAATTACCATAAAAGCTAATACCAAAGTCTCTGTATTAGCTAAACTCTTCCCCCTCTAACACATAAGGCTTTTGCAATTCTTTGACCAACTATGTCCCTCAGAGGATAACCATAGTCACACATGTACACACACACGCACACACGCACGCACGCACACCATGCACACGCGCGCACAACATGCACACGCGCGCACCCACAACATGCACACAACCTTGGTGATGCACTTGAGTGCTACCCAACAAAACGCCTCAACTTTTGCTGCTTATCCACTATTCAGACAGACAGAGACAGACAGACAGACAGACTGGCACCCACACACACTCTCTCAAATCAGTCTAACTGAAGAGTTTGACAAAGCAACCGTGGCAGTACGGCTTGTCGTTCTGCTCCTTGAAGGTGCCCTTGTTGAGCTGCTTGAGGCAGAAGGCACAGACAAAATGCTCAGGGTGGAACTTCTTGCCCATGGCTGTGATGCAGCGGCCTGTGATGGGCTTCTGGCAGCCGGAGCAGAGCGAGCCGCGCCTCTCGTGGTAGTGCACCTCGCAGTACGGCTGGTCATCATGCTCAAAGAAACTGCCATTCACGAAGGGCGTGAAACACTCCTGCAGCACACAAACACGAAAGAAATGAGCCTGAACCCAAACATATTGTAAACAATACTAATTTTAATGCTTCTGAACTGTGGAACAGTCAAGTTCAGTACACATTTTAAAAAGCATCTGAAAACTCATTTTTTAAAATCTACTGCTAATACTATAATTCATTTTATTTAGCTTGTTGTTTTATTTAATCTGATATTTTAAATTCAGTAAATGATGAAAGTTCTATTCTGTTAAATTTACCACAGTGCAGTATAAAATGAACATGATCAACATTCTCAACATGACGCATTATATGAGGTATTATAGTTGCGGGCTGTCGGCTACGTGTAATGTGATGCTTTATGGAAGGATATCCTGTTAAACATAAAAATAATGCATTGGTTGACTTTATTATAGAGCTCTAGTTTACCCTTTCAGGTGGAAGCAAACCCTTTTAGGTGTTGCACAAAAATTTAGCATTGTGAAGAGAAATATGTTTTTTTTTTTTTTATTCAAAAATAGCAGAAGGACATCAGGAGGTTTTTGTGTCAGAGAAACAGCATATAGAGACTGCATCAGAGGAGCTAATAAGCTAAAACTACATCGAATGGGTTGAACACGGGACGCTGATGAAGACTGGTCATCTTCTACAGTGTTTTCTTCTCTTCAATGGACGACATGCCAGCATGATAGTTTGAAATATATTTGAACTGTTTCTGGATTTAAACTCAGACTAGCCAATGTAGCAATAAAAGCCATGCTATCTCTACCTCTCAGTCTTGCACCCACATTAAAGCATTTGCAGAAGCAAAGTATAACATAATATATTCATTGGCAAATTCAAGCACAACTTTTATATGTTAAGAGTTCTGTTTAAATATAAAATCATTGAATTTCTGGTCTGTATATTTTTTCTGTCTTCCCGTGATGAAACGCAGCTAATACATAACTAGTGATTTCAGTTCTTGAATAATGGCACCTTGAATGGTTAAGTAGTTGAGTACCCATGCACATTCCAATCTACAGACCAACTGTTTTTGCAGCATCAGAAAAATGGTGGCTTTCTTCCATTGTGAAAGGATTTCGAAGTGTAATATACATATTTCCACTTTGTAAGCAGAGTAAAAACACCAAAATTTGAAAGTTGATATCACAATCATGCATACAGACATACATACACATACCCTGCAGACAAAGCACTCAGGATGCCAGAGGCTGTTCAGGGCAGAGATGTAATTCTCCAGAATGGCGCGGGCACAGCCCCCACACTTGGGAGCGAACAGATCAAAGTAATCTTTACGACAGTATGCCTTCCCATCTTTCTCATGAAAACCTGGCACACAGAGAGAACACAGGACTGCTGTGAGCTAAACGTAGTTAAAGATGAAGAACTCAAGGCAACAGCAATAACCACTCACCCTCAGGACCAAAGAAGGCACCACACTGAGCACAGAAGAAATGTTCAGGATGCCATGTCCTATCCAGGGCCGTCACTACTTTCTGTAGAGAGGAAAAACAACTCAATAGTTTGCCTTTTTTTCTTTCACATGTTCTGCAAAATTATACAAATGGGAGCCCATTTAATTACAGTCTAACACAAGGATGCATCTCTACAAATGATGAGACCTTAACTGTACAGAGATCAAATGAGCAATAGAGTGTACATACAAACAAGTGTTAAGTGTTTAGTGTGGTCACTATTGATAATATTACTAGTTGAGTAATCTTCTGATAATTTAGACAATTAATGGAGTAGTCAGCGTTCAAAAAAGTAGCAAATATAAATAAATAAATGAATAAATATATGAGAAAACACTATGCAGCAATGTAGATATGATACATATTTTTGATACTCATGTTTAGCGATGTTGACACACTGTGACTGTTCGATCTACCACCCTTTGCCTGTTATTACTGTACTCGACTGAGAAACCTCTATTTCAAACAGCTCAGCTAATCAACCATCCAAGGTAGGCAAATCAAGCTAATTTTTTCCAGTTCCAGGACCTGCAGAGTGGGTTTTTTTACATTAATAGTTATCACTTTTAGCAATATCATGGATTGTGTTAAATCGGACTATAGAAACCATTCCTATCATGCACTTTAATATAAATGTATTCGATTCACAGCATGTATCGTCTCATGACCCCCATATCGTATTCTGACAACCATCAGCCTTCAGCTTTATCAGCCTGTTTCTTACTGTAAGAAATATAATAAGGGAATTTAAAATATGCATTATCAGCTGACAAAATGCCATCTAATAACTAAATGTGGGAATCTTGAGCAGACCACCCACTTGAGCAATGATAATCAATGTAATTCAATTATAATTATTTGAATTAAATTAATATTTAATACAAATAAATATGACAAATTAAGACATAAAACATCAATACGTAGGTCTCAACACTATTTTTAAACCCAAAATATTGTGCTAGTGTACTGTATCAGTTTGTTTGACCACACATACTAACAGAGTTTAATTGAGTAAACACGATAGCCCTACAAGTGTATGTAAAGTGTTTGTGTTCTCACATCCAGAATGGGGCCATTGCAGTAGAAGCAGCGAGGAGAGAAGAGCTGATGGTAGTCCCTCTCACAGTAAGGCTGGCCGTCCCGCTCAAAGAAGTTTCTAGAACCAATCTCATCCTGGCAGTGTGTGCATACAAAATGCTCTGGGTGCCATGTGCGGCCCATGGCTGTTACCACCTGTATGAACACAAATATTTCACTCACTCTCTTGTTCTAAAATTTCTGTAATGTACGACAGCACGATGAATGTCATAAAAATGTTTGGTTTTATTAGTTAACAGTGAGAATGAGAAAAAATCTAGCCTTTAATTCAAGCAAACTTAGTCTAGAAAACAAAATCACATCAATTATCCTTTTGCCAACATAACAGCAACGAGTCCTCTCGCATCTGATTGGAGAATACAGAGCTGGGATCTCTCCAGATCCTTCAGGGTCCCAAGTCCTCTCTTTTGGACTGTCCTTTTCAGCTCACCTCTCATGTTTTCAGAGGGGTCAAAGTCAGGAGTCGGGGATGGGAATAAAAAACCTTGATTCTGTGGTCACTGAACCATTTTGTGCAGATTTGGAACTGCTGGAACCATGGCCCAGTTTTAGCCTTTTGGCAGAGTCAGTCAAATTTTCATTTAAAATCTACTGATATTTGACAGAGTTCATGACGCCACGTATCCTAACAAGATTCTCAGGGCCTGTGAAGGAAAAACAGCCCCAAAACATCACAGTTCAACAACACATCACTCCACCATACTTAACAGTAGGCATGAGATTCTTTTCTGCTGAACCATCCTTCCTTTAACACAAAACCAACTTTGAGTGTCTATTGCCAAAAAGCTGCATTTTTGTCTTATCTAACCATAGACCCCAGGTTCTAGCTTAACTACAGATCTTAACAGCAGCATCTAGTGAACTCCTGGTGCTTACATTTGTGGTAAGAAGAAAGAAAAGGCTTTCTTCTCACATGCCTTCCAAATAGCTTGTCTGCATTGAGGTGGCATCTGATGGTAAAATTACAGGCAGCTTCACTATAGCTACGGTTGTTCTAAACATCTTTGGCATTTCAGCAATTGCTTAATAGCCAATAGCACACTTTGTCTCATTTCATTTATTTGTGAATTCTCTCATCTTCCCTATCTAATGATGAATGACTAAGGCAATTTGGCTTCTGTGTTAATTAATATTTATATACTGGTGAACCCAGTTAGAAAAAGTGGAATATAAATGGGAACATGCTTCAGTTGTACTTCACAAGTTCATAAGAATTTTTAGGGGTTACAATAATTGACATCATTGGTCAGCTGTGAATAATTGTGAAAAAATATTTGTTGATCAGAGTTTGTTTTCATCATTAAATTCACTTCAATTAAGCTTAAATTCTCTCATGTTTACAGTGTGAGATAAGTAGAGATCAGTAGATATCACTACACAGCAGTCTAGCCCTACTTTTCCATGCATGGGAGGACTAACAGGATCAGAAGTATACAAGCCCCAGCCTGGACGACTCCTTACCTGGCCAACAATCGGTTTGCAGCAAGCCCCACACACTCCCTTGGCCACAGTCTGTACCCCCAGCTTGTGCAGGTCAGACTGCAGGCTGCCCAGCATGTTGTCCAGTTTATTAACCTGAGTCTGTGGACCCTTACCCTGGGCCATGATCTAAAAAGGAGGATAGAAAGGAAATCAGTCCACAAGATAAATCTCACATAAGCGGGGAAAACAAGTTCAATACTAAACCCATGTACAGGGGGATGTAAGGCACTACTTCAGTGACACTTACACGTCAAAACTTCGTCTTCGTCTAGCAATGTCAGTCATTATTACTGGCCCAGCAGTAAATCTGTATTATAAGGTCTTAAGCTAAGGACTTCACTCCCTGAAGCACCTCTCTGCACTGAACCACTGAATATGATTTATGACTTCACTGAGAGCTGGATTTGCTTTCTCTTTGAGAAGAGCAGAAGCACGCTCACACACGCTTTTACACACACACACACACACACACACACACACACATACACACACACACACACACACAAGAATTCTGTGCCTGTTAGTCTGCAAATATAAATGGAATTCTACCAAGTATTTATCAAGTCACTGCTTATCAAAACCAGAGTTGAGCTGATGTCTGCCTTCATTAGAACTGAACAGCTGGAACTCTGCCTGCACCTGCATCGGAGGGAAGAGGGGGTCGTATTCCGTCTGGCAGCCCACTGACACCAGCACTCTGGGGGGAGATGGGGGGGCAACAGGGGCAGGTGGAGGAGGCTGAACAGGTGGTGGTGTGGGAGCGGGCATAGGCTTAGGGGCTGGTGGGGGAAGCTGTACAGGCTCGGGCGTTGGGGGCTTGACTGGAGCCGGAGGAAGCTGAGGTTCTACAGGGGGCTGGGGAGGAGGTGTGGGCTCCCTGGGTGGTGGAGAGGGGGCTGGAGGAGGGGGAGGTGGAAGCGGAGCTGCTTTTACCGGAGGGGCACGCTTTGGCTCCTCAGCAGGGGGCGGGGGGCGAGGGACTGAGGGAGACTGAGGAGGAGGGATCACCTTCCTCTGAGGGAGAGGAGACTCAGGGGGAATAATAATCTAAAGAGAGAAGGAGGAGAAAGGAGGAAAGAAAAGAAATGAGAGACTGCAGAAAGTCAAAAAATGATGAAAAAAGCAGTGAAAGAGCAACAGATGCAAGAGAATGCAAAAGAGTGAAAAAATATGTATATCCCAACTTGACCTTCGTTTCACTTTTCTACCTTGTCAACCTCCCTGTTGTGGTCTTCTCGAGAGCGTTTGGGGTTTGACATGACAATGACCCCCTCGGTTAGCCAGTCATCAGGCTGTTTTTTGGGACGCTCCTTGCGAGCGATTCCCAGCTTTCCTTGCAGCTCCTCGATGAGGCGGTCCTGGGAGCTGCTCTTATGGAAGATGATTGGACCCATCTTCCTGCGAATAAAGCCGTCCCGGTACATGGGGTGGACGTTGGGGGTTTCCTTGGTGCGTCTAATCACAGACTTGATCTGGGGTAGTAGGGGCAAAGACCCTGTCAGATGCCACATGCTCCAGGCACAGGGCATGCAGCGGTCAGCTGTTAGCACGAGTGTGGAAGGCACAGTGCAGTAGAGGGTTAGAAAAGCTAGTCCAACTGATATTAGACACTGTTGCCTGTGACAGTGACCAAGCAGCAGCTTCAGGCAGCCACCACACAACTATAAGCAAAAAATGCTTCAAGCCAATATCTGTGTGATTAGGCCAAAAACTCTGCATCAGTTAAGATTAATTTAACTAAGGATATAGAAGATCAAAACCAGAATTATTTTTAATAATGCTAGTTACAAAAGCAGGAACCACTAGGTGCCCAAAATATAGTAACGTACATTGCATTCACATGCCAACACTCCAAACTTTGGCAAACTTAGCACTGAAACAGTCTTCAATTCAACAGTAACAATCCATGACACTCTATTCTACAGTGTCACAGTGCATCATTCCAAATCCCATCCATACATGTCCAGAAGCTGAAATCCGGTCCATAGGGCTCGTAGGCTGTAGCGTGGGCAGATCTATCTGGGCATCAGGGGTTCCAGGGCAGGAGGAGGGGGTAAGAGAGTCATCCATCCAGCTGGCCTCTGTCATGGGGGTCATGGAACCATCTGCTCCGTCATAGGGCAGCTTCAGCTCCATGTCAGCCCAGTCAAGCAGATCACTCCTGCAATCTGACTGATCCTCAAGAAGCCCGTCTCCAATCTCACTTTCCGTGTGCGTGTCTGGCTGCATCACTCTGCGATCTGCTGCCATAAGAGGCTCCTCAAAAACCTCTGGTCGTGCTGCTGGGATCAGTTTGGGAGCCACTAGAGGAACCTCGGATCCGGGCTTGCTGAAGCTCATGGCCAGGAGATTGTCCAAAGCATCATCCAGAGATGGTTCCTGAGCTGGAGACTCAAGCCCTGTCGGAGCAGGGGGTCGTGGTGTAACAGAGATCAACTCAGGCGTCTCTGCTGGTGGTTTGGGGCTGGACGTCTTGGGCTCTGAGAGGGGAGAGAGGCTTTTCAGAGGTGTAGTATGTTGAGGAGAGCCAGGTTTAGGAGGTGATGGAGACTGTATGATGGGTCCAGTGATGGGAGATGGAGGAGCAGGTTTGAGCTCAGGACTGGGTACATGAAAGAGACCATTTGAAGTTTGAGCAATCAGAGGACTCTCTCTGTTTGGGCTCTTCGTAGTGGCAGGTACACTTGTTGGACTGGGAGATTTAGCAATAGGCACAGAAGCAATAGGAGAAGCTGGCTTAATCCCTGCATTGAGAGAGGGACTCTTAGGCTTATTAGGGCTAAGCTCTAGATTGCCAGGACTGACTACAGACACATTAGTAGTGGTGGTGATGGTCTGGGACAGAACAACAAGTGAGTCCAGCTCAGTGCTCAGCATGGAGGCAGAAACATCAATAACAGAGTCAGGGTCTGGTTTTGCCACAGGGGTGTACCGAAGGCTGGGATGGGCAAAAACGGAAGGGGCAGATAGAAGGGATGATGGGGTAGATTTTGGGTCACTGGATGGTATCGTAGGTCCTGTTTCATTAGAATCTTCCACTATGTGTAGCTCTAAGGCCGCTGGAGCGGAGGGCAGTGGGTAGTAGCTAGCTGGTTTAGTAGGGAGATTGGGGGTCAGGGAAACTGCAACAGGGGCTACTGTGGCAGGAGGAAAATGAATTTCCGCAACAGTAGAGAAGTTGGTAGACTGATCAAACAGAGGCTCAGAATTCAGTGAGCCCAGAGAACTCGGCTAGAAGACAACACAGAGAGAAAAAGAGGAGGAAAGAAAAGACGGATAGATTAAAACAGAGAGAAAGTAAAGAAAATACAAAACAACTGAGATTAGCTGAATAGACCAGCTGAGTGTTAAAACAAAGATGAAAAACTGAATGAAACAAGGGGATGGAAAAACCAACCAACATCTGTGTATTAGAAGTGAGCATCTTGGAACTAGTTTGAGCATTGTGTCCCGCAAACACATTCTTAGACATTTAGTTTGCCAACCACACATACAGTCCCCTGCGTAGAGCTCTGCAATGTCACATACTGTCTTCATGACACACACATGCACTCACATTGCTCTGCACCTTGAAATCAGACAGGCAGGCCATGAGCTCATCCAGCTCTCGTGTGGCTGAGGTGGCCGACATTCGACCCTGCTGCTCAGATGGTGCGTCCAAGCGCCCCTCTGCCTGGAGGCAAGAGGGGGTAGGCCTGCATATGCAAGATTACATAAATCAAGATTACATAAACGTTCAAAAACAGTATGCAAATTCATTTTTCACTATCCATAAATTCATAAGCGTGTGGGTGTGTGTCAGTTGAGAGGATCTTACGTTGGAGTAGGTATGGAGCTTTCCAGTTCATTCAGTAAGCTTTCCACTGTAGGGCGACCCTCTTCTGGCACTTTCTTTCCATTTCTCTGAGGCTTTTCCTTGGCAGCAGGAGTCAGTGTAATGCCTGGGTGAGCTCCATTTTCCTGGATATAGTGTGCAGAACTGCAGGGAGGAAGGGGAGGGGCAGCATCCTCTACGGAACAACAAATTACAAAAAACTACAGAGTTATACACAGCCTAATAGCTGCAGGTCCTTTAAAAATATACAGAGAAACAAAACAGCTAGGAAAACTGAAGTAGACTAGGGTGATATTGATGTATGTGTTTGGAGCAGTGGAACGCACTACATGCATAGGTTTATGTACCCGTGGTGGGGAAGGAAGGTGTATTCTGCTGGACAGCATTGAGTTCCAATAGCAGGCGGTCCAGCTCAGACAGGTTGCTGCCCAGTGCAGAGCTCATGGATGCTGCAGAGGAGTCTGATGGCTTCTGCTTGTTGGGGAAACTGGAATTGCGAATGGAGAAAGTCAGGTTTCAGCAATGTATACATAGTGTCAATAATTATTTCACTGTTGTCCTGCTACTGACCTGTAGACGTGGTCCTCTTCAGTGTGAGATAGCGGAGGGCTACTGCTATCCCGAGACAATGTACTTTTTTGGGCTGAACCAAGAGACTAATGAAGGGAGAATAATAACCACAACAGATAATTAATGGCATACTCACTACAATAATTTTTCATACTATCTTAAACAACTGATACATACTTAGAACCTGCACTGAAAACCAGACAGAAACAGCATCCTGACTATATCTGACTCAATTTTGACCTCTATGGCTTCTACAAAAGTCCTTTCACACTGACCTAAGATCAATTCTGTATTCAAAACCAAGGGTGACATTATATAAAACTCCATGTTGTCTACTCATATTATGTTTACACTACCAGGCTGAAGTGACACTTTTTTTTGCCTTGATTTGTCACAGATCTGATGCTTTCAGTGCTGTGTGGACACTCTTTGCAAATCAGATTTCTTTTCTTATTTCATTTTTCAAACATATCTCTAGTCTAAGTGGCATGTCATCGGGGCTGGGCTAACAATAATTATGACCATGCATGCATTTTTTAGGACAATGACAATACCATCGTACAGCCCACCTCAAATTACTACAAACATGTACAGCAGCAAGCAATACAGCAAGTGATTATTTCAGTAATTATTTCAGACTAAAAACCTTCACTCCTTCCTGAGCATCCTCACCAATCTCGGATGTTCCAGACGACTGTTCATGAATAATAGTGGCCAAACCCCACATAATTATGGTTAAAATAATGCAGGGCAGTCTTTATGTCAAACAGGCTTACCAATATAATTACAAAATGTAATTATAATCACAAAATGTAGCAATACAATTGCAAAATGGTATTTGTCCCCATCATGTATACAGAGACTATTTAGTCAAAAGAGTTTAAACAAAAATACAAATATAACTGTGACTCAGCTACAAAAACGTATGGCCAACAGTATGTGGATATCCATCCTAATTACTGAGTTCAGATGTTTCAGCCACACCCATTGCTAATACAAATATAAAATCAAGCAAAGTCATGCAATCTCCATAAACACTGGTAGTAGAATGGGTCTTATTGAAGAGTTCAGTGACAAGCCTAAGATCATTATGCTGGAATAGTGTAAAGCTATCCCTGGACTCTGTAACAGTGGAAACTAGTTGCCTGGAGTGTTGAATCACACTTCACTACCTGGCAGTCTGATAGATGAATCTGGCCTCAGTGGATGTCAGGAGAATGCGACAGCAAAGACAATTCAGACATTAATATGCTTCCAACTTTGTGGCCGCTGTGCACAAAACGAGGTCCATAGTTTGATGTGGAGGAACTCCAGTCGCCTGTATAGAGCCCTGACGTCAACCCCACTGAACTCCTTTGGGAAGAACCGAAACATTGATTGCAAGCTAGCCCTTCTCGTCCATCGTCAGTGCCTGTCCTCACAAATGCTCTTTTGACAGAATGGGACTGAATGGGTCCACAGACTCACTCCAATATCTTGCAGAAAGCCTTCCTGGAAGACTGGAGCCTGTTAGAGCTGTAAAGAAAGAGTTGGGGTATCTAGTTCTGAGGACTAGAACTATTGGGCAACATATGTACCATTAAAGTTGCCCCACTGTGGTGTGTTTGGAATGAGCAGACATGATTCACTGGGTGATTTTGAAATGTCTGTGGCAACTGCTGTAAGGAAGGCCTTTAAGAACTAAAAGGTATGCAGCATGTCTCTGCATCAGCATGTATGGTCTTGAAGAGTGACGGAATGTTTGATTTAGAACTCAACAAGGTATGTGAAAGGCATGCTGGCAAAGACAAGTTGGGGAAAAAAATTGTATACAACAATATACACAAGACAAAGTGGTAAAAAACGAAAATACAAATCTAAATAAATGAGTCGAGAAACATAAGTGCAGATGCTTTTAGGCATATTGCATGATACATGTAAGCAATTAACATTCAGCCTGTAGCATGTATAAAAATGCTTAACATGCCCAGTTGACCATGATTTTGGATTAAAACAGCAAGAGGAAAAGATCCAAGTGACTTTGAAAGTCTTTGAAAACTCATTATTAGGGCACAGGAGCTTCAGTCACAAAGAGTGCTCAACTGGTTCGAGTTTCAATAGGAACATTAGAGTTACATCTATATTTAGATTTATGGGAAAACATCAGTTAATAGAGCTGGAAATTGTGGTCGAAAGCACACATTAAATGACAGGCATGCTTGAGCATTAGTGCAATATGTATAGTACAATGAGCAACGGTTCCTCGAGTGACTATAACTTTCAATAATTTCAATGCAGAACGTGATCAGACTGTCAAGGAGAACAGTCGTACTGACAACTACATAGAGAGAATAGATAATGAGGAGCAGTGCATCCATTTAAGCATCATAAGCACTGCTTTAAAAAAAAATCAAGTAAACTTGTATCATAATAGTAGATTATATATATATATATATATATATATATATATATTTCACACACACACACACATACATACACATACACACAATGTCTCTGTTCTTATTTATAGTGTCTAGATAATATGGTTTTCTTGGAAGCAGGTCTAAGGTAAGCTAAACTTAATCTAGGTTACTGTATTTGCTAACACTCATTTTAATATTATTTCTAATGATAAATGTTACATGATGTTAGTTAATTAACCCAGTTAGCTTTTCTTAACTTGGCTGCTGATAGTTTACTTGATAAATTAGGTTAAATTGTAAAGTTAAGCATTTGTGATTAAAATCATTATATGCAATAAATATGAATGCACTCATACATGTGCCATCCTTTGCACTTCCATCAATGAAATTTGATAAGTGTACAAGATGCCGAACCCTCCTCAGCATGCAACGTTGCACAGAATTAGCTTTTGTGAAAGGGCAGCCTCTGTCACTGCATTCTCTTTATCTAGCACTGTCCAGTGGCTAAAAGCTTTCTTGGGTCGATTACTGTAAGCACTGTATCGGCCCATATAGACATTCTTTAAGTTCTCAAATTCTCAAGTGCGATGGATGGTACCAGGTGACTCCATGCCCTCTTACTCATGAGCTGCCACTGGAAATTATAGTAGGGCTGCGGTGCATAAACCCTTCATTACAAACACAAATGCCCATTTGAGAGTTCAGTGAAGCAAATCCACAGGCACTGCCCTACAGCGATCTGGAAAAAGTGTTATATGTTACGTTAGTTATGCTCTAGGGGGCATTTTGCAGGCAAGGGAATGCAATGGCTGGGTTGGAATAGAAACCTGTAGCCACAGTGGTTTGTAGATAAGACTGGTCACAGCAAGTCAGTTCAAAGTTTTTCTGATCACCTTTATCCTATAATTAAACATTTCTATCCTTATGGGAGTGGTCTCTTCCAGGTTCACAACACCTCTATTCCCTGGGCATGAGGGGTCACTGAACAGTTTGATGAGTATGAAAGTATTGTGAATAATATCCTATGCCTTTCCCAGTCACCTGATCTACAGCTACTTAACACTTAAGGGAGATTTCTGGACAAATGCTGGACAGTGCTCTCCTCCACCTTCATCAAAACACTAACTGTGAGGGAATTTCTTTTAGATCTTTGGTGTTCCATCCCTCTAGTTCAGTTCCAGACACTTGCAGAATCCACGCCAAGGCGAACTGTAGTTGTTCAAGGTAGGCCAACACCTCACTAAGACACTGTGGTTCAGATTCATAAATCGCAGCACAAGATTTACTGTGATGTTAAGATCAAAGGGTGTGATGGTAACACGTTTGCTCATTCATAAACGAGGATACTGGCGAGTTGTACAAATGGTGACGTGAGGCATGGCTGCAGCTTTCTCTCATTTACATAAGGTAGTTTCTTCATAACAAAAAATAATCCCCCAAAAATACCCCCTGAACTACTGAGCATCATGGCAAACCTTACTGCTGTTGCACCAGGAGGATTTCAGACTGCCATGAACTTTTGCCATAAGAAATGCAAATTTAGTGTTAGAGAGACATTATTAACAGATTCCTCCAACACTTTCAACTGGTACTGTACAGCTGCTTCGTCCTGTAGCCTACATTTAATACTTTGTGAATCCCCCTCCTGTGTGTGGAAAGTAGGTTTAGCTTGTAATCCAAATAAGTGAAGATTATTTTTTTTTAGGTTGAGATTCTAATAACGTATTCGAATTGATTTAATTGCAAGCAGCTTCAGCTTTTAATCTTGTTTAATATACAACAAATTTTACAAAGAAATTCAAATGTACACGTGAAAACTACATTTTACTAGCAAAAACTAATTTCTAATTACTCAAAAGTGAATTTTTACTCACTGACATTTATTATTTACAGTTTAATTTTCACAAGTCTTATATTTGCTACTGTGTTTGCATGTTCCGCAACTCTCCTTTATCTTTTTTGTTTAGTTTTGCTCCATCTTTACCAAACTTGTACCATTATTGTCCAGCGCATCTTCCCTCCCTTCTGAGAATCTTGTTTTTCTTTGTTTTCTTATTTTCGTTTCTTTCATTATGTCCATTTTGGCTGCCAAACAGCAGGACAGTCACTTGGTGTGGGTGTTTAATACGTATGACTTTATTTACAAGTTCATTTTGAGGCTTTTGTCTAGGACACTATTGAAAATACTGTGGCATTAAAGAAACAGCAGTATGCTAATCTCCGCCACAGTGACTTTATGAACAGCTCTTATTTATCTTGCCACACATTGTGTGTCACAGCACTGCTATTGCCCAAAATGTGTTGTTTTTTTCCGTATGTGACATTTATTCTAATGGAGTTTTTTCCAAAGATAAAAGAGTGCAATGTGGCATCCCACAAGGCTCTGTTTTAGGACCCTTTTACTGCTCTCCTTTTATTTACAGCTTTTAAGAAACACAACTTATAAACACAATGTTCGCCATCAAGTTTATGCTATTATTTATATATTATATATAATATAATATATATATATATACACACACACACATACATACACACAGGTGTGAAAAAGTGTTTGCCCCCTTCCTGATTTCCTATTCTTTTGCATTTTTGTCACATTTAAATGTTTCAGATCACCAAACAAATTTAAATATTAGACAAAGATAACACAAGTAAACACAAAATGCAGTTTATAAATGAAGGTCTTTATTATTAAGGGAAAAAGAAATCCAAACCTACAGGGCCCTGTGTGAAAAAGTGATTGCTGCTTCAGGACCTGTAAGACTTGCTGTGCTAAATGGAACCATGAATTCTGCTGTCTACCAAAAAATCCTGAAGGAGAATGCCCGGCCATCTGTTCATGATCTCAAGCTGAAGTGCACTTGGGTTCTGCAGCAGGACAATGATCCAAAACACACCAGCAAGTCCACCTCTGAATGGCTTAAGAAAAACAAAATTAAGACTTTGGAGTGGCCTAGTCAAAGTCCTGACCTGAATCCGACTCATATGCTGTGGCATGACCTTAAAAAGGCGGTTTGTGCTCGGAAACACTCCAAGGTGGCTGAATTACAACAATTCTGCAAAGATGAGTGGGCCAAAATTCCTCCACAGCGCTGTTAAAGACTCACTGCCAGTTATCGCAAATGCTTGATTGCAGTTGTTGCTGCTAAGGGTGGCCCAACCAGTTATTAGGTTTAGGGGGCAATCACTTTTTCACACAGGGCCCTGTAGGTTTGGATTTCTTTTTCCCTTAATAATAAAGACCTTCATTTATAAACTGCATTTTGTGTTTACTTGTGTTATCTTTGTCTAATATTTAAATTTGTTTGGTGATCTGAAACATTTAAGTGTAACAAACATGCAAAAGAATAAGAAATCAGGAAGGGGCAAACACTTTCACAGCACTGTGTGTGTGTGTGTGTGTGTGTGTGTGTGTGTGTATACACACACACACACACACACACACACACACACACACACATATACATCAGCAAACAAAATCACCTGCATCACGTGCAAAAAAAGCTACTGTCAAGGACCTTGGTGTAAACCTTAATTATTTTATCATTTTAATTCATTTTGATGCTTCAGTAAGATTCACAAAATAAGACACATGCTAACCCTACAGGATGTTCAGAAATTAGTTAATTCTTTCATAACTTTACCAACCAGATTACACCACTGAAGTGTTACTGAAGTGTTACGCCACATCTATCTAAACATCCTAATTTCCAACTGATGTACAATGCAGCAGCCTGTGTGCTTACCAGGCAAAGAAAGTCTGAGCATTTCACTTTGGTCATATTCAGTGTACACTGGCTTGCTGTTAAGTTGTTTCTTATAACATTCAAAGCTATTTATATTCCTAGTAGTAGTCAGGAAGTCTGTTGGTGTTATTTTCAGAATAGCATATACCTAGTGTATTGGGACACGTTTTCTCCTGTTCTCTGTAATTGGGCTGTTATTTCATTAACACAATGTTATTTTATCTTCAAATGTGCTTGTGTTAAGCACTTTAGGATTTAGTAACTATAATAAAAAAGCTATATAAATATAGACACATTACTATTATTGCTACTATTAACAAAGCACACAAAACTTCTCACCAGTGTAGTGTTCTATGCTTAAGCAAGACGAATCTTTGGCTTCCAAGTCTATCTATTCCTCATTCTTATGCTTTATCAGGAAACATATTTTCACAGTAGAAAAATACTGCATATATAGACCAACTAAATAAGTGCACTCCATCCATTTCTATAGACATGGCTCATCCTGTGACTAACAACTTTGTCAAGGTTTGGTCAGTTCTTTGCAACAGCTGTTGATGCATTTGCAATGTAGCTTCTGTTTTTAAAGGTGTGGTCACACTGTCTGAAAAATATATAAAACAAATAAGTGTCTTGCAAAAGTGTGGACACTGCAACTACGGTTAAATATTGGTTGAAATAATAAAATTGCTGATGCTGCTGGTCCACGATTCCTTGAAACTAGGGCTAGCCTGAAAAATTTTAATACTTGAGTATTTGTTAATTATGTTGGTCTCCATTTCATCATTTAGTATTCAGAAACTTTGTCTTTTGTAAACACCTTAAGGCCACCGCACACCAGACGCACAGTGTCACATCGCGTCACGTAGTGAGGGAGGAAAAAAAAAGGCGTGCTTCACCTGCAGTGAGGAGTGGTGAGAATCTGGTCGGTTTTGGAGTGATCCGTTCAGAGCCTCAGAAGAGGGAGGAGGAGGTAGGGGAGGAGGAGCAGAGTCATCTTGGAGAAGGCTGCCGCCGCTGGGGAGAGAGTAGGGCGTCTCCTCTGGCAGGAACACTGGACACTTGGAGATATGAGCGGTGGAGGACTCCAGGTCCGCCAATAACGCGTCTGCATTAAGAAGACAATGCCATCATTATTAAGGATACACTCAGATACAAAGCTGTAAAGAGTTACTGCAGCTTAGGCTTCTGGATCTTAGCACATAGCATGGACATGTGTCAACAATGGAGAATCATTTTATACGGCATGTCAATTCATGCATCAAGGCAAAAATCGCTTTGATGCTCAAGCTAGGGGTAGGTAACGGGGCCAATATCTTGTACGTTCATGCTTGTGGAAAACAGACATGCTAGTGAAACTTTCATCTCTTACAATTCTCATCAGCTTCTGCTCTATGCATGTGTATTTTACTTAAAAGGCTTAAATAAAAACAAGCCAAAATAGAGTGAGTTTTAAATAATACTGCAGTTAGCATAACCACAAATATAATTTTAAGGAGCAACTGCACCTACACCCAGGTAAGACCGAACAACCTTTACAATAGCTTATTATTACCTTTAGATAGCTTATTTAATGATTTCGGTCAAATCAACTAGAGTTTATCTAGGGGTATGAACAGCAGTTAGCCAAAAAGTAAATGTAACAACTGAACATACCCACACAAAGGCAAAGATCTTCATACCAGCATCAACTGTGAATAGATCAATTAACAAAACTAAACTAACTAAACTAACACAGCAAAATGGTACATCATCTTGTTGGTTTTATCTAAACCCAGTCGAAACATGTTTACCTGATGTGACACCAAGTTTTAAAATGTAGCTAGATTTCTAGTTTTAGGGTTCAAATGTGAATTATTTGTCAACTGTTTGGCAAAACCTTGAGGCTTGCTCTTTTTTGTATGTTATTCATTACTATACATTTAACAAATGTTCCTATAACCAGAGAATTTTTTTATCCTTGTAGAACTGACTGGGGGTGGCATGGTACATTATGCTTTTGTTGTGCCAATAACAAAAATCAAATCAAAATTTGATATATAAGTATCAAAAATAATAAAATGCAAGTCAAAATATACTTCTCTACATTACGACTGACTGCACTGAAGCACAAAATGGCTAGTGCCAACTCTACCTGGACTTTACTGCAGTTGGACATTTACACTGCAATGTTTAAATTACTACTGCAATCACAAATTTATGACTTAAGTACTACTCGAACACCCCAGGTTATAGCCATGCCTGTAAATATGCCTGGCTCAAGTACGTTTTGGTCAAAGCGTTAAAATTTGTTAAATGACCAAAAAAAGTTTAAAGCTTGATTTTAAACAGAGATCTTGACTGTTGCTGTGAATTCCCAAACAAATGTCAATGCTAAAGACAAATTAAGACACATAGGTAGACAATTAGGGTAAATGAATCATTCAAAATAGTACTTTAATTCAAATTATAACTGGAATAATGTCCAGGATGGTGTAAATGTGAGTTTTCTTTATATTTCACATAAAAGTCTGATGCAGAATTTGTCAGACTTGTTGTCAATCACTGGCCAGTGACCAATGACAGAAACAAAGCCAGTGTCATCTGACACTGCATGATCCAACTGCAGCTACTTTATGCATTCATAAGAACTGAAAACAGCTCTAATAAGTTCAATAAGCAAGCCATCAAGCGGTATGCAGTCAGAAAAAAAAAACAAAAAAAAACCAAACATATAAATTAAAAACACCAGAGTAACGTTAACCTGTCACTAGGCACATGGTCAGCACTTAAAATAACTGCAGAGCCTGATGGAACAACAGAGCTTAAAATTAAACCGGGAATCTTACACAGTCGAATGGAAACAGTAGCAAGTTATTCCTCTCTAGCTGAGTTCATAAGCCTCTCAAAACAGATCAGCATCTGCGTATGAGTCAGCCTCTAAATACAGCACTTCATGTAAAAAGCACTGTACATGACAATTCCAAATCTATTTTTGCCAATAAAGACGCAGCAAATCCTAAGGCAGTACAAAATCTGGAATGTCAGAATCAAATATAACGTATTAAATGTATACTGGATATTTTAAAATGAAAAGGAAAAAAAAAAAAAAAAAAACACACCTCTCACCCCTGTTTTAACACAGTTATTCATTTAAGCCACTGTCAGGAAAAATCAACAAAAAAAATGTTTTGAGATGGGTTAACAAATTTAGAATGGTTAAACGTAATGTCTTAGATTCAATGCTGAAAAATAATAGAAAATAAAGTTTCATTTTTAAGAGTTAGAAGGGCTAAATGGCTCATCACCAGTGTAATCTTAACACACTTGAATCACACTTTCATTTTTTTTCTTTTTAGAGTTCATAGATGAAGTATGCACGTCACATGCTACAGTCAGCCAACCAATGAGACTGCCAAGCTCAGGAGCACAACACACCATATTAGCCAGTATTCTTGACATAATTATCTATGTCAGGTGTAAAATAGGTCCTTTGTGAAACAAAGTGAAAACAGTAAAATATTGAAATCATCTGCGCCAGTGCTAAATCTTTTTTGCTTCAGTTACATCCTTGTCAGGTGACCTAATCTCTTAACAAAAGAATGCTAAGTGCGCGTCAACTAACACACTGGTCAGCAATCGTCCACAGACATTATGTCACTGAGCAGATTCCAGTTTTTTTCTTCCCAGCAGTTTACCATAACTGTTCTTTAGCATTTTGAGTCACTGTACGTGCAGTGCTGATAACATGGGCGTGTTCTGTGGGTTTGGCCAGATATTGCGAAACAAAGCAAACACTTATGTTACAGGTGTTACGGTACAAAAAGTGACAGAGACACAAACAAACAGATATAACAAAGAAGGTGTCACAGATATCAAGGTACTACTGAAGATTCTTCTGTGCGACAGTGATGGCATGTTTCAACCTGTTGCTGAGAATAAAGGTACCCTGAAGGCCTCAGAACATGCCTGCTCCACTAGCAGTGCCAAGAGAAAATAAAGCACTCGTCTCACCACCCTCCATCCACCCAGCCCCAGCCTCGGGCTTGTCGATAATAGCACGGATTCACACAGGCCTCACATACCGTACTGGGGGGGGGGTTCTCACATGCTGAGGGGCTGACAACATGGGTAGCTAAAGACTGCCACGGCGCTGGTTTATATGACAGCTATACAGTAACCTGTGCCTCGGATATCCGAGCCTGTGCCACTATTACTCATAGTTTATGAGTGCGCATACCGAAGCACCAGAAATTAAATACCATCTCAGGCTGGTGCTGGACGGTATTGAGAATCACAACATTTTCCAAATATATCACGGTATCACAGTATTTTGATGTTTCAGTTGTACAAATGAAGCTCATGATACCAAACCTTACATACACAACTCTGTTTTTTCTCTTAAAATGACACCAAAAGGAATCTTGTATTTCAGGTGTATTTCTATCAACACAGCTAAGGGTGGACAATATAATGATATATCACTATCATTTTAAACTGTCACAATATACGTTTATGTATATCGGGGTAACACACTTAATGAACGCTGACCAACCGCATGTTCCATAAAAATTAAGTGCAGTGCAGTGCAGTACATAAAACACTGAATAAAAATCATTGTACTAAATTTTGATGGCTGTTTTTAAAATGTGCCATACTGTCTTGTGTCTGTGTTATCATGATACATGCCGTACACCATGAAAATGTCTGGATTTTATGCTAGATTTTTTATTGCCCACCCCTAATAATTAGTCATGTTTAACTGGATTTACTGTTGCACAATATGTAAAATGTTAAATTCATAGTTTTGAGCGGATGGTGCTCATCAAAGCTCAGAAAAACTAAATATCATGATCATATCATGTGTCATTAAAATCTCTTCAAGTATCATGATGTTAGATTTTTGCCATAGCGCCCAGCTATTTTACTGAATAAAATGTAATTATGGAAATAATGCTTGTTATCTATCAATACCACTTAAACTACCTCTACTAGTATAAAAGATTAATCAGTCAGAACTAGCCCAAAAAAAGGTGTGGTGGAAAAGATTAATGATGAAAAAATCTGAAAAGCAAGTCATTACATGACAGCACAAATGAGGCGGATATAAAGCTGTACTTTGAGTCTGTGGGCCAGTCTAGTTTATGATATGCACATTCTCTTCTCTGAATCTGATATGCTGGGTGTAAGAGGCAGACAGTGTTATTACTGTGTGCACCAGTTAAAAGTGACACAGACAAAATGCCCATTCACAGATAAGCAACCAAGGCAGAGCTTTTATTAGAGAGATTATGGAAAAAGCAGATCTCACTTAGTGACATTAATAATATCTTTTACACAAAAGTTTAATCCAAGATGATAATAATTGTCAGTAAGTAGAAACGCCTCGTCTTATTTTCTTTAAAAGCGATTAACAGCTGAGAAGTGTTAGTAGTCTAGTCTAGTAGTAGCCCAGTACTTAAGACATGACTTACACACAAATGAGAGGATACTTGAATTACTTTATACAAAACACCTATCTGCACTATATTTAAAAAGAATTGGTTTACTCACAGTGTTTTGGGTGTGTATTCCTCAAAAGTATTTCGATCGCCTTATCCACACCTGACTGTGTGCCTGTGCTTGTGTGTCAAAGCCAGTAAAAGGAGTGTAAGAAGTGAAGTGCGTGTGCCAGAGAGAGGCAATGGAGTGGGAGGGACAGTAAGGCTAATGGTCATTAACCCACTCTTTACCAAATTAGCTGTAGCTTCTGCTTTTCTGCTCAACCTCTCTTCTTTCAGTAATCTTCAGAACATAGACACAGAATAGTTCAACACAGTCAAGAGGGCTTCAGATAGAACTTTGCTAAGACCATTTTGGTGGAAACCTGATCACTTCTGTTGTAGATCATTTAAATATCCTCTGTACATTTAAATATAGCCAGTAGATATGTCATTAGCACACATAGAACAAAAACATACATATATGTCATCTCCACAGCTAGCTATGTTTAACCATAGCCACTGAACCACATGGGAGCGTATAGCCCAGCTATTTAAAGTTTAAGGACCAACGCGCAAGTCACTGAAAATGTGCTGAAAATAAACCTAGCCGGCTAGCAAGCTCTCTCTCCGTTAAAAGCCAGCGAGAGGGGCCCTGGCTTTAGCACCATCCACTCATACCTTCTCTCTGTGTCATTCTCATTCCTTTATGATCGTGCCCTGTGAGCATGATTAATGATTATACGGTTAAACAAAGTCTCCATAGCAACTGAACACAGATACAGATCATAGCCAATCATGAGTGATGAGGCAGGTCTGCAATGCACTAGCTAAGACAATCTCCAGTGTGGGCAAGATTGTGAAATCTTGTTTCCATCATAAGTTAAAGGGCCCATACCTTACATATTTCTTGCTGTTTATTTTTCCTCTGAGGTCCTCTTCTAACATTCGTGTGGTTAAAATACCAATAATAGTCCATATAGTCTAATAATTTTAGACCTCTTATTCCTTACAATTAAAAAGTATTTTGTCACTGTGCCTTTAAGACTAATAAGGTAAATGAGCTCTATTCTGATTGATTTAATATGAATAGGCAGAACTAAACTGCTAAGTGAATAGATGATTATATGTAAATGAGTTTTTGTTCTTGTGACATCACAGACACAATGAATTCAATATGGACTGTTTTTACAGCATAGGTTCCATATATGGAAACTATATACATTGGGTGTGTCTCAAAACCTAGTGAGCTCTCTACATAGACAGCATTTTACGTCACAATATGCGCACTCCCGACAAGAAGGCTGTCCCAATTCTTAGATATCTCAAATATGCTGCCTACTGAGGTCTCTCATTTTGGCCCAATATCGAGAGAGCATCGGATGTTTCCTCAGCCGCTGAGGCAATCCCGCGATGCAGCGCGGCGCAACTTTTGTTTGAAGATGGTGGGCAGAAGTGCTTCACCAAGCAGCGACGTCATCTTCAAATGTAAGTTATTCTGATTTTCTGGGGTATTTATCTGTTTTCTAGTCATAAAGGTGCACAAATAGCCTATACTTTCCGTGTTTAACCACAACTATTGTCTATTTTGCTGTTTCATTCAGAGCAAATACAATTAAAATCGCTATATAAACCACCAGAGCCAGAGCGGGATCCATGTTGGCTAACTGTGAATCTGACGGCTGAGGTAAGTAAACGCCGGTCTCGTGCAGTGGGCGGGAACAAGCAGCGACGTCACTGCTGTCTAACTAGAGCGTCTCATTTTTCTGCCTTATAAGGATAGATGACGGTTGGAACGCTACCTACTTAGACAGCTGCCTATGTAGACAGCGGCTACTTAGAGAGCTCACTAGGTTTTGAGACACACCCATTGTGACATACATGGACTGGGTAGTAAATGGTATGTTTTGAAACTTTAATATTGTTTACAAAGTACTTCAAACTTCATTATTTAAAAATAAAAGAAAATTAGTTTTTTCATGATATGGGCCCTTTAAATGTGGTAACTATGAACCAGAGTGAGAGTAATGATTAACGTTTGCCAACAAGGAAGTCTGTATTACATGTGACCCTGACTAGGGCACAAATGAGCAGTGCCATTTTCAGTAGTGTGGATAGTTTAGTGTTTTCTTGAGGCTAGGCCATTTCAGAGGACGGAATGGAGAGTGATAAACAGTAGACAATAGATTGGAATGCAGAGACTGATAAGCCTGAGCTAAGACTACTTTGCTTATATTTTCTTGAATACTAATCTCCCAATCAAAGAACAACAGCGCCATAAATGTAGCATACAGGACATCCTGTCTACTACTAAGTCTTCCTGTCAGTGGTGTGGTCAGATTTACAGAGGGGAAACTATTTACATAACTTAATTGAAGATGAAAATGTTGATGTATGGATAAAAGAAAATGACATTCAAAGGGAATTCCACCTTTATCAAAAACTCCTGTATAATCAAATCATTAGAATGTAAACAAAGTCATGCAGAGTGGTTTGATGTGAAATGCTCCATTCTAGAGAAACTTAGAATCAGAACCGTTCAGTGTCGTTGATAGGAACCAGATGTCTAAAGAGTTTAATGCCTCTAAAAGTTACCTCACAGAAAGTTATTACAAAAAATGGTTATGGACGTGCATGCTGTTTTACAAGAGTTTTGAGATATGCTTTTGGCCTACAATCTTTAAAACTCCATTCATTGCAGAGAGGTACATGCTGGGTGTTACAAGGCAAAATAGCCCCCAAGATTTAGCACTGTTTCCCCATTATCAATGATCAATTATTACATGTAAAAATTCAGAAGACGCACATAGCTTCACTGGCCATTTTGGACAGCAAATAAAATGGTTATTGGACCAATACAAAATGATTTCAAACTGTAAACAATATGAATACAAGCCCTGCAAAACAATTCACAAATACAGTTACATCATTTTTTTTTGCCCCTTGCCTCTAAAAACAAATTACACCCCAACATTTCGCTTTCCCGTTGACCATCACATCTTCTAGAGATAAACAGGCAGGCCTCGAGGTGGAAAAGGTTGAGAACCCCACTTCAATACGTTATGACCTCGGTAAGACGTCTGTAAGAGTCAGTGAGGTTCTTCACAATGCCTCCCTACCATTTTACATCAAACCGCTTTCAATGTCTGTTTATATCTCAAAAAATTTGGCAGAAACCTAAAAAAAAACTGGTGAATTTCACTTTTAACATATGGCCACACAGCTGACTGTGTTCCGAGAGAGTGTTCCTTATTAATGAAGGGCTAGTATCCAACTCCAGACTGACTAAAGGCAGTGAATGTCAATCTGATGACTTAATTCCTGGTCTGTACATAATCAGCCCAGGAGGAGGCAGTCTTGAGTTTGACATAAATGTGGGAGGAGGGCCTTGGTGAGAAATGCAAGTCTGCTGTTTATGGAGAACGTAACAGAGTGGTTCGTTAGTGTGATTAAGAATGCAAACAGAAGCACAGAGCCAAAGCGTCAACCCATTCCCCATACTGCCAGAGTGATATGTGGAGTGATCTGAAGAGGACAGGAAGGAAAAGCATGCACAGTCTGTTTGCATCTACCACAGGGTGTAAACTAGGATAAATGAAGAACTTTCCACTGAGGAATAAAGAGTCATTCATCTTACTCGGTGCTCCATTCAAGCTGTATGACATTAGGCCAAAACAAGTACAGTTAAATCTCTGATGTACTTTGCTGTTTACTACTGTATGAAGGCTAAGAGAGACTGCACTGCAAACATAGGTCATGTAGTATCATGTTAAGGGTGTAAAGGTGAGATCTCATCTCTTAAGCAAAACATTCATGGGAAAACCCCAAAATCAACTTTACATGGCCTGTGGCCATGTCTTTTTAATCCTTCCTTCCTGTGCCAACGGTTGTCCATTCCACTGCCACCCCCCCCTTATCTGAATATCTGAATGTGAACAAAGAATTCCTCACATTCCGTTACGGAGTCGCCCAAGAAGCAGGCTACAGCAGAGAAAGGTAGGGGGACGTGGTCTCAGCAGCATCAAAACAACTGGAATGTACTGGAATGTGCACAATCTTACAACAGACAGCATTCATTTGAGCAATTTCACCACTTCTGGTGGCCAGGCTATGCTCCGGCTTCCACCCACCTAATTGCAGAAAAACAGTTAAAGCATTGACTCCAAGAGGATCTCAATCTGCTGCTGCAAAGACTGTTTGTTTCAGGAGCGGTCCACACTGCAATATATTCTGAGATGTAAAACGTAAGCATTCCATATCTTGCTTATTCAAATGCTGCATTAAAACATCTGAATAAATCATGAAGATAAAGGAGCATTTCATTTGCATTCAGGGATAAAACTAACAGGCACATCTGAGAACTTTTTAAAAGTATTTGAACAGGGACGAAAAAAGTGCTAACCACATATATTCTGTGTAAGGGTGGGTAATAGGGCTACATAAACAAATATCTTGATAACTGATTATTCAAGTGAATCAATGAACTAATACTCAAACAGCTTGGATGTAGTCTGTAAATGTGAAGATCTGTAACAACAAAATGTGTGGAAATATTCTGACAAACAAAAAGTTGTAATTTAGGCTAATTACCCAGATGTATATAGTTAGCCATGTACACTCTTAAAAGAGATGGTTCTTCAGGGTTCATTTTAGTAAAGAAAACAGTTCTATATAGAACCTTGAACACTCAAAGAACACGTTGCATGATTACATGATTAAAAGGTTCAGGTTCTTTGCATCACCAGATTGATGGAGAATGTGTTGAACATGGTTCCATGTAGAACCTTTTTGAAAAGGTTCTATAAAGCACCAAAAAGGGCTCTTCCATTGTTATGATACCAAGCTTGTAACAACTAAAGAACCTTTTTTGGTGCAAGACAGAACCCCATTCAAAAAGGTTCTATATAGAACCATCTACAGCACATTCTCCAGAACCCTTGAAGAACCCTCCTTTTTTAAGCGTGTATGTACTGCTTTGACAGGATGCGCTGTCCAATGTTCATTAGTGTTTTGAAGTAAAAACTAAAACACTGCTAAACACTTATAATTGACAGAAACTGAGACGGCTTAGAATATTGCAGTGACTAATATGAGTAATGTAAGGTGATAGAGCTTTAGTGATTTCTGTAAAAGTAACGTTAACTCATTCTGACAAATCACTTACAGTATAAACTGCATGTCCTCAGGGAGAAGTTGAGTTTGTCAGAACACCAGCATAGATGACAGCTACCATTTACTGCGAGGCTGAAGTTGGCTTCCCATCCCCCAGCTTCTTATTCAGATTTTCCGATCCAGCTTAAACAGTGCAGAGGTTACATTCTGGCACCGGTAAGATGCTAACTTCAGGCTTACCCATTTACTCACAGTTCTGCTGCTTCATCAACATTAATCAACACATGCATGTTTGCTTTGTTTTGTGGTGGTTGAAGGTAATACTGCGATTCTGTGGAGAATCAGACTTAATTCCACACCGTTGGCTGGACGTCACTTTGGAAATGTAGAAAAAAAAATCACCAAAAGAAAGAAAAAAAATTGTTGATAAGTGTCAATAATATGTAAATATTGTTTCTGTCCTAGTGGGTGATATGCCAAAATAAAATTTGAAACCATTTACATGATATGCAACAAACATTACAATATTCATCATATATAATAGTAAAGCCACATTTTACAAAGGCTATGAAAAGCATAAAACAATTCTTTA